GAACCAAGAACACTGCGAACGAGAGAAGGAGAGCGATCGCGACGTTCTAGTGTCTCTTGAGGATCTCATTGTCACAATGGGTGGAACACCCCCGGTGCGTCATTTACACATGTGACTGTAGTTCAGGTTACTAACAAGCAGTCAGGACATACCTGTACTGGCAATGAGGCGCGCCGGCTCGTTCACGGCTACCTTTGACGCTCAGGATGTACGTGTCCCACACTACATAGATGACCTCCGTACTCATGGATTGATTTCAGAACTCTCAGAAGGACCTGGAGGTACCTTCCTCTCAAGCGTCGTCTGACGCCATCAACCCAACATCTTCACCTCCACCTCCGGACCCTCCTGTGCATGAACTCAAAGGGGTATCTCCTGGAAAGAATTGGGCGTACTGATGTGGACATTGACTTTTCTCTTGTAAGACCTTGCGTCATTGATGTTCTATGTACTTGCCTCTCAATCGGCTTTTCGCTGTATCCGCGCATGGCGGCTTTCGCAACTTGATCCCATACCACCATGAGCTCCTCAGAATATGGATTTGAGAGCATTGATGAAATGACCATACGTGAGCTTGATAGGCTGGAAGGTATTGCGCCTGGCGGTGTCAAGGTACATACGCTTTCATGTACTGTATGGCGCTGCGCGACTGACTAGCCACACAGGACCCTACCCAATCTCCTTCTACCGTGTCTTCCGCTCAGTCTACCCCTGTCCAAAACCGCAAGGGAAAAAGGCGGCGCGAAGCCATTGCTACATCCAGCCCATCCACGTCATCATCCAGACCTCGCATCAAACGCCGCACTTCCGGACCTTCAAGACTTGCGCACACGCTTCTGGATACGGAGGCCGCTCATTCCGGCACGGACACGTCAAAGGGTTCGCTGCCATCCGAGGAACTAGATGAATACGAGTCCAGCTTTGTGGTGGCTGACGACATAGTCGAGTATGAGGAGGAGGACGACGTTGTCAATGAGGAGTCCGTGGACATCTCAGACGAGGATGGTGTAGGCGTAAAAGACGACGGTGGGGTTGTCCAGCCCGGTTCTCGCGTGTATGTCCTGGCGGACAGGGCGGTTGTTTTCGAGACGTAGGGTTGCGGATCCGGCTGCTCTTCTCCCGCCGTTGCTTCTCCCGTCCACTGTCTTCTCCTTTTTTTGCTGTCATATGGCCCTGTATAACATCAGCATGCAAAAGTGTCAGCGTTGACACATGTCATGAATGGAAGCCCATCTCTGAATGGAAGCGCGGCCTTTGAGGCTGAGTGAATGGTTTTACCTTTTGCCTTCCACCGCCAGTGTAATGGATGAAGCTACGTAAGTATTGTAATCAGTACAGTCTAGCTAGTGCTGACCAAGCACGCATAGCGCAACCCAGACCTGGACCAGTCTGCAGACTGAGATCGAGAGTACGCCTGGTCTAGCAGCCGCATCTAAGGAAGAACGGCTCCAGTTCTTTCTACTTCATCGCCAGAAGGCGTGTGCGGCTGCCACACGCTTCACGCAATTGTATAACGCCCAATCTTCACTCTACAAGGCACCGAAGGACGTCGTCAGACTCATTCTGGAGATATACGTCGATTGCCACAAGGTCGCCGGACGCATCACACCAGCTCTGGAGCTCAGTCACATCTGCAAGCGCTTTCATGAGATATGTACCGCAGATGTCGCTTCGTTCTGGGCGGATGTACCGGTGCCTAACGGGAATGCCGAGCTCACTGCGTTGTTCATCAAACGTTCTCTGAAGCTTGATTCCCCCTACACGACAAACACCCTCACCCTACACTTCACAGTGCCTGCTGCTTTCTCATGGTCGCCATCGGAGGGTGGATATATCCTGACCCATCAAGCCGCCATCGCCAACGTGTTGCCACACCTGTATCGGGTATCCGCGTTCACGTTCCATACCACGCGCGGTATGCCTCTCAGGCTTCCGGAGGCCCTACAGGCCCAGCTTTGGCCCTTGTTACGCGCGTCTCCGGGAGGTCTCCCACGCCTGACGCACTTTACCGCGGTTGCAGACGACTTTCTCGATGATATAGGTCAGCTACCTGAGCTGGACCTATCTAAACTTGAGTCGCTCAATCTCAGCCGCTGCACTCTCCACGCCACGACTCTACCGCGAGGCACGTTGAAGGTCTTGCGCCTCGAGAATTGCATCGTTCGCCAATGGGCCGACATCACAGATGCATTGCAGACGCTAGACGCAATGCCTTTGCTACAAGAGCTCAAGTTGCTGGTCGGTACCAAATTCGACATCAGCCGATTAGACTTGGCGCGGCTGTCGGAGTTGCGCCAGGTGCGTCAGGCTGCCAAAGCCTCGGCCCTGAAGAAAGTCGACATGTCGTTGGGCACCCCCCTTACAACGCTTTCTCTCCTGTCCGCTCTCAATATCCAATGCGACATACTCCGCATAGGCATCCAGGTCAAGACAACGCTTCTCGAAGAGCACCGCGCGGAATGGCCAGAGCTCTGGCCATTCTTCACAGAGAGCATTGCGCACTCCATGCGTGCCGCTGTGGTACTCGACCGTGCTGACTTATTGGAGGACAGTGGGGACAGCTATGTGTCACCACGTATCGGTGTGGCCAGATTCTGGAACGAGGATGGTGAAGAGCTCTGCATCGCCATTCCTCAATTCATGAGCCGCAGCGGAATAAATCACCAAAGAGGTTCTCCACTCGCAGACCTTGTACGGGACAGCGCGGTGTTACGTGTGCGCCAAATCCGTTCTGATCCCATGACCTTCGCCACTCTTGCAGATGGAGGAGACAGAGTGGCCATCATGTTCAACCCCTTCCCAGACGTCGTTCAGGTCACTATTGAGGGGTTGTACGTGTCTAGAGGCGAGGGCACGTTCAGATACGGTACCTCCAGCTTCTTGACGGAGAGCTTCATAGGGACCGGCTGGTTCCACGTGCTACTGGCCCTACCACAGCTCCAATGCATCATCCTCAAAGACCTCGACTTCCTCCTTCTCCCATCCCAGTCACCAGACGCCGTCAATCCTAACAATGAGCCCGACGTGCCGCTCTTGGCCACCTTCTGGGAGGCCATGGTTCAGAGCACCATTGAGAGGGGGATCATCATCAAGATCTTGCACTGCGTCATAGAGAGGGGAGCTGTACAGCTGGCTAGGGACAGTCTCATGGATAAAGGAGAGGTAATTTGGGATGAAGATACAGGATTAGTAGACGCCGACGATGCCGATGACGGCAACGATTGGGAAAGTGATGATTACTGATCTGCATCTGGCCTCTTGTTCTCTGTTCTCGGAGATCGCAATCCACCATCTTGTTCTGTATGATCATACGTCACCGGGGTCTACAAGACTGTAGTAGGGCTACAAGACTGTAGTATGCACGCCATAGGCACCGATTGTTGGCAACAGAAAAGGTGTTATTGACCTTCCTGATACGGAACAATGCCAGTTCCTTGGCGCCGATGGTCAGCATGATGCATCTATGGAAGAGTGAATCACATCAGATAGAGGCACTCGGTGGCTAGCGCCAGCGTTTGAGGGGGTACCGTTCTCATTCTTTCTCTCCCACTCTCGTATCCTTGCCAAAGAACCGAAGATAGCCATGCCACGGAGGAAGGCCCCGTGGCAAATGTACACGGCCGCAAACAAGCAAGTTCATTCTGTCGTGCTGCACACTGTAGACTCTAGGCTGACACATAACATAGATCCAGTCGGAAAGATTTGCACAGCACGTCGTACCTCACGGACAGGGAGAATTTTCTGCGAGAAGTACGAATTTCCAGTGTACCAGCACTGCCTCAGGACAAGTACGTACATCATATCGAGACACGCCATGCATGAGGGAGCTCAAGGTCATCTAGCATATCGTCCAGCGCTGGTATACGCAAGCTACGCACCCACGAGAGCCAAAGGGCTGACCCTATACCCGCTATGGGGAAAGAAGGCTTATACAATTTCAGGGCAGTAGAGCCTGGAAAAATCGTGTACCTACGTTAGCAACTGCAGTAAACCGTGTAGAGGATACATGCTGTTGCTCATGTCTGAGATTAGGATGTGTTAGCTGAACATGATGAAAAAGCTGAAGACGCAACACGTGCGTTGGGGTTAGGGTGTGGTGCCATGCTCGAATCGTGAGAAGATGAGGAATGTGTTCAAGCTATATGCACTCGACGCTCTTTGCAGCTTTCTCCGCAACTCCCTTTCTCCGCAACTCCCTTTCTCCGCAACTCCCATGAGGCCCCGCGGTCGCAATCAGAATGTCCGCGTCATGTATAGTCTTCGTGGTGGTGATGTCAAGTGCGTGGTCTTTTGAGAGCCAACCCCCCAAACGGCGCTGACCCCCAATCATAGAAATAAGCATGAAGCCTTACTCAAATGCGAGATATCGTCCTGCGAGAGGGCACGCTCCCTGTCGGCGCACCAGTGGCCTCTTCCCTCCCTCATCATATGCCCTTCCTGCACGGATCTCTGCAACCTCATATGTGGCCGCGATGAAGATGGGGGGGTGATTTTACCCAGTCTAGATGATATGGCCGCGGACGTTCCCCTTTATCAGTGCTGGGCCAGGGAGGCCGGGAAGAAGTTCGGGAAGAAGTTGAGAATAGGCCGGTGCACCCTTGCAGCTCGCGAAAACTTGCTTGACAAGACCCCGCGCAAATCTAGACGGTTCTCCGACTTCCTTAAACTCCAAGCGTCAGCGGCGGAGGTGGCAGAGTTCGAGTTGGCGGCGTCAGCGTCAGCTCCGTCAGCGTCAGCGTCCGTGAAGGCGGCGTCATCGCCATCGCCATCGCCATCCCCACCAATCTCTCCGCCAGGGCCGTCGTCAGCGCCAGGGCCGTCGTCAGCGCCAGGGTCGTCGTCAGCGCCAGGGTCGTCGTCAGCGCCAGGGTCGTCAGCGCCAGGGTCGTCAGCGCCAGGGTCGTCGTCGGGGTCGGGGTCCGCGCTAGCGTCAGCATCGGGATTGGGGTTGGGGTCGGGGTCATCATCATCAGCGCGCTCCCTGCCTGTGTTGTCGGCACCCTTCCAACTGTCGCCATCCACATCAATCTCTCGCTCTTACTCCGATTTCCTTCACAAGGTTGCGATGGGTCAGAACGGGAAGCCATTGATGTCACCCAATATCTCTGTCCTGTCCCGCCACATGGGACTATCTCTGGATATGCTTGCCAGCAAGAGCAGCCCTCCATCAGTCTCTCCCGTTGTTCATGACCGTATCCCTTCATCGGTCTCTCCCATTGAGCTCAGCTTGGAGCATCCTTCATCTTCAGAGGAGGGCACTCTCCAGCCTGACGTGGATGCGCCTTTTGACATGTCCGACGCCCCTTTTGACATGCCCTACAACGAGGACAAGGACACACCCGCACCTGCGGAGGGTCCCGCGCCCGCGCCCGCACCTGCGGAGGGTCCCGCGCCCGCGCCCGCGCCTTCGCCCGCGCCTTCGTCCGCGCCTTCGTCCGCGCCTTCGTCCGCGCCTGACACGTCCATGCCTGATGCGCCCGCGCGTGACGCGCCTGATGTTCACCACACTGGTTCAGCCGTCGCAGGCATCACGACTGTATGTTCATTTACTCCAAACATTACGCGCAGGCCTGATCCGTTTGGTTAGCCGACGTTGGATTATCCCGCCTCTACTGCCATGCATACACCGGTGCTTCAGGCCCCTATGCTGCTTCAGACCCCACGTATGCCAGTGCTTCAGGCTCCTACTAAGCTGCCACGTCCGCATCACGACAGCAAAGGGACACGCGCAATTCACTTCACAGAGCCAGGTTCCACTCGTCTGCCATGCTTTAGCTGCAGGCGCATTCTACAACGCGACAAGCATGACATTCAAGATTGCGTGTTTATAAAGGCGCCCTGTCTGAATTGTGACTCGCCAGATCACCATGCGGTGTATTGTAGAGCGCCTTGCCGTGCTTGTGGATTCTTTCATGACCTGAGGCAGTGTGCCTTGTTCCCTCCGATTGTTGGTGTTTGAAACCTCTCTGTGCTCTACTGCCTTTTCCGGTACATTCATTGAACACTTTCAAGTCGTCTTTCTGCCCTGAACCCTGCTTTCCACTCACGCTTCGCCCGCTGTGCAAACCCCGCTTTCTTGTAACCCCAGTCCCTGCTTTCCACTCATGGTTCACCCGCTGTGCAAACCCCGCCTTCTTGTAACCCCAGTTCTGACGCTCTGCCAATGCTTTTCAAATGGACCTATGTGCTACCGGTCTTCGTCTTCCCTACCAGTAGCACCATGTATTCTCCATGACGCTCAACCGCAATTACTTGGAGATTTCGATAAATTGTCTGAGAGCAAGATATGAATTGGTGTATAAGGTAACTCAAGATTGATGACAACTAAATCAATGTAAAGACTCTTCAGGCCATCCATTCTGCTTGTCATTCCAACCAGAGACGATGGCATGATCTGTATGCAAGACCAATGACGCTCTCTTACCACAGTAGTGCAGATTGAAGTGGGTGATGTCGCTAGATCTGAAGAAAACCAGGTCCCCTGCCTTCAAAGGGAGCACGATCCCATATTCCTTGAAGCACAGATCCCCTCCCTCGCTGTCTCCCAGTGGCACGACGAGGCACATGAAGTCACCCTTATCACGGTGCATGCGCGTGAAGCCGTTCACGTTGAGGGCCAGACTTGCAAACGGATCGTGAGCGGTACTCCTGTGATTGGGGAGTGATGATATGCTGATGGTGAGTTCCGCGTACTCCTTGGGACAGTAGTGGGCAATCTGATGGGCCATGAGCTTGAGGGCGCCATACGCAATGACCAAGGACTTACGCATTCTGCAATGAATGCACCACTAGGGGCCGACCCATCCGGGTCGGCCCATATCCATTCACGAAGCCGACCTGGTCGGCCTTGGCCGACCAGGTCGACATCTATCGCCGAAGTCTCAGGAACGCGGTGATAAAGATGCAACAAGTCGATTATGTCAGCCATGAAGTCATAGCAAAAATCAATTATATTGTTGGTACATAGCGCACTCGGTGCGTACAGGGGTCTCGAACGATAGAAGTACAACATTGGGGGAAGCTAACACGACTGTACAATATTTACAATACAAAAGAAGACGAGGATGAACGCTGCGAGCAAGATAACCGACGCGAAGAGCGCCACGAAGCACCGTCCGCTCGCGGCCGCCAGGCCGCTTGCTAGCGCGGACAGCACCGAGCGAGCTGGGAGCTGCGCGAGCGGGCGGTAGCGGATCGCGCAGCGGCGCTTGGGCAGAACGGCGCGAAGCGCCGTCACGTGCGGCCGGACGGCCACTCATTAGCGCAGGCGCAAGCGCCAAGCCCCCGCAAGAGGGCGGGATGGCACCGTAAACAGATGCGCCTGCGTCACTTCGAGCGCGAAGAACGCAAAGCAAGCACGACGACCTGAGACGGAATCAGTACTTGTTCATGATACCAATCAAGCGTGAAACGTACCTAGGACAACGGCGACAATACGCGAATCTAAGTCCGTTCGTGTTGCAACGAGCGGGCAGGCAACGAAGATAGGCGCGGTCGCGTCGCTAGCGAGCGGGCGGCGAAACACTATAGAACAACTTGGTTAGCGTTAATGCCTTACGCGCATGATTCTCGACGTACCCAGGCGAGAATACATGGCACGCACTCCACGACGGCTGAGGAAACGCTCGTGAGCGACGCGTCGTACATTTATCGGGACACGACGTACCTAACGAGGGGGCGCAGGGCGCGGGACCAATGCCAGCGCGTCCGTGCCCAGCAGCCGTGGACGTAAAATGACGACGGCGACGCCTACATATCGCCCTTCAAGCCTGACGACGGCGACGACGACGAGACAGGCGAGGGGACCGCAGGGTGGAGACGCGAAGACGGGCGGGAGAGGAGCGGGGATGACGGGGGGAAGAAAGAAAGGTCGAACGACTTCTCGCAGCTGACGCTTCGGATCGGAGAGGCTCGGGATCAGTCAGCCAATCGGCGTTTGCCGGGCACCCGGAACGCGCGTCGCGCGACTTGTCGTTTCGCGTCTCCCTTGCTCTTCCCCGTCATCGCCCTCGTCTCCCCCGCCGCCTTTCTGGTTGTCACTCGCTCTTGCGCCCGACCTGGCGTCTCGCCCCGCTCGCGTCGACCGCCCTGCTGGACCCGCTCTGCTCGTATCTCGGAGGACGGGAGTGTTCACCTCGCTCTACGCGCTGGCGCGCTCGCGCGCGTCGCCCACGTACGTTACCCGCTCGTGCTTCCAGCTCCCGCGCTAATTTATCCAGCAGGGCTACTCGTATTTCATTCAAGGCCGCCGATCGTCATCGAGCGCGGGCCCCTGAGGCTTGCTCGTTCGCCCCCGTCCACCCCTTGCACGCCTCTTCCTCGTATATTTTCTATGTGTATAGCACCTTACTTTCTCGTATGGATTGTATCCCTCGTATATATATTGCAAATGCCATGTTTCTTTGCCTGCTTGCAGGCTATGTATCGTGTGGCATGCCCAGCACCCGCTGTCCCGCGTATTTTCGCCGCCTTGAAAGACTGCTTTCAGAAAATAAGAGTATAAATATTCATTTTCTCGCTCATTTAAGTCCGACCGAACGATCGCGCGCGGAGTTTAGGCCTGTGCGGTATTATTTCTCGAATAAAATTTATTTGTTTTAATCGTCGACCGGGTTCAGACCTCGGAATTTGCCGAAAACGGCCGACCAGGTCGGCTTCGTGTACCGGTATGGGCCGACCTGGTTGGCCGGCCCCTACGGCTGATGAATGTGAAGAGAGCCTCCAGGGCCTTTGTCAGGGCATCGTATAGTTTCCTATACTTCTCCATCTCCCTCGACTCGTACGGCTTGAATTGGGAGTAGTTAGTACGCATAGGCCGGTGCTCGCCAGTCTCCGTGTTCATGACGTGACGCTCGAGAGTCTCTGGATTGACTCCCGCTGGTGCTCCGTGTCCCTGCAGTACCATATCAGATGTTTGTTGTTTAGTGACGGTAAAGAGAGGCTCACCTTGGTAATGCTCCTGTTGTAAATGCTGAAGTGATAGCATGGAAAAGAGTACTCATCACCCAACTCGGCCGTGTTCACAGAGCGGAGTGGGTCTATACTCAGGGTGACGGCATCCAGGAGATTGCTGAAGCGCTCTCTCTCAGAGTCCGGCATCCCGCGAAAGGCGAAGAGATCGAAGCGCGAGTCAGGTTGACCATCACTTTGGTGCAACATGAGGTCAGGGATGAGGATAACAGGAAGCCGGGGGACTCACGGTTGCGTGCGCAACATGAACGCCTCTCCTGTCACAGAGACTGGCATGTGCACATAGTCCCCATCCTCTGCGCGACAGCCTTCAACATACTGGGTGGACATCTGCAGGAGATAGTCAGAATACATTATGACCGTCGCAAGTGTATGAATAACTCACGCGCTTACACAGATCTTCCCAATCAGTGGGAACATCACCAATACGCGCGAGCATCCTCTCCTCTTCCGTTTGGCGCGCGCCCTCCATACGATTGCTGGAATGTTGCTTAGCCGTGTTGCGTGGGTTGGCCGGATCGTAGGAGGTCGTGAGCGTGCGTAGTTCTGGCCAAGTGATGGGAATAGCAGTGCATGCTGGTGCAGGTGCGGGACCAGCAGGCGCAACCGGTGCCAGACCCGGAGCGACGTCCGATTGTGACGAGAAAAATTGAATTGGCCGCGGCCGGTTTACTTCAGCCTTTATCACGGCGGCCCAGATGACCTCGCAACGTGGCCTGAGTACGAAAGTGCTGGTTCTGGTGATTAGTTACCGTTGCATGAAGGGTAGGCAATCATCTCACTTGAGTTGGAACCGCCCCAGATACTCATCGAGGTGAGTGGTCTTCCACAGGTGTTGACCGTTACAAACCCAACCGAGGTCCAAGCGTCGGTCGATGGTGGCGAGCGTGGGCACAACGCTGGAAGCCAAGGTGGAGCGCAAGACTACACTCACGGGCGAGAGCAGGGTGTTGACGAGTTCCTCGGCTTTACAGGCATGTAGGGAATCCACGAGACCGAGCCCGGCCACGAGGATAAGGCCGGCTAAACCGGCGGCCCGCGCAAATGCCGTACAAACCGCGCCTTTGGCCAAGCGGCGCTGGAGAGTCTTGTAAGAGAATCGCATACCACGTCCGGCGCCCTCAAGGTATCGGTACACTCCCAGGACGGAAAGTAGTTTGCTGTGCTTGCATGCCTGTGGCACTTCATCGTCCCAAATCCTGGTAAATAATGTGAGTAAATTAAAAGAAGCTACCTTGCATCTGCTCGCACCTCTGAACCTCCATGCACAGTTCAACATGAGCCACCATGCCTTTAACATCAGCCACAAGTCCTTTAGACTCCCAGAGCTCACAGCGTCGCAGGATGACCTCCAAGGGAGTCGCGCCTTCGTTTGCAGCCTCCAGGCGACCGACAGCTATGACATCGCACCAAGACACGACATCAGAGGCCGTCGACGAAGCAAGCATGGCAACAAACTCGACAACCGGCTGGCTGAGGGGTCCTTCAGGACCACCGGCAGCGCGGTCTGCCCAGATCGTCTCCATCAATTCCTTCGTGAGGGCGGCGTTCTCTGGCGTGGTTGCGCCTCTGTTGCACTTCCATTCGATACGTGGAGGGTGCCCATCACCACCGGGAGCCGCACCGGATTTGCCACCCGCCTTACCTAAGACGAGCCACCAGGTGAGTATTCATGCCCACAATATGGGATGAACAAAACGTACGTGTCTGGCGCTGAGGTTCTTCAACCTCCTGATCATTATGCGCTTGATCATCGGATGGTGGGCAACACGGTGACTGTGTGTGGGTGCGCGTGGATGCGCGTGTGCGCTTGGATGGTTCTTCGGCAGTGGCTAACAGACAGAATCAATTAATGACCCAGACCCATGCCATGTGAGTTTCTAGCGCACCTTGACGGTGCCTCTTGGCTGGGATACGAATGGTTCCGGCGCTAGGGCCGGGGGCCGATGTGGGCGTTGTCGAGGCTTCGTGGTCTGTGGCCGTTGATGGCGGTGAGTGCCGTGTTCCCTGAGAATGTTCCAGTGGCCCGGTTGACGTGATTGGTGGCACCGAGGCATCTTGAGGGGTAGAGTGCTCCAGTTGTGCAAGACGTATCCATGAAGCGAGTATACTGTCAGTAGAGAGAACGTCTAACACTCCAGGCACTTGGCTGATCAGAAAGAGGTCCCGAGTCAGGTTGTGTGCGTCCAGTTCCGTCAGAGATTGCTCATCAGCTTCAGAGTTTGAATTATCAGACTTTTTGGGCATGTTGGCAGGTGAGTGGTGCAATACCAGGTAAGAAGTCGAGTCTCGAGTGTTGGTGGGGTGCGAGTCGAGTGTCCGTTGGGCGCGAGTGAGCGTTCGTTCCCACGCGTTGGACAGGCTGTCCAACTCGTGAACAGGGTGAGTGCTCCTTGCTCACTCACTCCCCACTCACTCGCACTCTCGCCTTCCTTTTTTTTACCTCACACTGAATGCTAACCAGCGGCGGAGGAAATGGGCGCGGCGGAGGAAATGGGCGCGGCGGACGCGGTGGGCGCGGCGGACGCAGTGGGCGCGGCGGACGCAGTGGGCGCGGCGGACGCAGTGGAGAAAACGGGCGCGTTACGCGCTCGTCCGTCAAACAATGCTCTCCGAGCCCCTCCTCCAGCGACCCGGACGAGCCGCGTCCCGTCACGGGCCCCCCCTTGCGTTGGAAGCGCACTCGCAGCGCCGCGCACACGCGTGTACGCGCGCCAGACGTGGGGAGCGTGCAGAACACGAGCGCGCGCGAGCACTCCCATCCTCAAGCCACTGCCACCACCACCACCGCCAACAAAGTCGTATGTGTTGAATTTATTCTCTATCTTACCATTCTTACAATAGCATAGCAGAACATGCACGCCAACGACGAAGACGAAGACCCCAACCTCCTCCCACCTCAACGCGAGCCCTCTCCCGCTCAACGCGAGCCCTCTCCCGCTCAACGCGCGCTCTCTCCCGCCATGCCGCCACCGGCCACGCGGCGAATCGTATACGATCACGCCGACCGCGATGCCACGGTCCGTAGCCCTCCCAGTCGCGCCCTGCAAGCCTACCAGCAGGCGCACGAACTCGTGTTGGGGAAGGTCGCGTGCATCGGGGGTCTGATTGTCGAATACACACTGGCTTCCACCGGCGCGCATACGATGTTCAAGGAAACCAAGTCAATGTTACGGCGGGCGAACCAGCTGAACTCACCTCAAGAGTGGGAGGACACGCGCCGCGCGGCGAACAACGTGCTCACCGTACGCATGGAGGAGTATACCCTCGCGTACACGCTGTTGGACAAAGCGTGGATTGAACTCGGCTGCCTGTTGAATGACCACTACGCGGCTGCCGCTATCAACGCCGGCATGGATGAGACACCTGAATACGCACATGTGTCGCGCTCGTGCATGGCGATCAAGGAGACAATGGAGACAACGGTGAAAAGGTACAAGGCGTTGCGAGCCCCCCTACAGGCGCTCATCAATAATATTAACGATGACGAGCGGCCGCTGGTAGGAGAGGACGGGAGGGAGCTTGTAGATGAGGAGGAGGATGTAGACGTTCGTCGTCAGAATAAGCGCATCCGGCGCGATTAGATTGTTTCATGTCTTCTGTCTCTTTTAATAAAGTAGGAATGTCATTGAACTCTAAGACGAACAAATGGCCATCGTATAATATTTCAGCGTGACCAATGGGCGAACCAGGCAACGGGCTGCTCTCATGCTTCATCTTGATCTCCACCTCCTGTTCATCGTCCGCGTCAGACTCTGTCCCGTACTCGGACGCGGATATTGCGTATCGCCGGCTATCGTTCATCACCGGCTATCGTTCAGGTGAGACCGAACGCCAAACCGTATCGCTTGCATACACTGACATCTTTTTCCGTATCGGGTGGGGAATCTCTGGGATCCTGGCTTACCGCCGGCATCAAGGATGGTTTATATGCGAGTGTCGGCAGCCACCCGTCGGAACTGGAATTGATTGCACAGCGGGCCCGGCTGAGGACTCAGATTGCGAGGTCAACATGACGATCTGACACTACGGCAACACGCGTACAGCAGGGCGGTGATCCTGGCGAGAGCACGATCGCGCTCTGTACCCAGGGCGTGTTCGGACGTATAAGAAGCAGTATAGCCTACTCTGTGGGCTGCCATCCCGCCTGCAGTGTCGTGCGCAGTATACACAGGGGTATAGTAGGCTTGGCACCTCTAGATGGCGGGATGTTGACTCTTCGTGTGCGATGACGCCCGACGAGAGCGCACATGTAACCTCCTCGCCGCACGTCCACTGTCACGATCTTCGCAGACAGCACTTGATCGTACAGAGTGCATGCGAGAATGTGAGTCAGGCGGGAAAACGGCACGAAAGCGGGTATATGAGCGCAAGACGCGCAGCGCGCCACAGCCGAAGTGGGCAGATCGAGAGCTTTGTTCGGGACGCTGCATTGTACTCGTATCGTGCCAGATCAGTGTTCGCAATGATACTACATCTACATGACGTGGGAGATTCGAGTTATGTTCAAGGTTACGATGTGCATTGTTCTGAATTGCGGTCATCGGCGTTTGAGACCCATGAGAGTCGAAGGAGAAATGTGCGAGAGCTATTTCCGTCGGTCAGCCGCCTCTTGCAGCCTCCGTCCATGTCGAGCGACGACACGCTCAGGTCGACCGCGGAGAAGCAGCAATCACAGACCACTGGGGCTGCCGTCAATAATAATGCCGCTCTAGCTCGCACTGAACAACGCCAAGACAAAGAGGAGTCCTTTGCGCCTCCCGAAGAGGAGCGCCTTCGCTCGCGCACCAGCGACGTCGGCGAGGCCATCGAGCGCCACTTCTCGACCGAAGATGCCGCCTCATTAGCCAGCATCGACCGGCCTCCGAGTAGAGAAGAGGTCAAGCAGCCCGCCGCTTTAGTATTTGGCCCGTATTCTATCGAGGTCCTCGCGTTGCTTGCGCCTGCTTCTATTTTTGGCGTTCTGGCGAGGCTCGGGTTGCTTGCGCTCGTGAAGTACGACGGAGAGAGTATCTTCACGCTGGCATATCCACAGGCTCTGGGATGCTTATTTATGGGCATGGCATTAATGCTCAAGGAGCCCCTAGGAAACTTGTACGCATCTGCCTCACTACCTCTGTTACAGTTCGCTAAGGAGGCGTACAGTTATGGTCCCCTATACACTGCATTCACGACCGGTACGCCCGCTCGGCTCTTTGGATGGCGCGGCTCCTGATGCTACGACATAGGCTTCTGTGGCTCGTTAACTACGTTCTCCAGTTGGCAACTAGACGTCTTTGATTCATGGGTCAACTCAGGACACTATCACCGCGATTGGCTACGAGATGTGAGTCCGGCATGGCACATCGCAATGCCCTACCCGACTAATCTTGCTGATGTAGGTCATCGATGGCTGTACCAAGATATTCTTCACGCTGAGCATAGCGTGGGCTTCTCTGTCTTTCGGCGTTCACTTCGCCCATGGTCTACTGCCGTACATACCGGTATCGCGCCCACCAAGCAAACCAGTCCGATATACCCTTGCCGCCATATCACTTCTCATGTATGCCATGACGATTGTAACATACTTCGAACTGTCAACTGCATTCCGCCACCAAGCAACTGCAGCTCTCCTGTTTTGCTACCCCGGAACCCTCACGCGATACCTCCTGTCCATCAACCTGAATCCGAGGTTGAAGACCATGCCCCTCGGTACGTTGACCGCCAACCTACTCGGAACGGCACTCCTGGGCGTCTTCCACGTACTGCAGGGGCTCCCGTCACCCCTATCTCCCAATGCTTGCAGTCTCTTGCAAGGTCTAGCGGATGGGTACTGCGGCTGCCTGACGACGGTCAGCACTTTTGCGGCCGAGATCAGCGCTCTCAGTATCCGGCGAAGATACATATACGGGATTGTCACGCTTGTATGTGGCCAGCTATTGATGCTGGTTATCATGGGCTCCTCGTTCTGGGCGGGAGGGGTGAACGATGCTACGGCGGGCACTTGTCGGTATCCGTGAACGAGGTTAGACTCAACCGTATTTGCGCTCCGGCAACTTCATTGACAGCAGTCTACAGGTATCAAAACATGTCTAGAAATACGTATGATACACTTGTAGTCCTACATCGCTATCGATATTGCTATGTTCGTTTTCTATCGTCCGATCAATATCCCTCGCCACGCATTTGATAAGATCAACATGAGCGATATGTGTTCGCGCCATGAGGCAAGGGCATGAACGTGCGTACGTACAGAAGCTGGACGCATCGGGCATGTGAATGGAGTCAGTAGCTATCCAAACCAACTCAGGTACTTTGGGTCCGCCGGTCGGAGTAAGAGAGCAGAGCGGGGCAACGGACGGAGGCGTTGGTTGCCACCTCCCACCGCGATCTCGCTCGCCGCCGCCGCCGAAATTCCTTGAATGTCGCGGCGACCGTCGCAGCTGTCTGAACGTGCGACTGAACCACCACTGAGCGCGTCTGGAGAGCTCGAGGGAGAGGAGGCGATGATGGACGAAGGCGAGGAGGTCGGATACGGTCCGTGTATACTTTCTCAACTATGTACGCAGCATGAGCACCTGACATTCTAAACGCGCGCCTTTCGCCTTTCCATCCCGGCCTGTATCCGTACTCTGTTGGCTGTCATCCAACTACCGCCACCACCTTAACTCCTGCGCCTGCCCGATGTCAGCCTCGTCGACGCCGACGTCCACTCTGACGTGGATCAGCTGGTTCTGCTCGCTGCCCGGCCATGACTACTTCTGCGAGGTCGCGGAGGACTTTATCGAGGATGACTTCAACTTGACAGGCTTGAACGCTATGGTCCCGTTTTGGAAGGAGGCTATGGAGATGGTCCTCGACGTCGATCCCGGTGCGTTTGCCCCGGAATGGCTGGGTTATGACGAGCTGAGGCTCGTGTAGACGAAGACTCGGCCAGGGTACCCGATGTATCCATCGTCGAAGCATCCGCCGAGCTACTCTATGGACTGGTCCACCAGCGATACATCCTCACACGCGCAGGACTGCAGGCCATGGTGCGTACAACTCAAATGCCACAGTCATCACGCGCCACTAATGACTCGGAATAGGCGGAGAAGTACGATCAGGGCGTGTTTGGCGCTTGTCCCCGCGTGTACTGCAACGGCTGCAATGTCGTACCCTGCGGACGCTCGGACTTGCCTGGACTGGATACTGTCAAGCTCTACTGCCCGAATTGTAACGATATTTACGTGCCACCAAGCAGCCGCTTCCAGGGTGTTGATGGTAAGGAGACGCCCGCACTTTCAATCAAATGATGTACTCATTTCTATACCACAGGTGCATTCTTCGGCACGACCTTTGCCCACCTATTCTTCCACAGTTACCGCGACCTCCTCCCCGCACCCTTCTACAAGCCGACACCCGGCACCCCCAGCGGCGCCGATAGCCCCATCAGCCCCGCGTCTGAAGCCGACTCGCAGATACAGAACCCGAATGCATACGGTGGCCAGAAACGCCCTGCGCCGGGCGTGTATGTACCCAAGATCTTCGGATTCCGCGTCAACGAGCGCGCGAAGAACGGGCCGAGGATGCAGTGGATGAGGATGAGGCCAAGCTCCCCGACTGAGCTCGACAAGGTTGACTATAGGGGGCGATGGATCGATGATGGCATCTCGGACGACGAGGACGATGCGGAGGGAGAGGACGACAGGCCCATGGAGGACTTTGATCCTGTAAGTCCTGTTAGCTCATATGCACCATGCTGCTCGTGGGCTCATGTTCAATCTCAGGATAACGGGGAGGACGTCGATGACGACGAGGAAGAGGAGGAGGAAGACGCTCAGGCCGCTCCGCAGGCTAAGCACGCACCCAGTGGCTCTTCCAAGCAGTTTACTCCAGCCCAAACGGCGGCGTTGTACGCGGCAAAGGGCTCGAACGCGAAGGTCAAGGTCGTCCGCCAATCAGGCGGCCGTATCTAATTATTGTGCTCTCCTTTTCCTATCCGTCTCTCGTGTAATAGGTCCTCCGTATCCGTCGTCGCCGCAGGCTCTCTTAGTACACGTCGTCTTGTTTTGTCCCGTACTACCATAGATCCCGAATATCGTGTGTGTGCCGTTTCTTCCAGTGCCCGGCGAATGCCGGACGTCATGTGACATGCAGTTCTCACGGGTCTCATCCGAGCGCGGCGGGAAATGATGGCTAGGGACCCACCGCGCGCGACGTCCCGCTCAAGACCGCCTCCTCAAGAAAAATACGCAATGGCACGTACTGGTGCGTCGTCCCTATGATATTGGTGGTCATATTGCATGCTGAAATTATCGCCAAATAGATCTCCGCCGCGGCCTGAACCACGGGCACCCCACGACGCCGATCGAGAAGACGGTGAAGCCCTCGCAGCGCAAGGGCATCCAGAGCCAGAAGACAAAGTTCGTGCGCTCGGTCGTCAGGGAGGTCGTCGGCTTTTCGCCGTACGAGCGCAGGGTCATGGAGCTGCTCAGGAACTCCAAGGTGCGTAAATATATGTTTGTACCATCCGCCAAATATACTGAAATAATCGAACAGGACAAGAAGGCGCGCAAGCTGACGAAGAAGCGTCTCGGCACGCTCCTCCGCTCCAAGCGCAAGCTCGAGGAGCTCAGCAGCATCATCCAGGAGAGCCGTCGCGCCCACTAAATCTTCGCCTCCCCGCCATCCACCACCCGCTTCTCCCTTGCTCTTCTATGTTTTTTGCACCCGGCCCATCCCCATGACATGTATTGTTATGCATTCCCATCACCCCAAATGCCAAAGCCATGCGCTTCCCGCGGTCTGTTGTACGAGACGGATGTCCATCAGGCGTGAAAACTGAGGGCGATACACGCATATCACAGTCGCTCTTGCTGTGAGGTTCAGCTCGTGTCGGAGAGTTGGACAGGCCACTCATGCTGTGTACTGAGCTTTTGAACTCGGTAGACCGGCGAAAAATAATCATGACGCTCACGCATATTGGAGATCTGAGCGTCGCCCAGTCAGCGATAGCGCGAAAGTACAATTCGTTATAGTCTCTGTACTCCATTAACCAAGCGTTATATTCGTGAAGATAGCAACAGATAGCAAGTATGACGTTAGAGTGCGCGATTCTTAGTATTCCAAAGCATTGTTCGACAAAGCCTTCGTTCGACCCTTACGCCTGCAAGCCACCCTTGAAGACGTCGTTCTGGATGGACTGGAACACGGCCGGGTCCGCTTTCGCGAGCACGGCCTGCATAGCTTGCACGCCAATGCGCTGCTGAGCCGCTTCGAGCGCCTGTCCGACGTACTGGGCGAGGAGCGTGGTGCGGACGATATCGTGGTCGAATGTCTGCGAAGCACAGCCCGTCAGTTCAGGTTCGGGTCAAGGGAGTCGAGGTGACTTACGGCTTTGCGACGTTCGTACTCGGCCGTGTCTTCCGTGCCCTTATAGAAGGCAGTCGTGGGAGTATCCCAATAAAGCAGCACAGTCGTCTCGCTCTCCTGGTTCTCTTTATCAGCCCTCAACAGCAGCTCCTCCCTCAGCTCTCCGAACACGTCCGTCCAGAGGTTGAAGATCTCCGTCGGAAGGCGTTCGAGTACCTCCGCGCGCGTCGTGGAGACGAGCGCAGCAATGCCCATGGCCGCGAGCTTGCGGTAACGCGGTTCGTGCATATTGTCGAAACGTCGCCACCATTGATCAAGTACGCCTTCCCAGAGCGTGGATTCGGGCACACCGTTCGCTTGAGACGTCACTTCTATCAGTTTGACGAAATGCTCCGGACTCGCAACGGCAACACGGGCGAAGATATGGATGTGTGTCGTGAGCATAAGCGTGTCCATCTGCGTAATGAATCAGGCGCCATGCGCGGCAGGCTTAATGATGGCACGGACCTTATCGGCACAGACATTCTTCAGTAGCCAGGCAAAGAGTTGAGATGTATGCAGAGCTTCGGCGCAGGAGGATAGATCTGCCAGCTGGAAGAAGAGTTCGAGGGCGTCGAGGAGGTCTTTTTGGTTCAGGACTACCATGGCGTCGCTGACGGCTTCCCTGAACGCCTCCATCAATGGTGCCGCATAGACCTAGAGAAAGCAACAGCATCAGCGTCAGGATAGTAGCGAGTGAGTGGCTACAAACCCTTGAAAGGTCAGCAGCGCCGAGAAGGAAGTAGCTCTCCATGATATCCGACATCTTGCCCAGAAGATCCTTGTTGGTGCGTAGCGTGTTGATCGCGAGTGGGAAGAGATCGACCAGGCCGGGTTGACCGTTCGCACCCTGGAGCGTGTTAGTAGCGCGTAGGGCGGCCAACCAGAGCTTCATCCCGTCCTCGTCCATCTGGACGATGAACTCGGACGAGAGACACTGTTGTACGATGGGAACAATGATTGATGCGAGAGGTGCAGACTGATCGCCGAGGGCCTATAACATACTCAGTGAAGTGCTCGGTTGAAGATCTCTCCCTCGAGTGCTCACAATCACGAGCGCTTGTACAGTGTGTACGATGGATTGCTTGAGCATGATCTCGCGGCCCGACTCGTTCCCTGTCCGAATGTTAGCCATCGTTAACAACGGGAAAGTACGGCAGGTCTCACAGAGCTCAGGAAGTGGACCAGTGACAAGCTCGACAAAGGGCATGATCTGACGCTCCGAAGCCTCGATGACAGCATTCAAGCAATCGGTGATCTTGCGCTTCGACTCAAGGTTGTCAACGCTATCCAGCAACTGCAATAACTGGCTCAGGATCGGGGAAAGGTATGCCGCGAATGCGTCCGGTGTGACAGTGATCGCCTTCACGCTATGCATGATGGCAGTTGCCGCTGTGAGGCGAACGACTTCGGAACCCTGTATACTGCTATCCGAGAGCAGCACGACCAGGATCTCCCAGACACGGGTATCCTTCGCCGGTAGGGAACCTTCGATCATCCATCGTCCCAGCATCCACGCAATCCTGCGCTTCAGGATGAGATAGCTACAGGACCTTCATCAGTAACTGATCGACGATGTTAATGGGTATAGGCATACTCTTGACTTGGTGCTTTGACCTCGTTCATCGCGATGTCCAACCATTGGGCCAAGTTCAAGTCATCCTTCAGTCGGTGGGAGCAGCGACCAATCGCGGTGTAGACGGCTTCCTTTTCGAGTATAGAGGGAAGACCAGCTGGTGGTCGCGCTACGCGGGAGTGTCAGACGTCGCCAACGGTCCACATAATAGTGACCTACAATTGACGTTGTTGAATGCCTCGATCAAGAGCGGGTTCGTCACGCTTGAGAACTGCGACGAAAAGGTCATGAGAACACGCTCAGCGCAAGGCTAGAAGGCAAGTCAGTAGTATGCTCGCAGGCGACGCAGAACCACACGAACGCGGATCTGGAATTGCCACTGGATGTCGTCCTGATCTTCGACGTTTACGAACTCTTCAGGATCCGCCATCCATTCTTGTAGATCCTTCTCCTTGAGAGGCATAAACTTCGTGACGAGGAAAGTGACAGCCTCCCGGACAACAGTAGGATCTAGGACTGGGACGAGAGGTGTCAACATCGTCTGTATCCAGGACTAAATCGGGGGGATCAACCTTGCGGGGCGCCCAGATCCTTCTTGTGAGACCACTGGGCGAGATTATCCTTGAACAGAACCATTCCCTGCACCAAGAAGCGAAGAGGATAGACAGCCAAAGGAGAGTCTAGGGCCTCGCGTTAGCCTGATGAAGTGAGAGGCGTGGTCGTAGAACAGACCGTATGTAGGCGCATCGTCGTTAATTGACTGCACGACCTTGCCCCAATAGTACATCACGAGGGTGTTCGTCGCCTGAAGCCCAACAAATCGTGATGCACTGAGCTGTTGTAACCTGCGGAAGAACTTTCCGAGAGTCCGGATGAGAGCGGAGAGCCCCGCCACAGCGTCGCTGACTGCGCGATCGCCTTGTCCGGATGCAGCGAAGTTAACGGCGAGGCTATGTCGTGCCTCACAGATGGTCTGGAAGTCCACCACCGAAGACTCGATGGCGGATACGACCTGAAGAGACTGTTCAGCACGTAGGTATCACCATAGCGGCAATATGCTGACCCAGGGTTCGAAACGTTGTGTGATCTCCTTCCGTGCGGTGTTCACGGACTGCCACACCCAGACCGCCATGATGGTTACACACTTCAGAAGCAACCGACAGAGCTTGATGTCCTCTAGTGTCCTTGGAGACGAGATGGTCGACGGATCTAGACGTGTGATGACGCGTTGTACGGCGAGAACGTATCGTTGCGCGATGGCTTCGTGAATAGTTTCCATGATCTGGAAAACGAGTTGCTTGGACGGTAGCGGTATGAAAGAAGAGACAGCTCGTACTTGTCCCATTGTGTTTGCCCCGAGCGGCATCTTGCTGGCGGTGAACTCCTTGAGAACGGATTGGAGCACGCGGATAGATCGTGTCAGGTAGAGCATGGTTACACCATCGGGTGCATCTTGTTGCTTGTCCCGTTCGCCGAAGCCGTACTGAATGCGGGTCATGATCTCGCTGAGTAGCGACGACCTGTAGAACTATTACTTGAGATATTCGCATACGCACAAAGTAATCAAAGTACGCACCACTGATTGGGGAAGTCACTACGCGCAATCTTGCCCACGATGACTTCGTTACATTGCGCGATCTAAACATAGTCAGTGGCGCCCATATACTGCAGTTGTCAAAGGGCACGCACCGTCTCATCCGGCTCGTCGAGGAAGACTATACATCTCTGACGTATCATATCCTTCTGCTCGGGGAGTATAGATCTGGGAGTCTGTCAGCACTGTGACGCGTATGCACACTTGGCCGCCCGCACTTTCGTTGACGCCACTGCGTGGGCATCTCGTTCTTGCACTGTAGCATGCACAGCTGGCGGATAGGCAGGGGTATATCCCTATTAGAAGCAATATTATGGAGTTCGTTCAGTGTCCCGGGTATCTTCAGAGCGTCCTTGAGACGCGTCGAGGCTGCCATCATGACCGAGGGGTCCTGCGAGGCGGAGGCGGCGACGATCTGGTGCAGCTCCTGGACGTCCATCGGTGGCACAGGCTGCGGCGGATGGTGCACATTATGGTTCATCTCTAAACGGCAGGTCGTGCGAGCGCCAATTGGTGGTGGCGAGAGGCAGACCGGCGTCAACGCGACTTGACTTTCTCGACATCCGGACACGCGCCCGTTTTGCGCGTGACCGCGTTCGATTGGCGTTGGCCTGGACGCGCTGGATCGCGTTTTGTGTCCGAACCACGTCTCTCTCCCCAACCACCACCTCGTATGCGGCAATAGTGCATGCCGACTCGCCCTTGGTCTCTGAAGAGACTTCTTTCAGTCAGCATACACGTGCAGCCTCCTTATTTATTCTCGGCTGCAGTGACCTCACGAGGTCTCATCTCTCCCTACACGACCACCCCACTCGATTCCGCCACCGCAATGTCCAACGAATACGTTGAAGACTCGGAGCCTGAGAGGGAATATATCAGGATGTCGCAGAAGAGCCGTTCTAAGTCTCGCGTCAATGCACAGTCTTCACCGGAAAGCGGTTCAGTTGATGGCAGCTATAAGCAAATTGGTAGCGACAACAGAAACATCATCGATATCAGCAGTGGTTCGTTTAACCTTGCCTCTATAGACGTGTTAGCATTCGGTCTAACTCTTGCGCAGACATGTCAGGTGTATTTGCTTCACCGGCTACCCCTGCGCGTAAAGTGACGGTGAAAGAGAGAATCATCGACATCAGTGGTACGAACTACCCGTTTTCTGAGTGACAGCCCCTGACGCTAGATATAGACTCTCCTGAAAATTCATTCACTTCGCCTGGTGTCCCTGCTGCTGCACGCGTCCCTCTCCCTGTCATTCAGAGCCCCATCATCGATTTATCTCCTATTCGGCCGAGCAAATTAGGGATGTACAGCAATGTTGGTGGTAACTCAAGCGACGACGGAGTGGCACCGCGCTCAGCGCTGACACGCTTCGCTCTTCCAGCAGCACAACCTATCGCTGGGCTTTTGAATGCAAAGAAGAAGACGCACCCCAGTCTGACAACATCGACCACTTCTGAAGCCCCCAAAGATAAACCTCTCGCCAAACGCGGTCGCCCAGCGAAAGCTGACGTACTTGGCGACTTGAGTGATAGGCAGCTTGCGGGGCTTCTGAAATGCGTGTGTTGCGACATCAAATGGACGACTAGGAAGTCATCTGCTCAGAAGGCGTCGCACATCTCTTCGTGTGCCAGGAAGCACGACATGACCGCCTTGACTGTGCAAGGGCTCGTGCGCAAAGAGATAGATAACGCACCCCCCGCTGTTTCCAAGTCAGCGCGTACAGCGAAAGACACTCCTCTGCTTTCTTCGCAAGTTCCGACACACTTAGAAGACATCGTCAACCGTGCAGAACCGAAGAAGCGCGGGCGCCGCCCCGCAGCATCAGCCACCGTGCAAGCACCCTCTGCTGCCCATAGCGACATTCTTGACCGTGCACGCGCGGTATTGCATCGCGAGAACGCCCCCGTCATAGGTCCATCCGCGACTTCCCGTCGTCCACTTTCGACCTCAGGACACGCTTCACCGCAGAGGCTGCCGGAAGTAACACAGCCATTTGCCAAGAGCGCTCTAGCGGGACGAGGTCGTAGTCTGTTCTTCGCCGACCGCGAAGAAAACGTTGAGGAGGAGCCTCCGGCGACTCAGCCGTTCGGCGCGTCGAAGTTTGGCGCTCTGTCGCGTCTTCAAGCACCAGCGCCTATCGCGTCGTCCTCTGCCATAAGCGTACGTTCATTAATTCCTTATATAAACCATGTCTCATAACACACAGGTGTCTTCTTCTTCTTCTCCCGATGACCATGTGATCGCCGTCAACGCCCATAGCGCAAACGAGCCCTCTCCTCGAGCTCCTCGATCAACGAAGATGTCCCCGCAGCCCGACGCCCAGCCTCCCTCTTTTTCGCCGACAGGTTCTGACTACTTCGAATACGCCAACGACGATTTCTACAACGTCCAGCCCGGGGAAGATGACTGGCACGATGCCCCAGACCCGTACGATCCTGAAACACGATATACTCCTCCTGTATACTTGCCACAGCCTATCATTCCTATCCTCCGTGAACAACGTGCCCACCCTGGCCCTATTCCCGAGCCCGCTTCCTCTGCAAATCCTAACATTGCAAACGCCCTGTTTATACCCGCTGCTGTCCGTAAACCCACCAAGAAGAGAACCAAGAAGGCGGCGCCCGCCGTAGTCTTGGACGATGACGCTCTTGAAGTTGAGATGAAGAGACTCATCCTCGCGGATGAGGCTCTGTATCTCCGAATTCTGAGGTTTGAGGTGTGCATCTTTGACCATCGTGCGATACAGTTGCTGACTTGGCCTTTAGCCCATACATTTCGACGTCTTCTATGAGCTCGCGCTGTCCATCGGCATCTCGGACAGAAAGCTCAAAGCGCGCGTGAGGACCATACTGGATAAGCAGGTAAGCCACTTCCAATCTTAATCCTTGAAAGCGGCGGGGACTGAACTCGTCATGTAGGTCATCTCTCATTACGGGGCGGAGCCGGGGGGCAAGCGGACTCGCAAGCAATATCACCCTTAGTATACTACTGTTGAAATAATGATACAATATATGCGCCTGTTGAAGACATGAGAGTAATGTACGATAGCGAGGTTTAGGACAGCATGCACGATCTATATGGGTAACGGAGCGGATCTCTATAAAGCAACATCAGATAAGTCGGCCACTTCAATGACGCCGCCGACAAGGTGAAGGCTGCCGGTGACAAGGACGTCTACAGGTTCTCCCTTCTCCTCTGCACCACGAACAAGGCGGATAGCATGCTCGATCGAGGGCAAGACGTGGATATTGTCCGACGGGAAATCGGGAGCTAGCCCTCTCCAGGCGTCCGCGAGCTCGTGCTGTACTGTTAGGTACTTGAGCTCGTCTTCGGGAATGCTGACAGCGGTAAGGTCTATATCCGCACACATGAGCCAATACTCAGTGCATCCCTGACATTGTACGCACCGCCCTTGAAGTGTCCATCCGCGTATGTGACGTTCGCACAGAAGATGACGCGGTCGAAGAGGCTCGTGGCCGCTTCCTGAGAACCATGCAGTTGCAGTTGCTCCGCCGCCTTGACCATCATCGATCCCAAGAAGCGCTGGCCGGATCGGCCGTGCGTGCAGTTGAAGATCAGAATACGTTCAGGGCGTTTCCTGGGAGCGTGCGTCAAGAACGGCGACAGGGCATTCTTTCACGACTCACGATATAGCCGTTGGTCGCAGCGCTGCATCTTCGCTAGCGAACCACTGCATACAGCAATCAAGGCTCTCCACAGTGTGAGCGCCGTCCAAAAACCAGGTTATCGAAGCGTGGCGCGGGTCAGACACAGTCTGACAGCGGCCAGGCCACTTAGTATTCTGCAACCCTTCCACGAATTCTGCCGATAGCGATGTCGATGGAGAGACCCCATCATGGCGTTCGAGAAATTTTTGTGCGAGAGCGACTGCAAGCCTTGCGTTTTGGCTCTGGTGAAGACCCGGAAGGCCAAGCTTTATGCTGGCCAAGTCGTGCACCGAAGAAGCGATAACAAACTCCGAGGCCTGTCGTACTGCGTGAGGCCGGGAGACATGTAGTGCATGCAATACGGATGTTACCTTAACCTTCTTGGCCTCCATCTCCAGTACCTCCAACCCATCTTGAGGCTGGTTCACCGTGATGGCTGGAACGCCTTCCTGCATTGCATACATAAACAACCGCAAACCCGTGCATGCTTTACCGTTGCTATACCTTGTATATACCCGCCTTCTGCCACGCTATCTCTGGAATGGTCTTTCCGAGAACAGTGACGTGGTCAATACCGAGGGCAGATATGCCGGTCACGACCGGCTTAGGTACAATGTTGGTGCTGTCAAACCGACCGCCAACGCCGACTTCAAGGATGGTCGCGTCAACCTGGGCTCGCATGAATACAGAACGGCGTTGTGTATTCGATTGGCCTACCTTCAAGCTCAAGAATACATGGTACGCCACCAACGTCATGAACTTGAAGTACATGGGTTTGGGTGCCGATTCAGGGAACTTGGTCTGGCAGAGGATCAGCGCGCTGTCACACAGAACGCAATCTTATCTACCTCCGTATTGGCATCTAGCCTGTCCCAGACCTCGAAATAGAACTTGGCGAAGTTGTCCTCAGAAATGGGAGCACCATTGATGCGAATACGTTCGCGAACGGCGACAAGATGTGGTGACGTGTAAAGACCTTGCCAAACGGTCGACACGCGGAATAAACCACAGATGACGCCAGTGCCTACCAGTTGTCAAATTCGGTCGAGCATGACGCAAAATAGAGTCCGTGAAAGCGCAAGTAGATCCCTTTCCCTTGGTGCCAGTAACATGTACGACGTTCAGTCGGTTAAGATCCTCTTGCTGTTTGTCGTAAGAGTTAGTCGTATTGCTGTGTACGGGCCTTAGCTTCTGTACCTTGTAACCTATCCTCTCAAGATAGTCAACCATCTCCGCAATAGCTGTTTCCGTATTCCGATTGCCGGCGGCCCGAGCAGCCTCAATATGAGCCGCATTAGACTGCAGAGAGTTGAGGCAGTCGATTGCCTCCCTGTATGAGCGCGTGGTCATTGCGCGTCTACCGAATGACCTAGGAGGACCTTTAGGGGCGAAGATCTGGCGTGATGGGAGACGAAGTCTGAAAAGCATTCCGCAAGGGCAATCGACGACAGGAAATAGGCGCTCTTTCGCGATCGCGAAGCCCTTATCTTTGATTTAGATCTTATCGGCCACGGTCACATGTGGTTTCAGATCGCTCAGCTTGCTCGACGCGTCGAGCAACCGCATCTTGCTCCCGACCACCATCGACCAATAGACCTGCATATGCAATTCCGCCGACATGGATGCATTTGTGAAAGTGATTCCCTCAAATCGTCAACCTCGATCGTCCCCTTCAGTAGCCTCAAGCAGTACATGCGATGAAGACAGGAAGATCCAACCTGGATTCAAGCCCTCTCGAACTGCGACAAGGAAGAACATTCTGCAAAACCTCAAGAGCGATCACAATCCTATTACAAAATCCGATAGCAAAGAAAGAGCAGGTAGCTGGCTCACTTAGATCGGGGGGGTGGTTCAAGTCCTCATGTCAGCCATGTTCAGATCACATCGTCTCCCTGGCAACCGGTCATCAAGTGGGAGACTACCCCAGGGATACTAGAAGATATCTCGATGTTAGACGCGAGAAGCTGAAAGACCAAGCTCAACAAGCGCCGATACAGAACAAAGTTTTGAGCGGGACTCGGGTCTACATCAATGGATTCCTGCGCGGTACAACAGATACTGAGATGAAGAGAGTCGTCACTGGTGCGGGTGGCCACATGCTGTAAGTAGACTTGCGCCAAAGCGAGCGAACGCAGCAATGACCCTCTTTCAGACACACGCCTTCTGGTGCCACACATATTCTGACGTCTCAAAGTCTGAATGGCTCAAAAACTCACAAGCTCTTGCGCTCGAAAGCAAAGTTGAAGCCTCAAGTCGTACGTCCCGAATGGGTATTTGATAGCATTGCTGCCGGCAAGAAGATCGACACTCGGACATACTCGGTACTCGATCTTACTGCTAGAATGGCGAGTGTGACAGGGCGTCACGCCGAGGGAGGAGCGTAATTTAGTTGGTTTCGCGCCGGCGCAGCGTACTCCATGAACGCATGAGCGCCTGCCCCTGCGCCATATAGTCTACCCCGTGTTTTTAGTCTGCTGCCCCACTCTTTCATCCTGGCTTCAATGCATCTTCCGTTCACTCCAAACCATATACTTCTAATAGACGCCTGTTACCCGCCGCCCGCCGCCCTCTCCACATCACCAAACTCTCAGGAGCTTTCGCGCCTGACGTACTATGCCGCCAATAAGTCTGGGAAGCTCACCAAGCTGGGCGCGGAGATGGAGAAGCGGATAAAGGCGGAGAGCAAGAGAGCACAGGCTAATAACGCGCGCTCGAGAGCGTATGTCCTGACAACGTGTTCGATATGGCACGCGCGCCTGACGTATGACAGTTCCCTGCTCGTTTCCCTCCAGATACTGCGCGCACTGGCTACGGAATGCCGAAGAGATCTTTCGCTCTTAACACCCTCCCTCTTGGCCTCCGTGGATGCGACGCTGCAAGCCCTGCCGGCTGACCTGGAGATCTGCGCAAAGGCAGCCACCCTCGTGCGTGACCACTTGTGCAGTCTCGTGCAGCTATTGACCTCCCATGTAGTTTACAACATGGACCACCTACACAGATGGCCGCCTCATTGGAGTCGATCAGGCAGCGACGAAGGCGTACATGTCGACTCTCGAGAAGTTCTCAAAGATGAGCACTCAGGAGGGCAAGTCGGCCGATCACGAATTCCGCAACAGGTGCGCAGTCATTGCTGCTGCTCGTCCCGGACTCTCTTGAACATAATCGCAGAACGCGTTTGGTCGGTCTCGCTGTCGTATCAGGCGTCGTCAACTCCGAGGCGTTGTATACGTCCAATACCCTCCGGCAACAAGTCCCAGTCTTCGTACCGGCACTACTGACGAACATCCTTGAGTCTAAGCTGGATACACTACACACTCAGTGAGTCTTACTTGGCGCTTCGAGTTCCATATTACTGACAAGTAGCGCAGGGCAAAAGCCAGAGATAGTGGCACTGCATCCCCTTACCTCGAGGAGTTCCGCGCCCGACCACCGAATGAGAGACGAGCTGCATCCATCCACGTTCATAAAGACGGGGAGCGCGGACCATCCTCAACAGATCTGGTCGATGCCTCCATGGGTGCTCTACAGGCCCTGTTCGCGCAGTCCACGGGCTCGCACATCACGCACGTCATACAAGCCGTATTGAACGGTATCGACGAGCGGCAGGCTTGGATCAAGGAGAAGCATTGCTGTTGGCTGGCTACGAAGGCGACTGAGTGGTCGCAATACCAATACCGCTACGCTATCCCGACGAAGCTCATCGAACGTCTTGTGGAAGATCAAGACACTTCAAATGTCGCCAACATCCACACCTCCCTCGCCGCCATGATCACCGCGGTCTTCACTTCGTCCCTTCACCTCATCAACTTATCTACATCGGACTGCATCTCCAACCTGTTAGCGCTCGTGCTGCGGCGAGTGGCCGTGAGTTCCGACGACAAGTTACTTCCAGCTCTAGCCAGCTGCATCGCGTCGCTCGGCTCGCATATCTACTATTCGGACCAAATCCAGGACCTGGCTTCCGAGGTCATCAGTCGGCTCTTGACGGTGGACTCGAATGGTGTACCTGGTCGAGAAGATGGTTCCGACGACGATGGCCGCCATCCAGCAATACGATACCTCCTTTCCAGTCTTGTCGGGCTCATCTTGGCGCCCGGTCGGCAGGAGATCGCTCTGGAGACCGCGAGCGCGGCCGCAAGCAGCCCCAGATCGCTGCGGTTAGCGGATGGGTTGCCACACGAAGGGCCAGCGCGAGTGTCCAAGCGCGCGAAGGTATCACCGGAGACGTGGCAGGATACCTTGCACCTCCTGTGTAGCGAGGACTATAGCGTGCGATCCGATTATGCATATGCACTTGCATTCTTCGTAGAGTCTGAGATGACCAAACGGGGCGAATTCACTGACGCGGAGGGAAACAAGCGCTTACGACCGCTCGCCGATGGGCCACTAAAGCAGATGCAGGACGTCATGTGGATCCTGGGACGCGATGAGAACTCCCGCTTCCTCCAGGCCATGCACGTCTACCTTTTCATCCTGGCGACTGCTACCTCCTTTCACGTGTCCTTCACCCCCGACGCCCCAAAGGCACTCTCCGAAGAGCCTACCTCTCTGCCCTCCGAGATCAATGTCATCCCCGCGACACCCACTGAGCCGACTCCGCAAGCGAGCGAGCGCGATCCCTCCACACATGGTCGGCCGTCACTGTCCGTATCCATGAACATGCGTACGAAGAGGGCATCAACTGCGAAGAGAATGCTGCAGCACCTGCCGTCAAAGTGGTCGGTCAAGCACAGGCCTATCGCTACAGCATCAGATTACCGCAACATGCTCGATCTTCTCACGACGGAATACGAGCATATACCGGTCAAGGGTCTACTTGCTGGTGTGCCATTCCTTGTCGCCCTCGACACCTTCATTCAGGGTGTCAGTGAGCCGGAGTTTCAGGGACATGTTGCTTGTGTGCGGGAGGTCATTACGAGGACGTGGTGGGTGATCGGAAGGGTATGGGAGTGCCAGGAGCTGGTCAACTTGGCAGAGCGCGTACGTGGATACTGCTTTCGCGTCGTACACATAGATTGACGTGCACCTAGGCTCTTTCGACAATTCCGGGAACCACTCTTCTACCCCCCACGAGCGTCAAGAAGTCAGAGACGGGTCATCTGCTTACCAAGGACAAGCCTGTGACCATCCCAACAGAAGGTGGCGGCTGGTTTGGTGTAGATCCGTCAGCAGCTATCGATGCGCTTGTGGCGAATGACCTACTCGACAAGCTGGGTTTCAAGCGTGAAGTGGTAGAAGAACGTTTGAGGGTTCAATGGACACCCGAAGCAGCGTGGGCAGATTGTGAGCTTCATCCCGTTGCGCTTGATGGGTATGGACTGACGTCCTTCAGCCACCGAAACCCAATCAGGGCTCGACCCGCTACGCGGCGACGGCGCGTCCAGCAGGTTGAGACTCGCACCAGGGCTCATGCACATTGAGAACCTCTCACTGCAGAGCCTCGCACGTTCTGGGCAGGCTGTTGGCGTGAACGACCTGCGCGACGCGCTTCAAGGCCGGGCAAGTATGTCAAACCCGACGCTTGCAGGCCCGCGCGCCCCGTCGGTCTCTACGCTCGACCATGCCTCTTCAGCACATCATGGGGATGCCATGTATAAGCTCTCGCCATCTCGCTCGCGTCCGGATAAACCGAGGATACGCGGTGATCCAACCGAGGTGCGCGACATGCTGAATAAGCTACGCATTGGAAAGGCCGGCGCCGCGAACGGGAGTGGGCTTCTCAAGTCCTCGTTCCCATTGGCACAGAAGTCCCCTATCAAGTGAGTTCAGTTCCTGCATCTTAACGCTCCTTCGCTGATCGACGACGTAGGCCTCCCGCATTTGTTCCGCCGTACAAGTCATAAGGTCATAAGGACTAAGGACTATTCGCATCTGACCCTTGCATGTTTTGCATCGTATCTACGCTTCCACATATTGCAATCTATCTCGAGAGCTACACTCATGAACGCTAGAGCGTAGTCTAACAGCGCAGTGACGTGCAGTGATACTATTGTGATTAGGCCCCAGGTGTGAGTGCTGCTGGCAACGGACTTCTATGTACGATGAGTGACGGACGACGTGTGGTGACGTGCTGGATAGAGTCTATAAGATCTAAGCATCAATGGTAGCCTCGAATGTCTGCTTGTCCTCCTCTTCTTTCCGCTCGACAGCAGGCTCGACCTTGCTCTCGTCCTTTATCGGTTCCTCATGCTTGTCCGCGTCTGCAGGGGCTTCTGCATGGCAGCGCTTGCACGTGCAGGGGAAGCGCCAGCCACGAGCCAGCTCCATGCGACGGCGACGGCGAGCATCGACAACGGGCTCGTCCGGCTGCGCTGTTGTGTCGACATATGCTACAGTGATCTCCTCGCCCGCCGCGATGTCTCGCGTAGCGGTGAGACGGAGGGTGGCAGAGTCGGTGAAAACGGGGCGCGCGTTGGGGTCACAGTCGTGTTGAGCCTGCGGAGTTGTATCAGCTAGACATGCTGGTATATGTATCGAAGAGAACTCACATAAGAAGACACAATGTAGAAGGCGCTTCCAACTTGACGGTTCGTACCAACAGCGGAACGAGTACGCTCCTTGTCCTCTGGCCGCAGGCCATCGTCAGGCTGTATTTGATACGATCAATGGGCGTCTAACATAAAGATCGAGAATGCGACTCACCTTGTCGTCGCGACCCTCGCTATAGTACACGCCGTACGAGTTGTACAGCATCTGGCCCTTCACTGTGCCGTAACGCTCCTCTGTGATGAATTGATCCAGCCCAGGGAGGACGCTCTCGAGCACGTTGCGGAAAGTTATGACCTCCTCTTCCTCGGGTGTAACCTCCAGGAAGCGCAGACGCTCGACATGGTCGTAGAGCGTGAAGTCTGAGAGACCAAATACAGTGGCCGGCTCTCCTGGCATACCGGGGAACATCTTCGAGAGCTCTCCAGATACCTGGCGCGCATTGAACCGGGCTACCAATAAAGGTGCAATTTTGCCCTGGGTGCGAAGGCGGGCAACGAAGGCATCTTGAGCTTCCGCGCGCTTTGCGATCATTTCGGGCGTGAGCTCTGCTTCCGGTACCGGCGATGTAGTCCCAAACAGAAGGCCTTGGGATTGATTGACCGACTTGAGCTCGCACTCCTTGCTACAGTACGAAGGGCCGAATTTGTCCGTGCCTTCGGGCGGGCGGATGGCAGAGTCGGGGCTAATCGGACGGAAGCAGTGCGAGCAGTAGAGTCCCTTGCCCTCCAGGTCAGTGTCGAGTGCGGTGACAACGGGGTCTTCCTATATGCACATTCATGCGGTGAGCCTCCAGTGGACAGAAGTAGGTCCAAGTGTACCGTGTAAATGACGTCGCCGGCCTTGAAGTCCTTGGTTGCGACGAGAACGCGCTTGCGCACTGTGGCACCGTTGGTGCTCTCAATATCGACGGGTTTGGCCGTCACGTTCATGTCTTTGGGAGGGAAGGCGTCCCAATAACCTACGTTGCCATCCTCACCTTAGCCTGGTAACTTGATATGTCTGCAATTCTGGCGTACCTTCGACACGCGTCTTCACCTGAGCATGCAAGCAAAAAGAACATATATTAGAACGCGTCCGAGCAACAAGAAGCAGAAGAGTGCGCGTGGTAGTTATGATATATGGCGAGTGGTACAGTGTGGTGGAACATGCATCACGTCGTGGCAGGCGTCTGACTACCCGGATCCGTCACTCTGTCCCAGTCCTGAGAAGAAGTCTCTGACGGAGCCTGACGAGAGGACACGGACTCTCCATCTGACTCTCGTTCGCGGGATTGGGTGGGAGAAGGGGGACTCACGTCCAGTTGGGTCATCTCAACGACGAGCTGCGCGGGTTGTCAGCGTTGAGTCCTACTGGGTATGCAAGACGGACGCACTTTGAACACAGGCTCAGGCACTGTCTGCTGATAGATCATAAGGAGTTCGACAGGCGAGGGGTATACCCGCAATGCGCGGAAGAAACACATCGCTGCGGTCAACGAGAAGGCGGGACCTACGCGATTGAACATCAGTAAATTTACGATACACGACACGGAGACGGCATACCCTGAGCGCAAAGGGTCTCTCCCATATTGACCTGTTGCATGAAGTATTGCTCCTTTGCTTCTGGTGAAGCTGGCAGCTCTTCCTTCTTGACAGTCTCAATGGCCGCACGAAGCTCGACCTCGGTGATATTGAGCGGTCCCAGGGATGCTGCTGACGCAGAAGCCGACGCTGCTTCTTGAGATGCAGCAGACTTGTCGACCTTTTTCTTGTCCTTGCCTATCAGAGCGTTGAGTGATTTCACGCTAACCCAGGTATATAAAACCTATGATGACGCACGGAGCTTCTTGCGGAAGGCAGCATCGTTGCGGCGTTTGTTGTCAAAGTAGACAGCATACGCAATTGCGCCCGAGACGAGCGTGACGCCCGCGATGGTCAGGATGCTGGCAGTCTTCATCCTCGTGGCACTGGCAGAGTGTGTGGTGGACGCAAGTCAAGGCGCGTCAAGCGCCCGGTTCAAAGACAGAAGCGCGTCACGTCACGGGCGGCGTGCCAGACGCGTGCTCGCGCGCCTACGCTTCGGCCGCGCGTCACCGTGTCTGAACGCGGGCGCGACTTGCCGTTAGCCATCACTGCTAGAGGGAATTACATGCACAGCTTGGGTTCAAGTTCACACACAGTTACACGTTGGCTCCTTGTCTCTGCCCACCATGTCCACCCTCAGTCGCTTCTCTGACGCGTTCGTTAAAGTCACTTTCCAGGAGGAGCCTACGCATGGCGACCCCATCGCCGAGCCGTGGCACCAGTTGGGTATGCGTTCACCCGACAAGTATACAGTGATATGTTCAATACCGCAACAGGTTCGCAGAAGCATCAGGGTACTGTGGTCGCTATGTATACACGTATTGGGTACTACCACCTGCGGTGTTGGCTGATACGGTTTCAGGACGCACACTCTGCAAGAGAAATATCCTGGGTACTCCATAGTTGCGACGCAGGACTACCGTTTGAACCTGTTGAACTTCCCCATGACTGCCATTGAACCTCTGTCCCCCTCGGATCTCGTGACGAACATTGTCTTCGTGCCACTTCCGAAGAACCGATCCGAGGTTCCCGGCGCACTCGCCCAATCGATTCAATACGGTGGCTTCAAGGTGTCGTGGCAGGTACGGGCTTTCTAGACGTTCAGGTTACATTTGCGCTGATAGTACCGCAGTCTTACGAGTTCATCGTCTATACCGTCGTCGTGAGTCCGGTGTTACCTTGAAGGTCTTATGTACTGAGAACCCTCGCAGTATCCTCAAGGTTTTGGCCAATACCAGCAGCACTTCATTCTGCATGACGGGCCGAAGGGACCTGCTCATACTATGCTCCTCGCGGCGGGTGTCTTTGCTGATGCTTTGCACAACGAGATCTGGGTCTTCAACCAAGGATTCTGGGACAAGGATGCTGGTCTTTGGAATGAGATTCAGAAGGCTTCTTGGGACGATGTCATCCTGGAGGACGATTTCAAAGAGGCCGTCAAGAAGGATATTTACGGCTTTTTCGACTCCGAGAAGTTATACAAGGAGTACTCTTTGCCTTGGAAGGTATGCTCGGCCCGTTATCCTCATAACTCTACTGATACCAGTGATAGCGAGGCATCATCTTCCATGGGCCTCCCGGCAACGGTCAGCACTTACGCATACTAGAGCTGAACCTCCCTGACATCTTCGTCTTAGGCAAGACAATCACCATCAAAACCATCATGAAAGAGGCTGACATGCTCGGCTACACTCCGATGTATGTCAAGTCTTTCAAGAGTGAGAATTTCGCGTGCGTCATATACTATACTTGGCTCAACTGGGAACAGGCTGGATGGGCGACGAAGGTTCTAGTGCGTACATATAGTTTTGTGTTCGTCTATCATTGGAATCTCACAGCTTTACAGTGGCCGCTGTATTCGGCAAGGCCCGGCAGAATTCTCCCTGCCTCATCGTCTTGGAAGACCTTGATGCGCTCATCAACGACTCGAACCGCTCTTTCTTGTACGTGCATCCTGCCCGCTCCGTGGCTTACTTTCTAACAATGGTTTCAGCCTCAACGAGCTGGACGGCATCAATGGCAATGATGGTATCTTGGTCATCGGCACTACCAACCACTGTACGTACCGCTCCCATATGCTTGCTAAGTAAATCATCTGACCAGTGATACAGTCGACCGGCTAGACCCAGGTTAGTTCAGCCGGGTGTCGCATCTCCCATTCATTGTGTTGTTTACCCGACATCAGGTCTATCGACGCGTCCTTCGCGTTTCGACCGCAAATACCTCTATGATGATCCTAATCGCGCTGCGCGTCGACTGTACGTCAAGTACTGGCAGGACAAACTCTCGCATAACAAGGATCTCGACTTCCCCGAGAGTCTGGCCAACGAGGTAGCCGACACGACGGAGCGATTCTCTTTCGCATACCTCAAAGAGGTCTTGTACGTGTATCGCCTAGTGTACTTCGTTCAACTACTGACGTACATCCAGCGTGTCTTCTTTGGTGACTACGCTTCAGCAGCGTCAAGATGGCCACGACATCTCGTTCGCGAGTTGCATCCGTAAGGAAATCGAGACTCTACGCAAGCAACTGGACAAACCCGGTTCGCTGAGAGTTCAGCAAGCTTCGTCCTCCCCGCGGGGAGAAGTCTCCTCTCCCGCCCCCGTTGAAGATCTAACAGCGCTGCTGCGAGCCGTGCAATTAGGCGCCACGGAAGATACCGTCGAGCCTCATGGCGCTTGGACGAAACTCGTGAGAGGTCTCACTGGGATGCGCCCTACAGGCGCTACTGTTCCTCTCGACTTCTGAACTTTCCATTCCAGAGCGCCTCTTTCCTGTGGATATGAACATGATGTATGTACTACTACGCGCTGTGCGCGCTGCACGCGTCCCATGATACTTGCTATCCTGGCAATTGGCTTTCCCTGCATCTAAGTTACGTTTGGTCCGCGTCCATCGTGCACACGAGGTCATCGTTTGATCATGGGCGCATGGGAACCCTACACCAGTCGGCGTCAAGAACTGTGCAAGGAAGGCGCTTCAGGTAGCGGTATAAAGGGACTGGCCACCTCGCGCCTGTACCAATTCTCTCAGCGGCCACAAGTCGGTTGCAATCCTTCTCAGGCATGACTGCGCAGCGTGACTACACCGATGCCTTCGTCATGGTCTCTTTCCAACAGGAAAGTGACGGTGACCCGGCCTCGAAGCCATGGTATGAACTAGGTATGTCCGCCCTTGCGAGAATGGATGACAGTCACACTGACTTCACCCTGCATGCAGGCTCTGCTAAGCATCAAGGAACGGAGGTCACGATGTAAGTATCTTGACGTCGCTTCGGTGATTGTCAGTCATACGAATGTGTGCAGGGCGAGGATTCTTCAGGAACAGTATCCGTCCCATTCTCTCGTGCTAGCCCATGATGTTCTCTATACAACGTACACGCGCTTTTCCATTCTCTCGATGCCCGGTGTTGAGGTGGAGCTGGTGTCGAAACCGGACCTCGTTGTCAATAACTCGTTCAAGGCATTACCTCGAAGCGCATTTGTCGGCACTCCTGGCGGCGACAATGTGTCAGCAGAGCTCGTCCCTTCAGTTGAGTATGGCGGATTCAAGCTGACATGGAAGGTACGTTAGAGGTATTGTTCGCCTGCACTCTCTGACTGGCGTTCTCAGGATCGGCACTTCCTTTTGTACATTGTACACGTCAGTACTCTTCCTGGCAACTGGTTGCGATGCGGACGCTCACCCATCATGCAGTTTGCACGAGGACTCAGTACCAACACGCAATTCTTCCTGCTTCATGATGGTCCTGAAGAACCATCCCATCAGCTTCTTCTCGCGGCCGGTTCATACCAGAACGAATTGCATGATGAGATCTGGCAGTTTGTGGACGGCTTTTGGCAGAAGAGCAGCGGTTTGTGGAAGGTGCTCTGATAGTTTGCTTCACTCGCGATCATGCAACTGGTCTGATTGGATCATGACCTGTGTACACAGGATATACAGTCGGCGAACTGGGACGACATCATTCTAGAGTCCGACTTCAAGGCGGCCGTCAAGAAGGACGTATATGGCTTCTTCGAGTCGCGCGACATGTACAAACGATTCAAGATTCCATGGAGGGTGCGCGGTCTTGCTCTATATTGCATGTGGAATAGAATCGTCTCATCTTACCCAAGCGCGGGATTATCATGCACGGACCACCTGGTGAGCGCGGCACAACTGTCCATAGATCTATCTGTTCTCATATGTATCATTCATCAGGAAACGGTGAGCAGACTTAAACCCAACTCGGTATCGCTGGATTGCTTGATTGCGCGACAGGGAAAACCATCAGTGTCAAAGCAATAATGAAAGACTGCTCTGTGATGGGATACACGCCGCTGTATGTAAAGACGTTCAAGAGTAAGCCCCAAGTCCCACCTTTATCATCAGCTTATGCATGCTGCCGCAGACTTCCGCGGTGACGAATACGCTATCCAAGCCATATTTGACAAGGTGCGATATCAGAGTGCAACTTTGCAGTGAAATGCCTTCGATTAGAACTAACTACAGGCTCTGTTTTAGGCGCGCGACACGGCCCCATCAGTCATAGTTCTTGAAGACTTGGACAGGTCTGTCGCGGCCTATGTCTTTTCCCGCGCTATGATCGGGACTGAACTCGCAACCATTCGATAGTCACATAACGGAGCAGAACCGCTCCTACTTCCTCAACCAGATCGATGGGATCGGTGGTGAGTGTCGGCTTCGGCGCAAGAGGTCGACCTCGCCTGTTGACCAGTTCGTGGCAGGTAACAATGGCATTCTGGTCCTAGGAACCACGAATCACTTGTACGTGACTGCCATCCGGAGGGGATGTATATGATTGACCGTCCTCTTGATTCTCAGCGAACGCCTCGATCCAGGTTCGTGCACCTTGTGCTTGGATGGGGATCACTCAGCCTGGTCGCTAACTGCTCTATCAGCTTTGAGTACACGTCCATCCCGTTTTGATAGGAAGTTTCTGTTTGACGACCCAGACCGCCCTTCGCGTCGGCTATACGTGAAGTATTGGCAGGACCAACTCGCAGGTAGCGAGGATATCTCGTTCCCCGAAGCCCTTGCTGAAGAGATCGCCGATTCTACGGGCAAGTTCTCGTTTGCGTATCTCAAGGAGGTCTTGTATGTATGGGTCACCTTTCAGCTAGAAGTCGCTAACAACGCATATAGCGTATCCTCGCTCGTGAGCCTGTTGAAAGAACGAGAGGAGGGACACGATGTCTCCTTCGCGCGATGTGTTCGAGAGGAGATCGCCACGCTTCGCAAGCAACTTGATAAGCCGCAAGGACCAGAAGTTGCCAGAAATTCCCAGCTGGCCATGGTCCATTGACTTCGGGACGATGCCGGCGCCTAGACGGGTACTGCTGACTAACTGCCCCACAAAGTGGGACTTTGACCGCTATTAAGATTCCTATTTTGTACGCGTCAATCAACCATGTTGTACTCGGAGGTCATGGGTGTGATGGTGGGAATACTAGAATCACGCGCGTCGTTATGGCTCCACCGAGGAGGAAAGAGAGAATGCGCCTGTGAGTATCTGATAGAGTCACAGCTCCAGCGCATCAAGGCGATAGACGCTGACTGTGGGTATATATGACATTGCTGACTGAAACACGGTCAGAGCACCCCGCCCGCACATCCAAATATGTCTGCTGCCGAACTTTACCCGGATGCGTTCGTCAAGATATCGCTCGACGAAATCGAGATCGAGAAACAACGAGATCCAGCGGCTGAACCGTGGCATCACATAGGTACTCCACACCTTTTGTGTATCCATCATGCGTCAAGATGCCAATGTAACACCTTGTAGGTTCTGCTGCGTATAAGGGAACGGAGATTAGCTTGTAGAGTCCCTCATACCTGCAAGCGCTACTTGGGCTGACACTCGGACCATCAGACTACACGCCCTCAAGACGCAGTACCCGGGACATGTGGCGATGCTCACCCGTAACATCAACGTCTTAGGGATGCCCGGCGCTCAGGTAAGGCCCATCGCACAGGACGATCTCATCACGAACATCGTCTTCGCTTCCTTTCCCCGCAGGAGTGAGCGTGCTGGCTTGCTTCTATCCCGAATCCAATTCGGTGGCTTTCATTTGAACTATAAGGTACGCTAATGATCCTATCCGACCAACTACTGCTGTGTCATTCACATTGCGACATACAGGATCACGACTATCTCGTGTATATCATAGAGGTCCGCCTAACGACACCGCCGCCTCATAATCTCTCACTGACACTTACCTTCGCAGTACCAAAAAGACGGGCCGTGGGATTTCTTTCAGCAGTATGTTTTACACAAGGAATCCGGGACGCCTATCTACGAGCTTCTGTATGACGCGGGGGCGATACTCAGGAAGATCAACAGCTCTGTTCTCGTATTCGAGCAAGGTTTCTGGTTTCGCGATGGTTTATTATGGAGGTATGCACTGTTGTGCGAGACGAACTCCCATGCCATAATGCTAGGCACTAAATGCGTTGCAGAGAACTTCAAGATGCTGACTGGGAGGATATCATCCTCGAGGAAGACTTCAAGGATAACCTCCGGCAAGATGTGTACAACTTCTTCGAGTCTGAAAGAATGTATCAACAGTATAAGCTACCCTGGAAGGTGAATAGTCTGTAAAGTTAAAACAGCCGGGCGGGCTCACGCTCGCATAGCGTGGCATCATACTTTACGGTCCACCTGGAGACGGAAAGACGGTGACGCTCAAGGCACTGATGAAGGATTGCGATATGTTGGGATACATACCTCTCTACGTCAAGTCGTTCAAGAGTCTGTCCTTGGATCCTCGCAACAATTAATGTATCTCATTCTGATACACGCGATAGGCAGGTTCTTCAACGAGGAAGAGTGTATCGCCAAGGTCTTCCAGCAGGCGAGGTGAGTCTGTCCTACGGTCTTTCAGACGATAAAGACTACGACTTACTTGTCCGTGACAGGCTTCAAGCTCCCTGTCTCGTGGTGTTCGAGGACGTGGACTCGCTGATCAACAGCGAGAACCGCAGCGTTTTCCTGAATCAACTGGACGGTATTGCGGGTTCTGAAGGGGTAGCTGTCCTTGCAACGACGAATCATTGTGTGTACACAACTTTTGCTACGTGCACTGCTTTGCACTGAGCTTGAGTCCATCACAGTTGACCGCCTTGATGAGGGTATCGCGGACAGACCTTCTCGTTTTGATCGCAAGTTGTAAGCATGCCACATCCGCTCCCCATCTCCGACCTCGTCTTCGTATATGCTGACGGGTAATGCAGCCTATTCGATGATCCCGAGCGCCATGCGCGCTTGATGTATGCCAGATACTGGCAGAACAAGCTAAAGAACAGCGATAACGTCAAGTTCCCTGACGAACTAACCATCTCAGTCGCGGACAACACTGAGGGGTTCAGCTTCGCATACCTGAAGGAGGTCTTGTACGACTTCCATGCTTGCCACTATCTTTCGAACCCATGCCAAAACCAGACACAGTGTTTCCGCCCTTACCGCGGCTCTCAAAGCCCACGAGCATGGCCGCGACATCTCCTTCCCCGACCAGATCCACCGTGAGATTCGCAAGCTACGCGAGCAGATCGACGGTCCCTCGCGCGACGATTCAGCGCCGCGGTATTACAAAGGCTACACGACAGGTGCATGGCTCACCTCTCGCCGGCAGGCGCAAGCAGCGAGACCGAAGAACGCAGGTTTACCAACCGAGCCGCGTGGAGTCATCGAGCCGCCCAAGCCTCGGGTGCCAGACGAGGATGGAATATTCACTGCTACTGCATCTGCGCAGAACGAAGGCATTATGCTGCCACCTGAGGTGCAGATGCAGTATGACGAGGACTTCCGCGACTTCGTAAAGTCCCGGAACTTGCGCCTGTAGACGGTAATCAAGCAGTGCCGCCAGTACCTATATGATATATTCGAGCCGGCCAATACACGCATGCGGGTGCCGGGTATTGCATCAACGCCGACTGAGAACACCGCGCAGGCCGATGTGTACTGAGAATGAAAGAGTACGAAGAAAAGGACCGGTGGTGTATGTCGTAGTCGTAGTTGTCCGAGATGAAGCGCGTCGCTGATGGTTCAAGTTGGGGCTTTACATGCGTTCAGGTGCTGACCCTAACCCGAATATCGAACCAACTTTTCTACGACCCTTCCATCTTCATGGTCGCGTCGGGACCGAAGAAGACCGGGGTCGCCTTGAGTTTCCAGGTGAGCCAAGCCGCACTCAACTATTCTCCGAAGCACAAAACTCAACCGATTGCATTACAGTGGCCCGCGAACGAGCAGAAGAAGTACGAAGAAGGTTGTACTAATACTATCCCCGGCCGAAGAAACGCGTCGACACCCGAGTAGAAATATGACTGCAGTACGTATAGTAGTAAAGAACAGGGAAGAAGGATGCAATGCAACAGGAAGGTGAAGGTGAAGAGGTGAGCAGTGCGAACAGGACAGGACAGCAGACTGGAAGCGAGTGTGGTCGAGTGCCGAGCTCTAAGGACGGCAGGTGGTTATGCTGGTGGTGTACGGTTGTAATGCTTATAGTGGTATATTGAGTGCGTGTGCGAAAAACGAGATGATGCCCCGCGAGCGCTTTTCCCCGGTCGATCGGTAACCTCAAGCCCCAAAGTATAGAGACAGCGGTGCCCCGCTCATTCGCTCTTGAAGCTGCAGAAGTGGGCGACGGTCATGAGTAAAGGGTGGCGTGCTATTATTGGACGACCCACCTGTGGCCGTTTGCCTTGCCATTCGCGACAGGCTTCTTGCCAGCGGGCTTCTTGTACGTCTGAATGTAGAAGTTGATGAACAAGAAGAGGTAGCTTGTGAGCAATCCGCAGCCGAAGAGGGCAGCGCCCTCGGTGCCAGCGCAGGACCCCATGTTCGGGAGATGTGGCCAGTATGTGGCGGTGAAGTAAGAATACGCTAGAAGTTACACATGTCAGCAAAAGTCTTTTAGTCTGACAGGTGGTGGAGCAAGATGTCCGAGAACGCGTGACAGCGGATGAATACTTACTGCCGAAGTAGACGATGAAGAGGTCAATAATGAACTGGATGATCTGCATCGACGTGAGGTACTTCTTCCACTGTGTTGCGGGTCAGCAACCGCGCAATCAGAGATCGGAATGGGCGCATACCCAGATCTTGTAGCCTGCGGCGGTCATGAGGTAGTAGTAGTCTGTTCCGCGAATGATGAGCGCCCACGCGCGAAGCAGGCATTTATCAGCACGTACACATGAAGACATGCACAGTGAGGTTGAGTGTGATGACAACCCAAGACTAGAAACGCGTTAGTGGGGTTGGGGTGAGCGGGCAGGTGAGACAAGGCTTACGATGGAGGTCTTGCCGTTAAGCTGAGTGAAGCAGAGGAAAGCGGTAGCCGAGTGGTGGAAGACATGCAAAAAGGCTTCGGTCCGTCAGAATAGTTGACAGCGGGGCTATAAGTAGACTACTCACCGAGAGGCTTCTTCTTGAGGGCGAGGAAGACCGTGTCGATGAGCTCGATGTATTTGATGTAGTAGTTGATCATATAATAAAATTCCATCCTCTGCGCGGTACTCGTTAGCTTCGTCTTCGACTGGACTGATAGGCGACACACCTCAGTCCAAGAGCTGGAGTTGCAAATTGCATAGAAAACGCCATGGTTCCAAAGTTTGGGGAGGATTTCCTCAAGCATGAGCATCAGAAGCAGACCGCTTCCGGTGGTAAGATACACGTTGTGAATCATGAAGGGAACCTGAAGCTTGAGCGGCTTGCGGTTCTTCATTATCTCCTGGATGCCGAAGATAACGACGAGGTAGGACACGAGCGCGGCGACGACGACAGGCTGGGTGCTGAGCGGTGTCGCGCCGCGGACCCAGTGCGTGTGCTCGTATTTGAGCTCCGGTAAGGGCACATAGGCCAGTATCGTGTCCGCCAGATTGAACATTTTGAGAAATCGAGCCGAAGAGGGGGACCGGGAGGGGATGGCAGGCGCGAACAAGACAAGCGCGCTGCCAGCTCAACAAGCGCGCTGGATCAGACGATCTTTCCCACACGCTGGATTGGTGCGCTGCTGAAAAACACATGTCGTGTCATGTATACCGGTCCGAGCGATTACAGGCTTGATCAGCGTAAGCTTTCGCCAGCTCCGCCGCCCTCCGGAATATGAACGACGCCCAGAACGAAGAGTTCCTCCTCCTCCTCCTCAGCGACGCGAATCTTCCAACGGGCAGCTTCGTCGCGTCGTCCGGTTTCGAAGCCTTTGCCGCACACGGCTTGTTGCGAACATCGTCCGATCCGCTCGCAGACACGCTCGCGTTTGTGCGATCAAGCGTGCTGAGCTACGGTTCAAACTCTCTGCCGTTTGCGCACGATGCCCACGCGTGTATACGACAATTTGCCGAGGGCACGAGGTCCCAATCGGAAGCGCTGGAGGTGTTGGCCGCGCTTGACGCCCTGTGCGACGCCGGCACGCTCAATCACGTCGCTCGGCGCGCCTCCCGGGCGCAGGGTGTGGCGCTCCTCACCCTTTACTCAAAGGGATTCGCGTCCAAACGAGGCGACGAGTTCATCGCGCTGATTGACGCCCTCAAGCTGCGAATCCGACGAGACGAGTTGCCGGGACATCTGCCCGTTTGCTGGGGAGTTCTTACTGGAGCGCTTGGTCTCTCTGCTGATCGCGCCGCGCATTTGCATCTCTTCTTGCACGCCCGAGCGCTCTATTCCGCCGCGATCCGCATGAATACTCTCGGACCCTATGCGGCCCAGCACGCCCTCCTTCACCATGTCCGCCCTCTGGTGGACGACACTGTCAAAATAACGGCCCATTTGCGCACTGGTATACTCGATCGCGCCTATCAAGAAGAAGAGGACGATGCGGCGTTCGCCCACGCCGCCGCCATGCCCGCCAACACCTGGCCGCTTGGAGAGCTCATCCAAGGTCGGCATGACCAACTCCATTCGCGGATCTTCAATAGCTAGATGTACACGTATGAGACATAAAGAGAGTGTAAAGCTACACGCCCGCGCGGGGGGTATTTTCAATGCTACACGCTCTGGCGTACAATACAAGTCGCTGTGGCGTCAAGATAGATAGAATATATCAGTGCTCTTATGCGGTGCTGACGAGCGCCAGCCGCGACGCGACTTCTGCCTGAGCGCGTGCGAGGTTGGCAAGGTAGCTGAGCATGAGCGTGTCCTGTAGAGATTGCCGTTAGATCGGCATTCGAGTACGGCTGCATGCAACTAACCTGCAAGCTATTCGCGAAAGCGCCCTTGTCGAGCTCCTCCGCTGCCGTGCCAAAAGCATTCATCAAGTACCTCCCAAGCGCAGGATCGCCCTTCTCCTCTCCCGCGACCACTTTCCCGACGTACGTGATCACGCGATCGAGCATCTCAAGCACATCGTTGAGAGAGCCCTCTAGCAGTGCCAGATCCGTGATCGGCTCCTTCACGCCGGGTTGTGTAAGGTAGGCGATTCCGGCGCGCTCAGGCGCTGTCGCGCTGAGCTCGACGGGGACGGGGACGAAAAGCGCGTTCTCGGGCTTGGATGCGACGCCGATCGACGCACTGACGTATGCGCGTACGCCTGGTGCAGAGCCTTCGGCAACGCCCGTATCGACGACCAGGTGGAGAGCAGGTGAAGGAGCGGTCTCTTGAGCGTAGAAGTTCTGGATCAGCGCGCTGTTCGTGTTGAGTTCACTGCCAGTCGAGTACCTGGATCGAGAGTACATATGAGATCATAACATCAATAAAACACTACGACTCACCAGCCAACGATTGTGTCTTTGGGGCTGACGCGCTGGCTGAGTTCGAACATCGCTTGATGGTACTCCATATCGACCGCGACCTGCTCGTCCGTCTCCGAGTGCAAGACCGCGAACGCGGCACGCACGTCGATGGCATCGCTACCTTCCACGCGTGTTCCGAGCAAAGTACCGATTACCCGTTGTTGTCCTTCGGGTCGACGCAAGTAGTGGTCCAATATGCTGAAGAGTGCCGCCGGGTGCAGGTGCACGGATGTTGGCGCTCGCCTGTAAGACAGATAGGCTGTTCAGCTCTGAGTGTCTGAAATCTGAATATAATGCGTACGCGAGAGCCGCAGATGATGATGGCGCGGGCTGGAGATGTATCGCGGACGACGGAGGTGCGAGCGGCATTTTGGATGTGTATGAGGCGAATCAAGCAGCGAAAAAGTTGGAGGCGCGTCCTTTCGGCCTTTGCCGCGCCGCGCGACCATTGCATTCAAGAGCACGCGGTCATAGTAACTATGCACCAGTACTCATGAGTGATGATGCATGATGTCTATCATGGCACGAGTACCACTCTATCCTTCAACAAACTATGTAAGCAGTGACGAATAGGATGTATTTTATACACATTTTCTCGTATTGCTACTGCACGGTGTCAAAAGTGGTTCCAATAGTGAACTGTCCCCACCGCCTGTGCGTGTATGAGCTGCCTCTTCACCCCCTCCAGCTCACACAGTGAGCCTCCATCGTGCACCATACAGCGCGGTATGTAAAGCTCCTCTATTCTCAACCCGGCTTCTCGACGTTTGCCCAAAGCATCCATTAGGGCAGTCTTGCCGATTGACATGCACCACAGTTCGAGTCTCTTGAGTCGTGGCATAGGTATCGCGTCCATATCTTGACCGCAGAGTATAGAAAGAGTGGAAGTGGTCGGTGTCTCGGTGAAGAACCGGAGAACAAGGGTCTCAAGGGCGGTTGCGCGCCTCGCCAACTCTGCAATCAGGCTTGGAAGAGGGAATGGGGTGTCTGGCCAGTTTGAAGAGTAGATGGTGATTCGTTTACAGCTTTCGATATGGGCTGCAGCCATGAGTAGCTCCGCGAGACGTTCTGCATTCTGTGCTTCTGATCGCCACCTGAACGACAGGTCTAAGCGACGACTGTTGAAGGGTTTCTTGTCACCGCATTTGATGACGAAGATCAACTCAGTGGCAAAACACCTCTCAATGTATAACTCTGAGTCTGTCAGAGAAGAGTCCATTGAAAAGCGGTTTATCCCGAGGTGAAAGAGCCCCATGTCCATCCGGGCGATGTCGATCGCATCAGACTCGACTTCGAGTGCAATAGAGCAATGAGGATGGCACGTCACCAGAGACCAAAGCATTACCAAGGGATCATCATGACCACTCAGTCGCAGTGATCGGAGTCGAGGGAGGCGTATGGGCTCGTATGCTGTCTGGCAATCGTGAGGTGGCATGTCGACTCTGAGTGATAAGTTTTCGAGGCTCTGCATCGCGCGAAGACCTGAAACCACATCGTAGAAGGTATATGGCAATGGTGGGGCAGACCCAACGCCATGGAGATTCAATCTCCTCATCGATGCAAAGGGCGCCATCCAAGGAAAGCTCTTCGGTGATATGCAGATTAGGTTCAGATCCTGCATATCGGGTGCGCTGCATAGGAGACCGTGAAGAAGACGAGTCTCCATCGCTGAAAACATGTCCCTCTGGCCACGGAGTTCGAGCCTTCGAAGGCGGGACATCGGCTTGTCCAACAATGGGATGATGCCCTGATGGAGCTCGCATGTCAGTGACTCGATGCGATGATGCTCAGCCATCAGCGTGCGCGTGTAGATGGACGGGTTGAGGGTGCCGATGTCGAGAGACAGACACATTGATCCCGATCGTTCGACATAGACGTCCAGTAGACCTCTTTCCGCGACGTCTGGTGTCAACATCGCCCAAAGTCGAGACCATCCTAACGCAACGGCGCGCCAATAGATGCAGACATGACTGACTACGAGAAACCGAACAGGTCTCTTGGTCTTTGCGTAGTGAGCTCTGACATATTCGAATATCCGCCCCAGAAGTTCCGTGGGCAACCTGATTTCGCCTTCATCGCATGAGCTCACACGGGTCGCAGGTGTTGGGGATCTATATAATGCTTGTGAGCCGCTTGTTGGGGGGAGTTGTATCATGACATACACCGCAAGGTTATCATTCATCTCATCTATTGCAATGAGAGGGTTGCAGTACGCTCCTGATTTCCCGAGAAGTGTTTCGCGACAGCACACGGTGGTGGTGGTGGTATGGTCAGAAGTCGCGGCCCTGCCATGCGCCATGCGCTGCAGTCGATATGATGAAATCGCGGCTGCACTCCAGTTGTCTCAACTACATGGCTGGGGGCACCATTGGTAGGCTTGACTGGCCGACGATAGTGTAGAGCAGGTATCGGTCAAACCCATTGGAAGAGATGCACCACGGCATCGTGGCTGGGATAGGTCAGACAATTGGCATTCCCGCTACGTTAGTAGTGGGTCTTGGTTTCACGAAAGCAACATCGCTTTTGGCTGGCGTTTGAGCGTGCCTGCAAATTGTGCCTGATGTCGTAAGGCCGTCGGACGCTCCGGCGGCTTCTAGGGTTAGGGTTGAGCAGCAGCGACAGAGCCTGGCTCCGATTCCCTTCATTCTACGCAGTAGGAGCACGGTATATGTGTTGAGAAATGATCGTGTGCTTGATTCATACTTGGCTGCGGGTGTTTCTGCACATATCTGCGGGACCTGCCAGGGCCACCGTGTCATATACTCCAATGATTGACGCCAACCACTGAGTCCGAGGACCCGTGCAAGCTCGACGGTGCAGCTCACGATCTCTGCTGTATGCCGTATATCTCAGCTGCCGCGCCATACCTCTTCCTAGTCTCTCTTTCCCATGCTACATGAGGTGATGGTTTGCAGACGAGGTAGGGGGGTTTGCAAACCATTCGGTGCGCGAATCCGAGAGGCGCGGAACGCGGCTCGAGGTGAGCGCACCTCGTCGATCTTGCACTGTGACGGCGTCCGTCTACTTTCCGACAGAGCTACTCCAGATGAGAGACCATGGTCTACCTGAAGCTCGCGAATGTGAAAAGGCTGCGTAGACTTTCCGAGAGTCACCCTGACGATCGTATGTTGGAGACATGCACTCGTTCAATACAAGTGGTGACGCGAGAGAACTATCGGGTGCCTGGAGAGTATACAAGGGACACTCTGCGGATCTCCGTAGAGATCTCCAGCGGTGCATTTGTTCGAGTTGTATTGAGCAAATTGGGTATACAACGGGCACGGTGAGCTCGCGCAAGAGTATAGATGCNCGATAGGTCAATGACCGTAGCGGGTTTCGCCGCATGCGGCCCTATGACACTTATTCGCAGTACGAAATTACGCGGTAAAGTTGTCTAAAACATGCAGCCAGATATAAATGTGCGTACAGGTGCGCACGCGACGATGCCCAAACGACGCGGGTTTTATCTGAATAATGAACCTGTCGCGTTGTCTTGAACTCCCACGAACGCGACCCCATTGTTTACTCGCCAACTCACTAAGCATGGCCACGACCGAGCAGGCTACAAGGCGCACTGACAGTACATCGACTTTGGCGTCCTTGCCACCGTTGGAGGTGTAAGGACATGTGCTCAGATCTCGATGTTTCTCTTACTCAAGTCCCACCAGGAAAGATGATGAAATATCCACGCAGCTCAAGAACGTAGGATCTCGGATCCGTCGCAGTGCGTCATGGATTGCTTGCTCTTATGCTATAAACGAAGTCATTGACGATGCACCTCCAGGTGTCTCACAAGGTTATGCGACCCACGACCCTAACACTGGGGATGGACGGGCACTCTGGCAAAAGTCCACCTCGCACCCCACCCTCCAATTCGGCGCCTCCGCGAAGGCTCCTATTTTCATCTCTCACAATGACTTCGTGAATGAGGAGGCGGCCCGTCGTTACAGTCGCCCCGCCACAGTTGACGAGGAACCAGAGGGAGAGTCTGCGCCGCGCAGCTTTGCCGCTGTTCGATCTCTTCCGGCCAGTGCTTTTTCTGCCGCCGCGACGGCGGGTACCGAGGAGGAGGAAGACTGGAGCTCTTCAGCCTTCAATGGTCCGTTTGCACCGGCGAAGGCCTCGACGTAGGCCTCAGGGGCACCACTCGTCGTGTATCTTGGCTCGGATTGTAAGACGTTTTCTGTATTCAGGTGAGCGAGCGCCCGTGAATTCCATCGAGATTCTGTGCTGACATGAGTCGTACACTCTGTTTCAGTTCCATATCCTCTCAACTCAAATATCCATTATTGGCTTGTTGTATGCAATACATGTCATGCCCTGCGACTCCGGGTCAGGCTATCCCTATTTACTGTCCGTCAGCCCACCCGCATGAGCCTGCTCTTACGGTGGCCCGCCCGCCGTATGATAAGCGCGCCTCTCGGAGCGGTACTCAAACACGACAAACGGGGAGGCGATTGCCAGCAAATGCGCGTCCTGTGTGCTTCTGCTTCGTGGAATGCGTTGCGGAGCTTAGGGACATCTGCGTGTAGACCTCGAGCACATTGAGACGCCTAGTGCAGCATCAGTCACAGAGTGTCATGGGTAGTGAATCAAGGTAGGGTATCGCGTTATAGAGAGGCAGACGACGTCGTCATATAATAAATGCTTCTTGCGTTGAGGCATCGCAGTGTTCGTGGCTTAAGCAGTGCAGAACATTTCGGAGGGAGATCATAGGTATGTGATCCAGGGATGGAAGAGAGGCGCGGGGACACTATGCTTTGTTTTTGCCCTTCGTGCCAGGCCATCGACTTCTCGACCAGCCAAGCCTGTAACCGCGAGTACGGGGCCTGCCATCGTCGGTGCCCTGATCCACCTCGTGATTCAATAGGAAGCGCACAGGTCCCCTTCTCCTTCGTATTCCCCAGCGGTGGTCGCTCTTCATCGCTGAGCGCCTAGGGTCCAACGTGCGATGACGAGGAACGCTAAGTTCGCGAGGGCGCGGTTCCTCAATATCGACGCTTGAGCGACCGCGCTCAGAGACTGTCGACGGCGGTGGCGTCGGTTTATACGATCTGCTCAGCTTTGCGTTGGATGGAGGTTCTTCGCTGTGATGATCAGGATGGTGGGTAGACGCATGCCTGAACTGAGTTGAGTGGGTGTGGTTATGAGACGCATGACCATGAGCGTACCGGTGGCCAATGTGTCCGTGGCTCTCACGATCATCACGCCGCGTAGAAGGTTGCTGATGGGCGGGTTGTCGCGTATGCAGCTGGTGGTGTGCCGTATCGTGACGCTGATGCTCATGAGAACGTGGGCGGGCGTCGTGGGCAGGGTACGAGTGTCTATGGCTCGTTCTCTGGGTGCGACCCGAGTACGAGCCGTCCGTAGCGATCAGCGATGCATCGTATACGGGCACGACCCGCGTATGGCGTCTCTCGTGACCGCCATGCCGACCAGAGGTTGATGAGTGCGTCTTTGCTTGCAGCGGGTGATACGGTACGGGGTGCTCGTCCAAAGAACGTCTATGTGGCTGCGACGGGCCAGGATCCAGATGGAGTGCTTGCTGCACCGCATATCCCGGGTGCTGATGTTGGCGTTCGACGCGTGTGACACCATGAATGGAAGGAGGCGGCATGACGGGCGGGACAAGGACAGGTCCGGGTTGGACGAAAGATGACGCGATCCCCGGAGGAACAGGGTGAAAAGCAGGGCCAGGTGGTATAGCGTACATATCAGATCAATCGGAATGGGTATGGTGATCGTCAACGTCAACTACAGAAAAGAGCCTCTCTGCTATCTCGTGGACCGCGCGCCGTATATGTGAGGCTCTCAAAGCATCTTCGGGAGCGGGTGGGAGCAACGGATCAGTGAGCGCATGGATGAGCGGAAAGGTTACGCCGCTACAGTGGTGCATTGCGTGGATGACCTTGACAGATAGAGTTATATGCCCCCGATCTGAGTCGAGTTTGAGGTACCTCAAGGCACAGTTGTGACAGGCTGGAGCGTATGTGCTAAGCATACCCAAGGAGCGAACGCGTTGTGCGATATCGTGCGCCGACAGACAAAGTTACTAAAACGCTTTGACGAGTACGTAGAGCAAACTGTCCCGGTGGGGCACGGGGCCGGCACAAAGAGTCGCATGCTGGGTACATTCATTATGTAGAGTCATGCGGACCTATGCGTTCATATCCGTCCAGTACCTTCTCCAAGTTTTAGAGCTTGAGAGTCAACTGTAACCCTAACAATGCTTGGCCCACCAGCTATGGTGGTCCAGGATGTGGCAGATCTATACTCGTAGGGTCCACTCGCGGCTGGCGAAGTAGGGAACATGCCTCGTTAACCCGGCGATTTCCAAGCAGGCCGGCGGGATGCTTTGTCGAGGGCGTTCGTGGACAACGCCAGGAACGGAAGCGAATTGTTCGACGCCGGGCCGTCACCGCACGCCGGATCATGGCCGACCATGTGCCGAGATCGGCGAGCCACACGCGTCGCGCGGCGGCTCTCGCACCTTGCTCTGTACGCTCAATAAGCTACGCGCACCTCTTCGAAGTTGTGAATACTCATGGCGCCCAAGGCGCTAGCGCTCGGTAGCTTAGCCGTCCAAGCACCGATGCTTACACCGCGGATTGTACACGTCGACGCGCCGGTGTGCCAGGATCTTTCCGTGTTCAAAGGTGTGCGTTTGTGTCCATGCCGTAGCTATCAAGGAAGTAACCGCCGCTGAAGCGCGCGCGCAGAACTCATGAACGAGTATCGGAAACTGGACGATGCCATCACAATGCGCATGAACCGCACGACGGCACAATTTCGCGATCGAGACCGCGAGGGCCACGCTGGAAAAGGAAGCGTGCAGGATCAGGCATGCGAATATCTCTGGAGGGATCTTGTTGGTGCGTCCAGTCACATGCTACGTGGCTCCATAGCTAATGGCTTGATGCAGAGAACTGGAAGCGCAGAGAGTCAATAATCGAGTATTGCGTTGGGGTCGTGGACAAGAGTGCGGAGGAGAAGCGGGTGGCTCTACAGCAGGACCCGAGTGCTGCCGATGAGCGAATGCAAAGGAGGATACGAGCAGAGATGTACGCACAAGAGACCAAGGTGCGCCTTTTGCATCTCCTGCCGGTGCCCGCTAACCGGTGCGCTCAATCCACAGAGAAACCAAGTTCATAACGAGCTCGCGGTCGAGAAGATCGTACGCAACCGTTCTCACAATGGTATGCAGCTAGCAACTCCAAGCGACAACTTCCTAATAATCGTTTGCAGTATTCACGGGAGGCATTCGGACCTGGAAACCTGGATGAAAGGCTTCGTAAAGCGGGCGAATTTGTCAAATTTTGGCCGACCCGCTCACCTGTCCGAAAGACGGCCAAAAGAACTCATTTCGGCCTTGACGGCACGTGGCCGTTATGTAACATTTTCGACCCCAACAAGCCTGGCCAAAAGGTTGCCAAAAGGTGTCGAGAAGATCAAATTTGAGACAAAGGCCAGAGGCCGATCGCCAGGCGATCGCTGGTGCTGTCCTTTGTGCTTACGTCGACAAAATGACATGTTTGTGACAGCTTTTGGCGAGGCTTGAAGGCGGCCAAAAGATGACCTTATGGCCACGTGTCTGTGCGGTCAAATTCTGTCCTTTTGGCCGCCTTTCGGACAGGCTACGCGGCGGCCAAAATTTGACAAATTTCCCCACTTTGCGAACCCTTTCGTCGAGGGTTCCAGGCCCAAATGCCTCCCGTGATTCACATCTAGGTGCAGAGGCTTTCAACCACCACTGACAGATGTCGAAGCAAGAAGGTGGTGGGATGCGGCGGCGGCTCGTAGATAACAGTGTTTTCCCTTTGTCATTCGTCTAGCATATACGAACTACACACGACACATATAACGCAATCCAACATAGTCACCCAACATCTCGCACTCAAAAACGGAACTCCAAGCTTCCAAGCTTCAAGCTTCAAGGTTGAACTTGCCCCTATACCTACCGTGGGACTATCGCGGTCTCGTGCCTCGTTACGAGCGATGCTCGTGAAATGACGCCATGGGTTTTGATCATGCTATTACCCGCAAGAATTCGAACAACCCTGAGCAAGGGCTGTCAGGCGCCTTCCTGCACCTTACGACCGACCTTCATCATTGACTCGCGACGAGAATCGCTATGATTACAACATTGCTCACGTTCGGACTGTCTTTACTCGCAACGACAGGGGCTGGGCCGCTCTCCGCGCAGATGCCGTGGTCGATGGCTAGTACTACGGACGTTAAAGTCCCTGTTACCCTCGGCGTCATGTCAAGATGCCCCGATGCTTTACTATGTGAATCAGTGTTCAATAAAGTTGCGTATCTTCCTAGCGTCGCCGTTATACGATAGGGTATATATTGGTCAATAGGTGCTTCCGAAAGTGGAGGGCAAGATCGACCTCGCCCTCACTTACGTCGGCCGGTGCGCATGTTCAGCTCTGATATCCTTCGGCGCTCGCTTACAAGCGCCCGATACGCTTAGATCCAACGAGTCTGAACCCACCTTTGGGGTGACATGCAAGCACGGCCCGACGGAGTGCGCGGGCAACGTGCAACAGCTATGCGTGGCAAAGTATCGGCCACTCAAGACCTGGTGGTCGTTTCTCCAGTGCCAGAACTACCAAGGCAAGGATAAGGTCGGCAACGCCGATGTGGCCCTCAAGTGTGCGCGTACGTCTGGCATTGATTGGGAGACGAGCGACGTGGGGCAATGCGCAGGCTTGGACGGGAGCGGGACAGGCGAGGAGGGGATCGCGTTACTCAAGGAAAGCGTGGAGGTCACAGAGTCCTTGGGTATTGTGTACGATGATCCGTTATACAAGTTCCAAATACATTCTGATATGTTGTACAGAAATAGCTGCACAGTTCTCATCAACGGGGAACACGTCTGCGTCCGCGACGGCGAATGGCGGGAATGCGAGGTTCGTTCGCAGTCCTGTCTGAAAGTCCGTGGTTGACGTGTCAGTGTAGAACGGTCATTCCCCGCAGGACTTCGTGCGTCAGATCGAGGCCGCATACCGCGAGCTGAACTCGGGCTTTACCATGATTTGAGTATCGGGCGTAGTGACGATTGTAGCATCATACTGACCGGTATCCATCTGTATGCAAAAACTGTTTTATGATCCAAAAGGAAGTTCATAAAGTATTATGGCGATGTTGAGAGCGATGAGCGGTACTATTGAGTGCCCGTGAGTGACACGATGTAAAGGCAAAGGGGCACATGCGTACTGCGTAAGAGTGTTCGTACGGCGCCGATGAGGTTTATTAACCTCGCCTTCACGCCAATATCCTGCTGCCCGTATACGTCGTTCTCGAAACCGGCATTGGTTTGCAATTGAGGACCAGCAGTCCAGCCGACTAAACAAGGGATGGAGATATGGAAGTTGTACATTGGACAGATCGCGTGAGACACTGACTTCGCGCAAGAAATCGCTCCTCGTTGAGAATGGCAATTGCATTGACCATGAGCACGCTGAAGTATATGAGGGTACCAAACATGGCGCCGAGAGGGAGCCGACGGGCGGAGGTGGTGGGTGGCGGAAGGAAAGAGACGTGTCCGCGGCGCGGCTTTGCGTTAGAGGCGAGCACGGGCGCTTGAATAGCTTGACTGCTTACCACCAACACCTTCTGCAGCATGCAGTCCGTCGCTCGCGTGGGCTTGTGCAATGGTGCGGTCATATATATCTGATGCACTGATGATATACTCAAGAACTCGCATAGTGAGCTCGTTGCGCTGTCGCGCTGCCCCCGCTTTTGCATCCTCGTCACGCGTCTTTGTCGAGACACGCCGGCCATAGTGCGTTCATTCCTGTCAAATATCTCGCGGCTCATATACTAATGCTGGTGCAGTGCTACTGGCCCATTAGGGTGGATTGGTGAGGCATTGTCGCCCAACGTACGGAAGAAGCAGTCGGAGGAGGAAAAAGAGGCGGCGCGACGACAGCAGGCGCAGAAGGGCACCGGAGGGCTTCTAGACGCGAGCCTTGTCGAGCCGGTCGAGAAGGCGAAGGCGCCTGCTCCGATCAGGACTGCCGAAGAAATTGCGCGGGCCAGAGCAGCCAAGAAGGCCAAGGAGGGACCGTCCGATGTCACTGTACGTTTGCCGCTTATGCGTGTATTCCGACTATTAACCCCAGACTTCATTTGCAGCACAAGTACTCTACCACGAACTTCAAGCATTCGCACCGCAAGCTGAACAAGCTCGGGAACCAGATTGCTGGCAAGCCCATTGACCTGGCCATCGTCCAGATGCAGTTCAGCGAGAAGCGCAACAGCAAGCGCATCAAGAGCATGCTTGCGACGGCCAAGCAGCACGCCACGATGAAGGGTCTGGACCCGGAGCGTCTGCTCGTCTGTGAGTGCTCTCCGACCGTGCGCCGTGGCGGGAGATACTGATCGACTCGTCTGACAGCGGAGGCGTGGGTGAACAAGGGTCCCATTCTGAGCAGGTACAGGCGATACAGGAGCCGCTCGCGCTGGAGCATCGGCAAGCGCCCGGCCGCGCGTATGCACGTCGTGTTGAAGGAGGGCAAGACGCGCGAGGAACTCGTCAAGGAATTGCGCGAACGCAGGCTGAACAAGATCGTATCCGCGGGTTATACCCGGGAAGACGTTCCCCTGCGCAACCCCCCACCGATGTGGGCGTGGTGATTGCCTCCATATACAGTATCGTACAACAGCTTCATAAATAATGAGATTCGGGGCCACACCTTTGCACGTGTATTTATATCCCAGGCGCGCGCGAACGCGACGTGTCACCGACGGGTCTGATGATTGAACGTGCTGCGGCAAGTGCAGTCGCAAGTTGCTCTACTCCGCCATTCGCCATGCGCTGGCGCCACCTCCCGCTCGCTCTGCTCGGGCTCGTCGCCCATGTCTGTGCTCAGTTCGAAAACACGGCGATCGTCCGGACCATCGAGCCCGCAGGCGCGCTCACGACGGTCACCACCACGTATGCCCTCAAAGTCCTCGAGCAGAACGCCAACCAGTACCTTGTCACCATGAGCAAGCTCGAGGGAAAGCGCACGAGCTTCATCGAGGCCAGGCTCAAGGGCAAGAGTGACTCGCTTCACATCATACCCAAAGGCGTCCAGGCGTCAGTTACCCACGGCCGAATTTCAATGCAGCAGAGTCACTGACCTTTCCTCAGCGGCTTCGCAGGCTATGCCGTCGTCCTTCCCACTGGTCTGGAGATCAACTCTACCGTCGACCTCGTCGTAGAACGCGTGCTCTCCAGGGCAACACACCCTTGGCCGGCCTCTGCCGCACAGACGGACCCGCAGTTCATCAAGTTCGAGGGCGATCTCTTCATAACCTCTCCCTATCCCACCCACACCCAAAGGACGAAAGTTCGGTATGTTCCATGATATTTTGTCCCCTGTGTCCTACGCTCACAAACGGAGCAGCGCTCCCTCGCCTCGGATAGAGAAGTACGCAAAGCCGGAGGGTATCCCGACCGAGTACCAGACGGACAATGTTGTAACAAAATCTGGCGCTACGATCACCTACGGGCCCTTCGTCAATCTCCCGCCATCCTCCGTCGCATGGACAGAAGAGAACCAACAACCCATATCGGTCCAGTACCACCATGACGCCCCTGTGGTCGAGATCACATCTCTCGAGCGCAACGTCGAACTCAGCCATTGGGGCGCCAACATGAACGTCGAGGACAAGATTGAACTGCACAATGCCGGACCATCACTCAAGGGGCAGTTCTCGCGCGTACAGCACCAGATGGGCATGTTCCGCGGCGATATGCCGCCTCATGTCTTGCCCGCGTACGCGCTGAACCTACCCGCCGGTGCTCGCGACGTATACTTCTATGACCTCAACGGGAACGTCAGTACCTCCCGCTTCCGCCCCGCTCCTTCTGTGGTGAAGGGTTCTGTCGCGCGTCAGCAGTCCTACCTTGAAGTCCGTCCACGCTTCCCGGTCATGGGGGGCTGGAACTACTATCACACCCTGGGCTGGGACCAGCCGTTGGCCGACGTCGCTGCTTACGATCCCGCGAACGGCACATACTTCGTCGGCGTGCCGTTACACACACCAATCCAGGGCGCTTCAGTGAAGCTTGTGAACTTCACTATTACCCTCCCTGAAGGTGCGACGTAAGTACCTAGATTGTGAGGGCGGGCACGCGCGATGGGTTTTGACAATGTGAATAGGGACGTTGAGTTCTGGCCGGCGTATACCCCAAAGGGCGCCAGCTTCGGCAAGCACATCACGTACCTCGACACTGTCGGGCGCCCATCGATCACGCTGCAGTACACCGACTTGACCGACAGGCATACCAAGCTCTTCTATGTGTGTGACATCCTTGCCCTTCATTGATGTACATGCTGAATAGTCATGGCTATCGTAGGTCAAGTACAAGGTACCATCGTCAGCACACATGCAGAAAGTCCGCACTGTAGCCAGCGCGTTCTTCGTACTATTCTCCTTCGCTCTTATCGCGCGTCGGATGAACTTCAGCTTAAACAGGAAGTCCGTTTAGAGGCTTTCTGGAGGTCGCACTACGCATGTAAAAGTATCGTGGTGGGAAAGTTCTGTTATAAATTATGTGAAGTCTAGGCCGCGAATGCGCATGAGCATAGAGAGGCACTAGAGAGGTCTGATTACAGAGCTGCGCATCTCCGGGCACACGCTCGTTCGAAGCCGTCGGCAGACCCTAGACATAGCCTATTCGGCATTTTCCGGGAGTTCGCCGAAGTTCGTGAACGCGTGAACAGAAGCTTAACGACGACCACCATCTCGGTACTGGTTCGCGAGCGCGGCTTAGATTGGTGGTGTCAGAAATTCTTGACACGTAACCATTACTGTGGGATGCTCAAGACGAGGATGTGTTCTCGCGGCTCTCTCACACTGCTCAGACGCAGCCTTGCGCTCCGCCGGCATGTAACTTCTACACCTTCGAAGCCTGGACGAGGCAATGTCAAGGCCCTGATGTTTTACGGCTCTTGAATATCAGACTGTGTACCGATCTCCACAACCCTGCAACTGCTGTCTTATCTGTTGCGCGCGCCAGGTTGGATCTCCATTGTCTTATGCACGCATTCAACTAACTGATTATATATGTTTCAATATGGTCCGAATACAGCAGATGGAGTGATACTTCCTTATCTCATCTGATACTTACTTTATGTTACTTCGAAAGATGCAATCCTCGGCCATGGGGTGCTTGGGATTGTCCCTACTACGGAAGTTCGCATCCGCCGTTCCAACGCGTATTCCAGGCTCCAACGCGAGGACCGAGGTAATCTATAGTGATACCGTGCACGAGCCGATGAACCACGCGATGGTCTTCTGCGGCGTCAGCGCTCGATTTCTCCCGCCAACTTCCATACGTGATCGTCCACTCTATCGCCAAACGGCTACTCAATAACGTGCAAGGGAGACTGTACTCCAACTGCCCCACTTCGTCGCCCATGAATAGAGGTGATATGACAACATCTTCCACTAGGCTCTTTTGCATCGTCTCTTCAGTGTGAAAGCATGTACGAATAGGCTCTAGTTCGTGGGGTGTGCAAAGAAGTTGTGGTCGCCGCTGCCGAAGTAGGCTTGCTGTTCCGCGGCATCAGTCGGTGCGCGAGCTCGTCGGGTCATGCGCCCTGCGACGTGCGCCCCTTCTATGTATCCATGCATATAAGTATCTCTATTCCACTAACGTGCGCTCAAATCGCTTCCCTGGGCACGGATCGAGAACCTTGAGCGATGCCTATCCTCACCCCGGTCTTTCGGACTTTCCTTCCCGTCTTGATGGCAGTCTTTGCAGTCGAGACGGTTCGAGGTCGTGTGGGGGCCACCAGGCCCGATGGGAATAAAGCAACAAGACGCGCAGGAGCCTAGATGGTAGCGTGAAGCACTACTTCAGCCTGCTTTTGAATCGCAGATCGCCTGGAACCGTCTACCTATCAACTTCCGTCTGTGCTGCATGGCTCATCATCGTGTGGTCCATTTCGGGGGTCAGCTCGTACATCCTGGTCAGTCCTTCGTCAGAGGCGAAGACCCCGACGGCAATGCTATCTACTTGACGTTTACGACCGAAGCACAATCCATGACTACCGTACGTCGTCGTCAATAGGTGCAGATATAACCTCGATCCTCATGGTATCCTCAGCTGAGGCGATCCTCGAGCCCGACAGAAGATGGAGTACAGGTCTCCGAGCTGCGCTGGAACGGAGACCAGCTCGGAGCCTGGGTCTCGACGACGCGTAGCATTAACCGGGAGCTTCCTATGAGTGAACTGGCCGAGGTGACGCGCAGGCCACTGGGGTCCGTACAGAGACTCAAATACCAGCATTTTTTCATACTGACTATCCACAAGGATGCGCGCGTTCATGTCATACAGTGACGGCGGTAATGAGTCCAGCTTCATGTGGGTTCGACTCCCAGGCGCCTTGACCGGAGATACGCATTCATACGACGTACGACATCGTCTATCTTATCCACTCGCTCGGATGATGACAGGCTATAGCTCGTCAACGAAAGTAGCGGTGTGGAGATTGGCCGTTATAGATACCATGGCCCACTAGCACCGCCTGGAGGAACCATCACATACGCGACTTTTGAATATGCCTTTCATAACAAATCCCTCTTCCTTGATGCCATGATGTCTCTTTACATCAATAGATATCTAGACGCCATGGGCCGTATCATCTAGCATATAACTGGTCAGGTATCGAAGATTTGCAGATCTACATCCCCTGATGATCCATACGCGCTCACGCACGGGTATCGCCCAACTCAGGATTGTGGGATGGAAATATATATCCGTGTTTGTCTGTCGTGTCCATCGTTGAGAACTATATCCCAGGCAAAAATCGATATGCTGCGTGATGTACGTCGTTGCTGGTCCTCGTTGATCGTGGTAAGATCTTGCTACTTGTGGAGAAGCAGTGTTTTGGCCGGTCCTTCAGTAGCAAGCATGAGAAAGATCGACGCTGTGGTAGAACCACAGGGTGACATTGATATCGATACAAATACAAAGCATGCAACCAGACAACAAGGATGAATGACGTGTGAGTCCCAAAGACATATGAGAATGTCGCTACCACCAACTGGCCAGCACGGCCTGTTGCTTCTTCTCCTCCTCTTCCTCGGAGACCGACTTGTAGTCGAGAAGCTTGACGAGATAGCAGCCATGAGGCGTCGGCGTTCTCTTCGGATATTTCACGTTGAGCTGCCTGCATATGCAAGATGGATGTTCAGCGTTGGGAGATTCATCGGGATACGAGTTGGCACTCACGATCCGTCATCTAAATGTAAGTAGGTTCCGTATTGCCCGTGCGTATTCTTGCATGAGTAGAAGAGACCGAGGTTAGACCGATTCGTCGCAGGATAATCGGCGTGTAAGTTGGGTCCACGCCACTGCCATGTTATACCCTGTACAGCTTCACGCTCCGAGCCGATGACAACCTTATATGGCATAGGGTCCTCCTCCGACTCCGTCGAGTTGAGCACGCTCACAGGGATGATGTACGACTCATTGGTGTACTGGTAAAGCCTGTCGTTGCTCAAGAAATACAGCGGTGGCTGTTGTTGCAAGGATGCCTCTGTGATAGTCGCATTGCTCGATCCACCTGCGCAGAATTGTTCTTGTCAGTTGAGCGGTCAGGGAATGCGAGGGAGGCGACGTACCCGGCGCACCATCCATCGACAAGAAGAAGCGCCTGTTGAAGGGCAGACCAACGGCTTCGAGAGCGTTCGCATCTCGGACGAGCGAGCCAATTGACGAACGCGAACTGAACGTCTGCCAGGCAGGCACGGCGGCAACGGACGCGGCGTAGGCGCAGAGTGTGACGAATGTCAGCATGATGGCCTTGAAAGCAGGTTACTCTGGCGGGGGCGAAGCGCGAACACAGCCTGGTTGTGCGCGTGCTTTATGCGCGCAGGGTCTGACGTGGTCAGGACGACCGCTGCATGCTACATTCTCGGCATTTGAGCATGATGTACAGGACCGCCAACGGCGTAGAGGTCCGGTGATGGGAGGTGCATGCGCGTAGTGAATGCCCGAACTTGTGCCATCGAAGCGCTCACATGGGCGTTTCGCAGGCTTATCCTTCCGAACGTCCGTCGGCGCGGCTTGGGCGCGGCGCCGGCAGGATCCGCGGCGGTCGAGATGTGTCAACAATCAGTATCAACTTTAGTAGCACGCGCAACGTCGTTGTTGCAGGATCGATGTCTTACTACCGAGGATCGCGTGCATGATCATATGTGGCTCTGCTTTTAGATGGGTGCGTTTGCCATCTTGGTGGGACCAGATGGAGGGCCTGGCATCAGGGCTTGCGCCAGCCCTTCAAACATTGTGTTGCGTTGGCACCATACGCATACCAGTTACAGAAGAGGGTGCGATAATATATGGCGAAGAAGCACTGATCATCCGCCGTGTCATTCGACAAGTGAAACGCAAACGTGTCCACGGTGCGCGCATCCCTACTCCAAGTCCGACTGGAATGGCGGAAAAGTCAGAGAGCTTTTACGTCACAAGATAGAGTCCCGACAGCGGCTTGAGCCCTCATCTGTAGATATGGGCGCTCCCTGACGTCGAACTGCCAATATGGTACAGGATGCTTTACGGTAGAAATTCCGGCAGAACGGGTGGATTGCAGTACCCCTTGAACCTTGTAAAGATGTGCATCGAGCAGATAGTGACCGCATTCCGATTGTACTGACGTCCGCAAGGTAGGCCACTTGGTGGCGTGGTGTGATCGTCATTCCTTACAGGAACAAAGGCACGCGACTGAGTATACATATGTTCAACCAATTAGCGAACGAGTTCGTATGGGAAGCAATGTAGGATGAGTTCTCCTTGGTACGGACGCCTGGATCGGCCATTGTCGGCGAGGATGCAGAGTGTGGGGAAGAACGATGTATAGAAGCCATCCATCATGCCCGTTATCCAATTGCCCGAGGGCGTAGTACCTGTGGAGACGTGGTGAAGAGAATTAGCATTGCACCGGTGTCGTAGTGGAACGCACATATATAGCAAGCCATCGCAAGGACAGGGCGCTTGCAACCTTGTCCCTCATCCGTCATCTCACGACCATGGATCGTCAACTCCCGCAAGATATACTTGGTTATATTCTGGCCGAGGTCCCTGATCTGTATACCCTCGCGCAAGCGATGCGAACATCCAGGAGTGTCTATTCCGCCTATCAAGCGCATTCTCGAGGGATTTCGACGGCCGTAGCTCGCAACCAAATTGGCAGCGCATTTGAGCTCGCGCTCAGGATCGCCCGAGAGCAGTTATACGCTGAAGCACACCCCGAACTTCATCCGCCAGAGCCCGACCTGGCGCATGCGCCCGTTGGACAGGTCACTAACGCAGAGGTACGAAGGCTTCACAGGAATGCCTGGACGGTTCGTCAGATTGAGAACTTCTTCAGTCAGAGGTGAGTTGCTCATTACTGTAGACGAGGACGTTGAGCCCACTTACTCGACAACTTCGTAAGATACAAGGACCGTGGATCCACAACATCACAACTGGATGAGCATGAGTCGCAACGGTTGATACAGGCACTATATGCCCTCTGGCTTATCGTCGATATCTTCGCGCCTCAGTGGGATGAATTGCCGGTTCCCCCGCTCACGGCGACAGAGATCCGCGTCCGAGAAGCACTGCACGTACGACAGCGCGCGCTCACCTTCGCGCTGCTCCCCAACGAGGGCGCCCGCCGGGACTTAATCAATGCGTTCATGTTCGTCACGAAGGACATCACGGCATGGATTGGGGTCTGCTGCTGCAACAGCGTATCACATGCAGACAGTGAGCGGGAGTTTCTGTCAGTCTGAGCCCGCCACGAGCTGATTACATCCCATCGCACTAGTTTTGTTCATCTTCCCTCGTATAACCTTGAACATCACCATGTTTGCGCACGTCCTGAGATTCGACGGTCAGCGCCAATACACCCCCTATACACCATACGGACATTCACCCGTTTACGCCCTCCGCGAGGCATTCAACCGCCTCTTCGAGGGTAATGCGGGTAATCTGACAGCGCAACTGCCAGCCTCCCACGGGCTGGGGTTCCTGAACCAACCCTCGCCCATGTTCCAGAATGCGTGTATGTCATACGCCACCGTACTGTCGTGCAAACTGAATACCGTTAGGTTCAAGATGCGGAAAAGTGTATCAGATCACCACTCACGATCCGGAATTATATGACTCGAGAAGTGACCACGCTACTCCTGACATGCGCGATCGATTTTGACGTTCGATGCTAGACTGGCGAATGCTGAGTGGCGATATACCTTTGAGAGAGATAGTATCAGCCTCGTTTCCGGGAAATATACTCGAAAATCGCATCGAACAACCGATCATCGCCGAGCACTTCGAGGGACGTCTCTTGGATAGGCAGCAGACCATGCTTCAGATCCTTTCCTTCAGCGGACAAGAGCCAACCTCGGGTGCATGGTTGTGTCGAGCATGCATCAAGGATCTTCTGCGCGAGTATGCCATGGTGTGGTGGATTGACTACTTGAAGGGACATGGCAGGAATGTCGAAGCCCTGGATCCATGCGGGTGAGCATGTAATATATACATGAGATGACAGAATGAAACTCACCCCGCCCGTACTTAGCGCCGGGTATACTTGCGAGAGACAGAGAACGAGCAGACATCACGCTCAGAACTGCAACGTGAGTCTGGCTCTATCACTACGCCTTCCGGCAATTCATGATTGTCGCAGCATTTCAGGGTTCCGGGCACGTAACGCTGGATAGGCGTGACGATATCCTAGGCGAAGAGGTGTAATGTATCGATCAAGCTGCCATATGTATTGAACCGTCCATCGTCCAGCTGCTGCCTACTTTTCAAATTGGTCCGTATTCGCAGAGTGTGACGCGATATGGGAGGGAGGCTTCGGTGTATTATTTATAGTTTTGAGAGTACGCCTTTGCGAATGATTCGGCCATGGACAATCCAACGCTTGAGTACAACATAGTGGAGGTTTGGAAAAGAAAAGGACGCGACCTGGCGCGACGCGTCGACGCGTCTGAAAAAGCGCGTTGGCATCCGCATCCATGATGGCTTCCTTGGCTTCTCTTCGACCGTCGCTGGCACACACTCTTTGCAAGAGACGGCTCAACGCATACCTCTCGTCAAGTACGCGCCACGCGCACACTACCGTCCCGGCAACTCCCGGCTCTACCGTCCGACCTTCTCGCAAAAGGAAAGCGGCGCGTGAAGCCGACGCGGCCGAGCCCTCCAATGCTCCGGCCAGATCACCACACTATGGAAAGCTGAAGCCATACGATCTCAGCCAGCGTCTGCGCGCGCTCATTGACAAGGACGAGCTCGACGCGGCCGTCACCACGCTCAAGAATATGCCTCTGGCGGCGCAGAGCGCCAGCGTCTGGAATACTGTCATCAAGGCTCTCTTCGACGCAGGGAAGCTCAAGCTCGCCTACTCGCTATACACAGATGTACGTCTATAACATGTTTTTGTACAAAAAGTGCGGTACTGACTGCACGCAGATGAAACGCCGGGGCTTCAAACCAAATCTGCGCACCTACACGACCATGATGTCCGGTTACCACCGCATACGCTCATGGGAGGGCTTGAGTAGCCAGCTTCAAAACACGCACACCGTTTATCAGAGCTTCATGGCCCACGTGGAAGCCATCTCAGACTCCCTCGATCCTGATACTGTACCTGCCGTCCGCGCAGCCATCAACCAATATCTGGATATATGCTGCCTCACACGCCAGTCTACGGAGCTAGAGGAGGCATTCGTGCGGGTGCCTGTGCACGGACCGCTATGCCGCGACGCTCGGATGTATGCACCCTATCTACGGGACTTACTCCAGCAGGAACTACCGCCTGCCACGCTTGCTGCAGGAGTGCGCGAAGTTTGGAGAGAAGTCCAAGAGATACGTGAGAAGGATCCCGAGGCCGAACCGAAAACCTACGTCTTTCTTGCGGACCTCATTTTCCGGGGATTGTCACAGTCGCCCTCTATCGCAGATCACAGCCTTGCGTTCGAGATCGTGCGTGATGTATTCGCACTACATCCCAAAGGCAAAGCGCTGCCCTCGAAGAGGAAAGATGCTTGGTTGCCGCCCTCGACGTTTGTCCACATCCTGAGCACAGCCAACCTTCTCGGGCGCCCCGACATTGTTCTCGACATGGCGAAGCTCATCCCTCGGCGCGTTGACCTGCGAGTGGCGCTTGATATGTCTGTGGTGCACCAGGTGCTATTCGCGACGCGCGAGGTCAAGCATCGCAATAACGGCAAGGTTCTCAGCAACCTTGTCCAGGTCATCGCGGAGCAGAATCCGCAACAGCTCGATAAAGCTCCCTTGACGATCCAAGGGACCCTTAAGGCGTGTGCCGACTGTGGAGACTTCGCGGGCTCGAAGAATATCCTCAGTGCAGTGCTGCGCCTGCGTTCCACCGATCTTGCGTCGAATAGGCGAACACCACACGCCAAATCAGTCACAACCACAGCTTGGGCATACTTCGCGCGGGCGGCTTTACATGGCAATGCTTCAGATGCGAAGCTAGCCCTACATGTTCTCAAAGAACAGGCCCACCATCTGATTGAGGACGTCATCTCCGACCGGCCTGTGAAGGGCGCTTTCAAGCTGGCGCTCGCCCAAACGTTGGTGCAGTTGACGGATCGCACTGACAACAGCGCTATTGCACCCTGGTATCACAAATTGCGGGCCAGCGTTGATAGCTACTCAGGCGCTCGGTCTCACGGTGACTCCAGTCTTCCGTCAGATGATCCTTTCGCGCCTGGTGCGGTTGACGCTACCTCGGAACCCGATACATTGGAGCTCACTGAGGATATTGACGAACCTGGTATACACGTGGCCCCCAAGGCGATAGGCTCTGACCGGTGATGACTGGGAACGAAGGCGTTTGTATTACATTACATATGTAGGGTATACCGCACGGCCTTCCCCCAGCGAGACCCGTTAATCCAGAGTGTATCCATTGATCAAATTGAGAGCGGAGTGAATGCGAAAGAATGTGAGGCGAGGGAACGCAGTGGGGTGTAAAAGCGACGAGACGAGGGCGTAAACTATCCAGGATACACATATACAAGAAACGACATCGGCCAGACATGCAATTGTTCGGATAGATGGAGTACGATATCTGAGAATGGTCCGTCCCGAAGCCATATCAATGGTGAAGATCATTGTATCGTGAGCTTATGCCATAGACTTAGGACGATCGCCCTTGCCAAAGGCGGGTGATGGTGGTACGAAGGTATCCTCGGTCAGAGCCATGGAGACGGGTTGGTACATGTGAGGTTTAAGCGGAGACTGCATCGATGGATCCATGTAGCTGTCGCGCATGTAGCTCGTCTCCGCGTAGCTGATGGGATCGTTCCTACTCCCGCTCGGGCCAGCGAAAGATTCGAGCGGCATTGGAGTCATGCGCCCCTTGTTCTTTCGTTGCCGTGAGCCTGGCTCGCGTTGTGACTTGCGACGACGGATGAACCAGACTACACCGCCGATGAGGATGATCAGGAGTACCAGTGCGTTGAAGGCCATGATGGCAAGCACGACTGGCAGATACGTGTTGATCTTGTCGAGCGTACTTTCGAGGTCACTGGAGACAGACACGGTTGTCCCGGATGAAGACGTCTTCGCCGCGTTGTATGTTATGCCCGAGCGAGCTGTGGTGCCGCGTTCCTTGGCAAAATCGGCCGATGCCTCGTCTGGGTCGACGAGGGAGAGAAGCTGGACATAGGGATTGCCCATCTCTCCCTGGGCATCAAAGTCGCCGAAGTCATAAACGGAGTAGACAGCGCGAAGGAAGTTATCGCCCGCGATCCAATCGCTAATAAAGACTGAGCACATGCATGATATAGACTGATCTCGGGGGATACGTACACGACGCCTGATCCGATAGACGAGGTATCTTGCGGAATAAACGTACCCACGCAGACGTCGACGCCAGTACCACTCTTGATGACAACGTCCAGTGGATGAAGGGGAAATACCACACCGCTACAGTTAAATTAGCCCAGGTCTTCGATATTGGTATGCGCGGTACGTACTTGAACTGGAGGGCCATATCGACTTCGGCTGAGCAGGGAACCTTCCACAGACCATCACTCGCCGAGTAGGACGCGCCAGAGATTCCACCATAGATCGCGTTGACCACAGCCGAAGGAGCGTAGCTTTCGAAAAGTCAGTCATTATGTATGCTAAGGAGGGCAAAACCCTACGCACGTAAAAGAACTGCCAGTATCAAGTAGAACGACAGCTTTGTTGGAAGGTGCGCCGTCGACTGAGCTTGAAACTGCAACGGTGTTGTCGCCGACAAGTACGGCGTCAAGCAGGACATTCCAGCGTTTCGGGGCAGTTTCCGGGAATGTTGGGATACCGGAGGTAGTATTGATAGATGCGTACTTCTCCTCCAGCTCGCCAATAGAAAAGGTCCCCTCGACACTATCAGCATCAGTGTCTGCCGAACGCTGGAGAGAGAACGCGATGAAGTTGGCTGTTTCAGGGTTGTCGTAGAAGAGATTGTACAGCAGACTACGACCCTTGGAAGAGTCGGACGCATTGACGACAGCGTCGATTGTTGATAGCGAATTGAAGCCAAGGCCCATCACGCCTGATGTGCCATAATCAAGGACGGCGTTCTCGGCCGATACGACGTCCAGGAAAGCTTGTGCGGGTATGGTGATGCTGGGCAGAGCATCAGTACGCACGATGGGTCAAATTAGTCAGGTCCTCACTCTGCGAATGTTGCGGCGGCATATGAAACATTGCCGTATGCCCATCCGGCGCCGTACTGCGCAGTTTAGCAATCAGTTCATATTTGGGTCGTGAAGGTACGCACAGTCAGGTTGTGGGCGAGAGTCTAGATGATAATAACGGCGTCAGTGGGATGTGGTGTGGGTGAGTATTTCGACGCACAGTGGTGGTAGAATTCGATATGGGGAACGAGCCACCCTTCACCCAAAGATCGGAAGACCCAGTATCGAGTTGGACGAGGTATTCTGCTGCGCCTTAGACTGTGTTGAAAGAAACGTGTTTGATATCACACCTTGTCCCCCAAGCGTTACCTGAGTAACAGAAATCAGTACTACGACATGAGCAGCGAGTGAGAGGACACACATTCGCTATATAGAGCATGTCATTGTAGGTTCTGATGGACTCGGTCAGACCATTTGCTATATTATGTGCCTGCTAATACACGCACGAGAGGTCGAGGGTGTCAGCAGCGGCCGCCCTTGAAGATAATGCGCGCTTTCTTGTGGGGTAAGGCCTGGAGAGTTTACGGACAGGAACTTTGAGGGCGCTAACGGCGAGGGCGCCGGCGAGTGCGGCAAGGAGAGAGGATCGCATGGGGGAGACCAAAAGAGTGACTGAAACAAAGGAAGGTGGTGTTGACGCGCCGCCAGAGTTATGCTCGCGTCGACGTCGACGTCGAGAGCAGACCGTCCGCCGTCGGACGACTCGCGAAGAGACAATGCCTCCGAATGTCGCTCACACGCGTGCTTGTTTGCATCTTCTTCTCCTTCCACGACCATCGGCCTCGTACAACACCTATCTAAACGGTTTCCTCCTGCACCATCTCGTGTCTATTTCCAGGAGTATGAATGGTCAGTGTCAGCCATTGCGTCCGTGGAGCGGCGGTGCGGCTTGTCAAGAGAACAAGGACTTCTGTGTTGGCGGATGCGGGTCCGAGCAGAAGCAATTAGCCCGAGCTTGGCGGAGATAACGATACTACAGCCGGCCCGCCGGCGGGAAGCAAGATGAAAGGCTTCGACCATAGAATCACCGTTGATATGGGGACGTACTCTCGCTGCCACACTGGTCAACCATACATCGCGCACCGTACACCTACTTATAACCATCGACTGCGTGCGGGCTACACATACTTAAGAGGGGTGGAACAACCATCAAGCTCTCATTTTCCGCTGCACTATCTGTATTACTTACCTGTCTCTCAATACGATATCTTGAACCTCCTCGATGTGTGATACTCATCCTTCAAAATATCATTCTTGTCCAAAACCCCATCCCAATGCCGATGCGTACAGCCCCGCAGCTCACCCTACACTCTCCAGATGAAGCCTGCGTGCGTAAGTCTGCAAATACGCTTGCTCTATATCGTCGTGGATGCATGACCATATACTGTCTGTTCGATGCCGCACGTGCGGCACAAGCTCGCGCAATACTCTTACCGCCGCGCGCGCTCTCCGGCTTCGCATATGACGGCGTCAAGTGCACCCAGCAATCGGAGTGATGGCTTGGAGTTCAACCTGTATCACTGTATGAGAGGGCCAATGCAGCACAGGATCGTATTGCCGTCCTGAGTATTCAATGACTGCAGGGATAGTGGATAGAAGGCACTCGAAACGCATGTAGCAGGGCGATGGGAGCGGCCGTTCCTCAGTAGTAGGGTAGCCAAGTTGTCCCTCGTGTTAATCACTTGGTGTGTAATGGGAATTACTGACGTGCGCGTCGAAAATGGTGTATGGGTACCCAATGCCAAGACTGCAGTAGCATCGCCGCAAGGGCGCTCGTGTCGGTGAGCTAGGAGTTCCAGGCGTCTGGGAAAACTTGGTTCGCGAACGCGGTCGCGGATGCGCCACAACTCGCGAGTCTTTCCTGGACGACGACGATGGCCCGGCTGTCGACATACCCGCCCGTTCCGCGCACCCATGCACGTGTCGAAACTGTGCACTCCATACTAGGCTCTCCACCGCTTCAGCAGCAGCAGGCACCGGACGAGGACGCAGAAATGGCAGAAGATTGGGACGAAGACCAGACGCTCGTGCACCTCGCCAATCCGGCGTCGGACGACTCGGACGAGCCAGAAGACGGCAACGTGGACGTTCTACTCGCACAGCTCTCCGAATCCCTTGCCGCCTCGGAGGCTGCCGGACTGGCGCGCACGTCCGCCCATCTTCTGCCCGCGACGCGCGCCGCCCGGGCTGCGCATGCCGACCTTGCCGAGCGCGTCGACCGGCAGCTCGCGGTGGGCGTCACCCAGCTGCGCGCTACTCTTGTCGAGGCCGGAAAACGCGTGGGCGACGAGCGCCCGGACGTGGACGTCGCCGCCGGTAACAAGCGGGACAAGGAGTTATTTGCCGAGTTGCAGACCCGATACAGGACCCGCGGCGAATTCCAGAAACGCAGAGAGGTCCTGATACAGGAAAAGGGTACGTCTTCTCATTACATTGGCCTTCTCTATCTGCATATATGCGTGTGTCACGGATCCGGATGTGCATACACTCTATCAACTCTTGTGCTTCCGCTTACTCCGGCTGTGAGCGGACCACACCTTCCACGATCGTGCTGACACAACCCCAAGTTGCCCAGGTTCGCGCCATCGTCAATGAGCTTCTTACCTCCATCGACGCCCTCACCAACAAGGTATGTCTAGACGCACCGTCATACCTACAGGTATCTTGAAGACGCCTTTCGTGTCAGGTAAACTCTAAAGCGCGCGAGTTCGACAAGGCCGACGCCCTCGCCGCCGAGCAGCAGCGCAAGATGCTCCAGGGGTTGATGGCACAAGTTTGATTGTCCCCAAACACCTGGCCACCCTCACTCTTTTGCTAAGATATCAATGGATGTCTTTCTTCCGTCCACGAAATTTGGCACTCCACGGACGTTGTACATGTACTGCTTTCGTCGCTTTGCAAATCCTCATCTTGCTCCCTCTCAAATGTTTTGCTATCTTTTTGTCGCATTGTAGTTGCCTCTCCCCTTGTCCTTCATGTACGCTTGGACGTACTCTGATCCTGTACGCCGACCGAGTATCCTTACTCTGTATCTCATCCGCTTTGACGCCCCTCTATCTGTACCCTTCCTCCTGCTCTTGATCAAATTGCTACACATATTTCTTCCTAGCGAGGCTGCTCATACAACACTACTGTACGGCCATCCATCGCCTATCACTTGCTCGAGGGTCACTTTGAGCATTGTGTAAGATCCTGAAGTCGCGCCCACATACACAGGCTTCCGGGTATGTCCCGGAACTCCTGAGATCTCCTCAGTGGTCTGCACGATACATAAGAACCACGATCACTATGCGATCGTTGCGGCATTAACCAGCTGCGCGAACGGAACCAGGACCTGTGGCACTCCGGTTAAACAAACACGTGTTGTCGGGCCGCTATAACCGGAATTTGCAATTACCCCGCGTTCTGGGTTCCCTCGCTTGCAGCCCACCTGACCTTCTCTTACCGCGGGGCGGGCACAGACGGGTGTCATTGACATAAGAACAGCGGGATCGCCGCGAACGGCTCACTCACAGACGACCACCATGGCTCCCCCAGCATCGCGCTCAGCTATTCTCAGGCTCATGAACGCTGCTCAACATACGGCGTGCCCCTGCCATGGCTGCCGCACTATGGGGCCCTTGGCTCATCATGCCGTTCAGCAGATGAGGAGGGGTATGGCTACCCCAGTAGATGCCGTCCCCAAGGAGTACGCATTTGAGGTATGTCCTCTTGCCGGAGGTTGCCCGTACGCCCAAATCTGATGCAAAATAGGTCGCCGCTTCCAATCTACGCTTCGGCGATGGCGTCACTCGCGAGGTCGGTATGGACTTCAAGAACATGAACGCGCGCAAGGTATATCCTGTACCTCATCCCGCCGAGAAATCATCTCATGCGTGTAGATCGGTGTCTTCACGGATCCCAACGTGGCCAAGCTGAATCCCATGAAGATGGTGAGAGAATCGTCGTTGTGCTTGCGAATGCATCTCATCTGTTGTGTCAGGCGCTTGAGTCGCTCTCTTCTGAAAGCGACTTACCCTTTGAGGTCTATGATCGAGTGGTGACTGAGCCCACGGAGGACAGCTGGCGTGACGCCATTGCGTGGGCCAGGGAACACGACTTCAGCCACTTCCTTGCTGTTGGCGGTGGGAGCGTCATAGACACTGCGAAGGCCGCGAACTTGTTTGTCTCTGTGTTGTCTCGATTATCAGCTTTAGTACTGAGGGAAGTGATAGGTTCACCGTCTACCGCGACGCGGATCTCTTCGACTTCATCAACGCACCTGTCGGTAAAGGTCAACCTATCTCGCTACCATTGCGGCCGCTCATTGCTGGTAAGTCTCTCCATGCGCGATGATCTCACGACATTTGACATTTCCTGCGCAGTCCCTACGACTGCCGGCACTGGCTCCGAAACGACTGGTACAGCCATCCTCGATATTACATCTATGTCCTTCAAGACGGGCATCGCAAGCCGCGCAATGAAACCGACATTAGGAATCGTCGACACCTTCAATACTGAGACCTGCCCTACCGAAGTTCACGTGAGCGCTGGACTGGACGTTCTCTTCCACAGCTTGGAGAGTTTCACGGCTATTCCTTATACGGAACGTACTCCTCGCCCTGCAAACCCTATCCTCCGCCCAGCGTACCAGGGTAGCAACCCCGTCGCTGACATCTTCTCTTTCTGGGCGCTCGAGCAAACGGTCAAGTATCTTCCGAGGGTCTACAAGAACAGGCATGATACGGAGGCCCGGAGACAGCTTCTGTAAGTGACTGGCGAACGTTCTTTCAGACTTAGACTCAATCCTGATCCTGGCTGGTAGACTTGCCGCCTCCTTCGCTGGTATAGGGTTCGGTAACGCTGGCGTCCATCTTTGCCACGGGATGAGTTATCCGGTACGGAAAGAGTTGCAGTAGCTCATTCGTTTAGTCACTAACACGGCACCTAGATCTCTGGCCTAAACAAGAAAGGTCCCAAGTATAAGCACTCCGGCTATCAAGTCGACCACCCCATCATCCCACACGGCGTATCCGTCGCCCTGACTGGCCCAGCGGTCTTTCAATTCACGGCACCCTCCGCACCTGAGCGACACAGGCAGGTGCTTGCGGTGTTCAAGAAGACGACGCCCATGGACGCAAGCATCACGAGCATCCCGGACGCAGCAGTTGGTTCGCATTTGTACGAAGCAATCGCGAGCTTCCTCGATGGACTCGGCGTACCACGCGGTCTCAAGGCTGTTGGGTACAAGGGGAGTGATGTTGGCATGCTGGTTGAGGGTACCATCCCGCAACGCCGCGTGCTCGATCTTGCACCTGGTGTCGGCGATGTGGTGGGAGAGGACGGCAGGACGCACCTGACGAAGATTCTCGAAGCGTCCTTAGAGTACTGAATGAAACTTACCCTTATATCGCGCATATATGTCAGTTTTACTATAGTTCCGCATGGCACAATGGTCATTTCTCTGTCAACAACCATCAGGGGAGTAGACGAGGTAAGTTCCCGCAGTCAGAGCTCCCGGGACCCGATAAGGCACAACATCGCGTGACGTCACGCGTCAGACCCCCGCTCAAGCGCGTCCACGAGCTGTCGTGCGCGCACCTATGGATCTCGTTCCCTACCGCAAAGACTGTAGGGATACAATGAGTAGGAGATAGTACACCACGTGCCTTGAGCTTTACGAGGGAAACTACACTAGCTATACCACCCAGATACCAAGGTAGCACTTGATGCCTCAACTTGGGTCTTGTCGTGATTCCTCATCAACTCAGCGCGACCCTTCGTCCATCTCTTGCGAACCGAAGTAACCAGAAGATTCATAACCTCCATCAAGCCAATGCGCAAGCTCCGCCGAGTCGCGCGGTATGAGCCTAACTCCAGTAGCCCGTGGGAGAGCCTGCGCGGCGCACTCTAACGCCTGGTCCGTGATGGGATCCATCTCCGCGCTGGCATCCGTGCCGGTAGCGCGGTAAGCCGGGAAGACCTCCTTGCGGCCTTCTTCATCGAGCTCTGCGCGCTCAAGCTTGAAGAAGCGGACTAGTAGGATGATCATGCCGTAGAGTGTCTTATTGACATCTGAGCGACGATGATCAGTGTCTAAAGTGAAGGCGAGGGGGTGCAAGTGCTTACATGGCATACCCAGGCACTGACGCCTCCCTACTCCATTATTCATATGGGCAACCCCAACTCTTGGGTCCTTCTGGGCAACACGGCCGTAATGCCCATTGCACCAGCGCTCGGGAAGGAACTCGTCTGGACGATCATACCGCGCAGGGTCCCGATTGATAGAAAAGGTGTTGTGCATAACGATCGTTCCTTTCGGAATGGACACTCCGCCTACTTCTACGTCCTCAATAGTTTCGCGCGGAAAACCAAGGGTGAGGCTGGCGAAATAGCGACCTGCCTCCGTACCGAGGGCGGCAATGTACTCAACTCGGCCCGTGTCGAGCGGATCGGGAATGGCGTCGCCGTACTCCGCCTGAATGGCTTGCATGGCCGTGGCTTGCAAGTCGAGGCGTGATGCGAGAAGCCCAGCTGTCCAAAGAACGAGTGTTCCGACACCTGTGCCAGTACTGATCAAGGATAACGCAACCTTATACTCGTTGGCCGATGGGTACGAGTCGCCTTCTGCGCGCAAGATGTCACCAAGCTGGCTAGGGGTCGTATCTCCTGCCCGTATACGCGTGTGAAGACCATCTTTCAGGCGGGCGGCATAACCAATCTCGGTGGCCCGGAGCGCCTTCGCAGCATCCTCTCCGCGGATGATGTCGTCGAGGAAGCCAGCGAGACCAATAGCGCCGAGGATATCATGCGCGGGACGCAAGATCTTCTGCCCAATGGTGAGAAGGGGGACGGCGGCGTGCAAAGGCTGACCGATGCTGCGCGGTCCGCGGAAGATCTCGAGCTCGATGTCCGCCATCGCGCGTGCATCGGCGTCGCTAATGTGCGTTCCGAAGCACATGTCGACGCTAAGACCCATCGTCGTTGTCCAGGCTGCAGCGGCCATGTCGCGCGGACCCTTTTTGGCATCCGAGGCAAGGAGGCTGATAAATCCGTGGAGGCGGCGCGCCACAAAAGCATCGTACCGCCGATGCTTGTTGCCTGTTATCTGCAATCCAAGGTGCTTGCGGTGTGCAGAGACTTGACTAGTCCACGGCGAAGCTGAAGAGTGAAACGTCAAGTTAACGATAATGCGTAACACCCATAGAAAAGATAACGTACTGCCAATTGTTGGGGGAGACTCATGCTCGCCAGCGACCACCGTAAAGAAGCCATGGTATTCTCGGGTCTCAGGTCGACCTTGAAAAGCTTGGCCTTGGGCTATTAGAGTGCGTTGAACGGCCTCGTGAGTGTTCAAAACAACCTGGTAGACGGTGAGTAGTATGAAGTGACCTAATGCGTGAAAATACGCACTGCTTCACGGTCGCCAAGAACAATGCGCATTATAGGGCCAAATGTATCCGCCCACCGCGCGAGACATCTGGCATGTCCATGACGAAGCTTCAGAATTCTGTCAGCAGGAATATACCAGTATGCGAACTAGGACCATATACCTCCAAAAGGTTTCCAAAGAAGGGCACAGTCGACGGTCCCGGAAAGAGGACTTGATGGGGAGCCAGGCCAATGCACTGGAGACCACGTCCTTTGAGAAGGCGGAGGGTGACCACAAGACCAAGCGCAACGACGAGGGCGTTGATCGCGATGGTATACATTGTTCGTGTATGCGTATAGACAGAGGTTGGCAGGTATGATGATGATGGGGAATACCAGAAAGCTTGTACGCTCGCCTAGGTCTCAGAGTACAAGACGATGGGGCGATGGGGTAATTGGCAAACAAGCATGATCTTATAAACGAGAACCGTCGCGAGAAGAGCGGAGGCCGTCTAATTCCGAATACTGTGCGGGTCAGTATGCTGCAGATGTGACACGTCACACGCACCCCTTGTCGCCGATGCTTACTTGAGGTGCCAGGGATCCCTCGGGTATGTCTCGGCCACCGAGCGTTGAGTCTTCCAAAAATTGGTTATTTTCGGCAAACTCTGAGGCGATGATGCCTAAAGCTCACCACAAAATTTTGACCAACATCGAGGCAATGCTCAAGAAGAAGCCTGAATATCTAAACATGGCGTATCAGCTCGGGCAGCCGGAAAGCAAGAAGGAATGGGCGACCCGGGAGGTGCGGAGCTCGGGAGCGACGCCTTGATGTGCTATAACAAGGGGTCATGTGCAGCGCGGCGCCTACTCAGGCATTGGTAGTAGTGAATACGTGGATTGTACAGAATCGCGTGATCGGTGGGTAGTATCCTCGTATGAATTGCGCAACGGGATAAGTGCTTATGGACCGTCGAGAGCAAGCGGCATAAACGCATAAGCAGCAGCAGCAGCAGTAGCAAAACATTTACGAGGCGAAGGGTTCCGCCTCCCGGTCACGCGTGGGAGAGCTTTCAATGCTATGCAAGAATGGAGAAACGTTGACATAACGCAATTCTGACTGCCCTTGTCAACATTGCTGTCGGGAATGTCAATCGTGAGCGCTAAAGTCGTTCTCGTTGGTTGCCGAACTGCCTCGTGATCCTGCGCGACCGCCAGTCAGAGTGCCGGGCATTTTCCGGGGAGCACGGATGGCATGATGAAAACACACGGTAGTCGGAATACAATCTCACTTGTCTCAAGTTGAACCTCGGTCGCCGGGCAACCTCGTGATGTTGGCGCGCCTAAAGAACTGTCCACTGAGCTTCGTGCAATGCGGATATCAACAAGATCCCTTGATACAATAGAAAGACAGGAAAACTTTCTACCTCATGGCAAGTGCATGGTACGCGCTCTGGCCCTCGTGCCATAACCTTCTGACGCGAATGTCTGTTGGTGTCTGAAGTGGCAACAGTTGTAGTAACATGCAGGGTGAGCAGTTCAGGCCCTTTCGACGGTCAAAGGCCTACAGTTCGGAGGTATATCATGCGCTGATTGATCGTACATCAGATTTCAAGCAATCCTGTGAACTCAAGTGGATGGATCATGGTGGTTTGGGACGCGTTGCGTTTCTGCCCCTCGACACGTAAAGTCACGACGCGACGAACGCGTGACGTAACCATAGCCAAACGTGCTGCAACAGGCTGCGGCCTACGTGAAGTGCACACCTATGGCTGATTGAATTGAGCGGTAGTTCTGCGCCAAGTCTTCCTACATCTGAATATACTCGCCTGGGATCTATGACTTCTAGATGAAGGTTTCAATGATTCAGGTGATCAATTCGAACAGTACTAGGTACGGCCCTTGTTCGCCCCGCCATCTGGCAATACAACCTTAACGACTTTTGTCATCCGTACAAAGAATGCGCACATACTGAGAAATCTCCATAAGAACGCGTAACTGTCCCGATCCTGCCTCGCGGCGTGGGATGTTCGAGGGTCGCGATAGTCCGTCCTGGATCCGGACGCTGTGCGCTTCCCGAGAAGCGATGTCCGCAGCTTCATAGGGGATGCAGGCTGTATGCTTTCGCTGTAAAGGCCTGACCTACCTTGCTGAAGATCTGATGAGCGGTGTGAGTGAGAGCTCCGGTGACACCAGACGCATTGAGGGTCAGGGCAGCTGATCATGATGGGCACTGCGAGCGTTCAGAGAAGGCCATAGTTAGCCCATTATTACTGAGACTTATGCGTTGTGCCTAGGTCAGTGACAGGTTCGCAGACAGATACGTTTGCTCATGCACGTGTACATCTCTCCCTTGGTGCCAGCCCCGCAACATCCAGAGCGCTCTGGATTTGTCGCACGCAAGGTGCGTTCGTTAGTCCTGCAGATGGCCCGTAGGTTCTGACGGAGAACACTCTGCAATATCTTTGGGGTTCCCCGTGATATATTACCAGGTGCTTGCAACATTTGAAGTCGTACAGACACCCATAAGGTGCCCGGTAGGCGTATGGGCGTCTATAAGGTGGCCGGTGCATGCATCTTCCGGACGGGAGCACCGGAAAGGAGATCGCGCGATCAGGGTTCGCTATGAGCATGGCGAAGCAGTTGGAGACCCACGTGTCGCTCTGCCATTTCATCGGGAAGACTCTCAAGAAGGGCAGACAGCAAAGCGGGACAGGGCGAGGCACATATTGTGACTGTAAGAGTATTCGAGAGTGCCTCGGTGGTGTCAGTAATCACACGAAAAATATGTGTGATACAACCCTGTCCATTACCAGGTGGGGCACAAGCAAAACAAGCAAGACAACGAGGATGATCAAGACGTTGCGGGTACCGATTGTCGCGGGCCGGGCGTAGCACTCCTGGGGATGAGCGTGCTAACGAGACCTCACTGACACGATGCCCAAGAGCGGGTTGACATGTTTATGCGCAAATGAGACGCTGGAATGCGGGACAGCGCGAGAGAAAGCATGTAATTCATGGTGGTAGATAGTTATGTCCTCCATTTGAGCACGCATGAACCGGCGGTCAAGATGAGAATAAGTAGAAGATGGTGGCAGGTGCCGGCGAACGCGAGAAAACGCGTCGGAAGCAACGGCGCGGTAGTAGCTTCGACACGTACGAAAGAGGGGCCTCAGGCATGCATTATTGCAGCTTGCGTATGTACGGAGTCTAGACGATGGCGAGAGATGACTTACTGCTAGTACTTGCGTAGCAGGCTCAACGCATGTGATCGTGTTCGACTATGATTCAAACTGGGCAGACAACTTGAACGATTGATGACTACGTGCTCTGAGTCAGGTTGAGAAGCCCACATCTTCTTCCGGACGGTCATCCTCACATGTACCTTTGCTTATCGCCTCCCCACGCCGAGTACACAGTGTTCGGCCGTATCTGCGATCAAGGTGGATCGACGTTCGACGTCTACATGCAAAAAAGAATACGCTCGCCCATGCAGCTGGCGACGCTGTCCACCGACCGCAGCCCACGTTGTACGCATAAACTGGCTCTTGAAATGACCCAACTCATTTCTTGAACCTCCAGCCGCGTTATCACACGCATGCGTCGGCCGAAATCTAGAGTAATATCCTGCACTGCTCTTATCGCAACTAGCGGGGTACTCGTGTGCCTGCCTCCTTATCGAGCCGGCGGTTGGCACGGTATAAATCGCCGCGCACAGAGATGAGAGACGGAAGCTCTACTCAGCTGTCCTACCGCCTGGACTAGCCAGTATGCTCAGGATCGGCATCGTTACTCTAGCGCTCGCCTACTTCGCGGGCGCACATCCCCATGGCGAGCACGAGGAGCCGGAGCAGGCGTCGTTCGTTGGTCCCACCATCAGCACAGACGGTTGGCTGCAGAAGTACGGTGCCCAGAGCGACCTCGGATACACTGGCCCGCTTTCTTTTGCGCATCTCGACTACGCGCGCTGCCTGGAGCAGCCGGACCCAACCTTCGATATCGCAGTCCTTGGGATGCCGTACGTTCACTTCACAACGCTCCTCGCACGCGCACTGGCTCAAAGATCACACTTAGATTCGACACCACTGTCTCGTACCGCCCTGGTGCTCGTTTTGGTCCTACTGGCATTCGAGTTGGAAGCAGACGACACATGAAGCGCGGCTACACACTCAGCTGGGGTTTTGAACTCTATGATCTCGCGAAGGTTGTCGATTGCGGCGACGTGAGTATCCCGTCTCTGCTTGTGTCTAGGCGTATCTCATATGCCCACAGATCCCTCTCAACGCGTATGACAATGCAGTCGCGATCGACCAAATGGAGGTCGCATACTCGACGCTGCTCGCGCGCCCAGTTGCAAAGACAGCTGGCACCGGCGGCTTTGATGCTACTGCATCCTTCGCACTTGACGGCCAATCACACCCCCGGATCGTAACGCTTGGCGGCGACCACACCATCGTGCTCCCCATCTTACGCTCACTCAACAAGGTGTACGGTCCTGTGTCCGTCATCCATTTCGACTCGCACTTCGACACCGGCAATAGCAACAGCTCTCTTTCCAAGCAGGCGCGCATTACGCACGGCAGCTACTTCCACGTCGCACACGAGGAGGGCTTGATCCGCAACACTAGCATTCACGGCGGGATCAGGCAGAAGTTCAATGGTGACCTGTCGAATGACGAGGAAGTCGGATTTAAGGTCATCACAGCAGATGACATCGATGATATTGGCCTCAATGAGGTCGTCCGCCGTATCCGCAACCGTGTTGGCGACTCGCCGGTGTACTTCAGGTGCGCTTGGCTTTCTGTATGCACAGAATGTATAGTTGACGACCCCATACAGTCTAGATATCGATGTCATCGACCCTGGTATGGCCCCTGCAAGTGAGTCTCTGTGCAGTTTCACGGCCTCTAGCATGACTAACTTTGTCCGCAGCTGGCACCCCGGAGGTTGGTGGGTGGACCGTGCGAGAAGTGAAGCGCATCATCCGAGGGCTCTCTGGTTTGAACTTTGTGTGAGTCTCGCTTGCGTAACCACGGCGTCGTATTGAACTGAGCGTCGCCCTCCAGTGGTGCCGATGTCGTCGAGGTGGCGCCAGCATACGATCACGGTACGCACCACCCCAATTCACTCCTGCCTGCAGTGGGGCTGATTTTTACTGTCAGCCGATATCACAAATATCGCAGCAGCAGATATCGCTCAGGACTTTATGGCCATGATGCTCACATCCCAACCGCCCATGTCGAGGGACGAGCGTAAGCCGTGGAAGGATGAGCTCTAAAGTACATTTGGGAGTTTCTGCTCTTCATTCTATGGATATATGGCATTGCGCGCAAGTGAATTCGCGTCGACATGATGGTCAGGAAGAAGGCCGCGTAGTAACGCGGTGATTATGGTCGCACGTGCCACCGGGTTTCTGTCTCCAACTTGTAGTCTCTGTGCGACGGAAATGCTGTCTAATAACCCCGCTATTCACGCTGGAAGCATACAAAGATGTGGCTGGGAGCATTGGTAGATGTAGATAAGGGCAAGCGCTACATGATCATAATACGCACGTGGGAGACGAGGCTTCCTCGGCAGTGCGGCTCGGATTATCGCTTTGTGAAACGTAACTCATTCTCTTACGACCACCAGGGCAGGGTGTCGCCATGTCGTCTGCACGATATGCGCCATTGCCGAATGCGCAGACGGACGCGGAGATGAACCGGGAGATGGAGGCGGCGTTTGACGACGAGGACGAGGAGGAGGATGCGCACGAGAGGCAGCCGCTGAACCCGACGCCGCCCTCGCCGCGCCACGGCCGCGCGCCGTCTGGGCCAGGCACGTACGACTTTGAGGCCGTCGACTACGCCAGCGTCCCCCCGCCCGGCACGCCCCCGCCGCACAATCGGGCGTTCGCAAATAGCTGGGGAAATTCGAACGGGGTAGTGCCGGACACGTACGAGGTGGAGGCGGCCCACGTCGGGCCGAGTCGCAGCTGGTTCGGGCGCGCAGCCGCGTCTGTGCTGCCGGCGTCTGCGGTGCGGCGCTGGGGGCTGGACTACGAGCCGCCGTCGGGCGTCGTCGGCGGCGGGACCAGCAACGACGGCGTCTTTGCCAACGTCACGGCAAAGCCCGGGCGCACGGTCGAGATTCGGGAGGGGGACAACATCTATCTCGTGCCAGAGGACCAGCAGCTGGACAGGCCGCCGAGCTACCAGACGGCCCAGCTCGACGCCGTGCCAGCCTACTGGGAGACGACCGTCCACGCGCCGAGCAACACGGATACGTTCGGGGAGATGATCATCGATGCACTGCCCAGCGGGACCATGTTCTCCTTCCTCTGGAACATGCTCATCTCCATCTCCTTCCAATTCGTCGGCTTCCTTCTCACATATCTTCTGCACACCACTCACGCCGCTCGCTTTGGATCTCGGGCCGGACTCGGCGTCACCCTCATCCAGTATGGCTTTGCTCTCCGCGCACGCGACAGTTCCTCTACCGGCGGTGGCTTGACCTGGTGGGGCGGCGACCTCAGCCCAAACGGCACCGACGATTCCGTTCTCTCCCACATGAATTTCGGCACAAAGGAGGAAGCCGAAGACTTCTATAGCAAGCTCAACATCACTATGGTCGACGGCCATCCCTCTGGCCATATTTCGGGAACCGACCCAGCGAATGCTGTTGACGAGATACAATTTGCGAACGACATGACCACCGACTGGCTCTCGTTCTTCCTCATGACAATCGGTACGTCTCCGCTCTATCTCCCCCCCTGCCATCGCATTCGTTCTGATTCCGCGCCTCCCTTCGCAACAGGCTGGTTCATCTTATTGACGTCCGTTCTCGGCTTCTGGCGCGTCAAGCGCTGGGAACGTAACATCCTACACGCCCAAGAACAGAACGCATCCGGCCGCCCAGCACCGCCAGAAGGTCCCAGTATCGTCTCGCGCACACTCACGCGAGTTGGCCAGCCGTTCCGCCATTTCGGGACCATGGTCACGGAAGGGCTGGGCTTTGCGCGCAACTCTCTGTCAGGCGGCGATAGGCCCCCTGTACGCTCGCTCGACATCGATGACTCACGGCTCGCCGAGCTCGGCATATCGCAAGAGCAGCAGCGCGAGCTCATGCTCGCCCGCGTGGCGCACGACCCGGTGCAACACCAACGCATGTTGCAGGCCTTCCGCGAGGACGACGAGCTCATCGCGAGCATCCGTGCCGCGGGGATGCTTTAATCTCTACAGTACTCGTCTAAGACCATCGCTGTGCTTTGATTTATACTTTGTCCATTCTTGACCACGACGGAAAGCTTCTGCGCACTGTACAGTATTACCCCTTACCATTGTTTCTCTGGCTTTATACGGACCCGGGCTCAATAGCGTCGTTGGGCCACGTAGGGCCGCGGTACATCTACATTATTCTTACTAGGCTACAACCTTTATCGCACTCGTACAGACTCGCTCCCTGATCGGCCTCTCAAACCCTACATTCAGAGATCGTCGTTCGTCCATAACGCCGGCATCTGCTTTTTGAACGGCTCGAGCGAGAACTCGAGCGCACTACACGGGTAACCGATCTCGAACTTCTCCAAAACCTCGGGATGCAATACACCGAGTTTCCCGATCTCGAGGTCGCCTTCGCCGACGTGGAGCAGCGAGCGGAGTTTGAGCCCGACGCTCGACTTTTTCGTCGGCGCGCGGTAGAAGATAGCCGCGGCGCGGCCGGGGAAAAACGTCGGGTCTATCGTCAGATCAACTGTCAGCGCAAGCTTCAAACGGGATGGGAGATGGCGTACCAGGCTTCTCCTTGATGTAGTACCCCGTCTCGGCCTCCTTGTCCGCGCTCGATATCCTCGGGATTTCAAGCATCGCCATCGCGCGGTCCAGCAACCCATGCACGACTTCGAACCCTGCCGTCTTGTTACACCAGACTGCGGCCGCATGGCGTACGTTGCGCGCTTGACGCTCGCGCTTCGGGTCCTTCAAGACGACGTCGGACGTCTCGAAGATTCGCAGCGGCAGAGCGTGCGATCGGTTCTCGCGGACAGATTTCAGGAGGCCGGGCAGGAGTGTCGTGCGCACGACCTGAAACTCGAGCGTTTTGGGATTGCCGATCTTGACGGCCGTCTTTCCATCGTCTTTCTGGTTCAACCAACCAAAGTTCTCCTCATGTGAGCACTACAAAGTCTCAGGATGAGTAAGACAGCGTAGTCGAAAGGAGGAATATGCCCACCAAGATGAAGGGCAAGACTTCGACCCAGCCTGCATACGCCCATTCATGCCGGATGATGTCGCTCAACTTGCTCACAGCGAGTGGCTGTGCAACAGTACTCGTCGTGGGGAACGTATCGGGCAAGTTGTTGAATCCGTACGCGATTGCCGCGTCCTCCATGATATCGCACTCGTGCAAAATGTCCGGGCGAGTACAGGGAATATCTACGGAAAGCTCGTCCGGGTTTGATGGGTTCACCGATGACGGCAGCGACATGCGCTTGAGCAGCGCAGAGGCGTCTGCGCCGGAGAGGGTCAAGCCGGTGCAAGAGTTGATGTACGACGCGCGGGCGATGGTTGGACGCGCTGCGAGGTCGGGTGTAATCACAGTACGTCCGTCGGGGTAAACGACGCGTACTGGCTCGATCCTGTCAGCCGCATCAATATCATAGCTGCGGGGAATGTATACGCAGACTGATCATACGTGAAGGGCTCGGCGCAGTACTCGGAGAACATAGTTGAGATGATGTTTGCGACGATGTTGAGCTTGGTAAGGTCCGTCGCGGTTATATCGATGAAGATGTTGCGGGTATTCAGGGTGATCTTGCTATGCTCAGAGTTGATAATCGGGGGCATGGATAGGACGCTGTCTTTCGTGTCGTAGATGATAGGGTAGACGGGGGAGTCGCGGATGAGTGGCAAGTACTTTGCGAGATGCTTTTCCGACTGTGGTCCATCATGAGCCAACAACATAGGTGCGCAGTGTAAGAAGAACGTGGCAGCATACCTCGTATACAGTCATGAGTTCTTCTGCGGTATACTCCTTATCCTTATTCAACGGTTTGAACTTGATATCCTTGGGTGGACGCGCTTCATACCGGAACGGGGCGGTGATGGTGTCAAGATCATGTGTGCCGATAGCAACGAATTGGCGCCGGCGGCAGATGTTCTGGTGCAGCTTGTCTTGAAGGTCAATGAACGAGTCGTAGGAACGCTGCGTGAAGGTGACGTTTCGCAACACCGCCGATGCGAAGTACGGTCGAATTTGGGCAGTCTGATAACCGAGTTAGGTCGAGAGGAGTCGTATAGGAAGCACCACAGTACCTCCTTGGTCAATTGAACTTCAATGAGATCCTTTTCTCCTCCGGGTGGGTATGCCAACTTGTATGAGGGCGCATCGCCCTTGCCCAGAAAGACGCGCAAAGCGCGGGAGATACCCTCTATGCAAAGCAAGTCATATCTGAGCAATAGTGTAAACCCCAATGCGGCCTGAATCACATGATTGATATGGACGCACCTATTTGCGGGTATCTCGATTTTGAGTTGCTGTCGGTCCAGATCTTAGATGGACGAAGTTTCCAAAGCGCTACAGGACGCACCGGTCGCTCAGCAGGCAAGCCCTTCTTGATCGCGGCCTCGACCTCCTCTGTGGTCTATGAAGAGCACTCAGATATAATATTGTGCCAGATGATCTCATCCAGCTCACATCCTCATCCAGTTCGATACCAAAGTCAAAGCAGAGCTTGTCGAACTCTTCCGTAGCTATCAGACCGAATTAGAACCCGCTTTTTCAAGAGCGTTGAGCGCATCTCGCACTGAAAGATTGCCCAAGCCTCTCCCACAGGTCCTCCTTGTCTACTGCGACGGTTGGCATGGTGCAAAGAACGAGAGCAAAGCAGTGGGAGTCAGAGTCAAGAAACTCAGATTCATGGGATCAAGGCTTCGGAGGCTCGGACCGATGCGCCCGTAATCGCAACCTGTTCGCACGGCGCGCTGGACGAGACAGGACGCAACTTCGTCTTGACCCTTGCCTCCGGCAGGATGGGAATGCTATGCTGTACCCTTCGAGATAATGATGCATGATGATGCTTATGTGGCAATGATGATTGCGGGCCGTCGGTGGTATGTAGGGGCATGACCATCCGTGCCTTTGCCAGTCACACACGCTGTCAAAGCGAAACCCGGCCGATCTAAGGCCGCCTGTGCTTTATACGTCGGCCGTATCGACCTCACGGGAGGACTCTCCCGAGACCCTCTATCTCATCGGCGAATATGTGAGCCTCAAAGTATCTGAGACGCCATATTCTCGTTCTAATTTCCTCCCTGCTCCTAGATGTCCTCTCAGACCAATCTACACGACGGCCCACAACAAACATCACCCGCGGTACGCAGTCAGCTTATTCAGACTTGAGCCCAGAATCTTACATAACACAGGCTTTGTCCAGCGACGTTGAGCTCTCTGTGACAGACGACGTCCCATCCAGTAAAGATGCGATCACGCGGGCATACGCTTTGTACCAGAGGACCAAGGACGAAGAGCACCTCGTCGCGCTGATGCGCTTGTCACGGGACTCGATGAGAGACGTGCCCTCTTCGCTCTGGCCTTGGGTGTACAACTGGTGGACTCTTCGCTACAAGAACACGAACATAGTCGACGATCTTCAGGGCGCCATCACCGTCGCGCAGCAAATAGTCGACCTCGCACCCGACGAACACATCGACAAAGTCATATACCTGAACAACTTGGGATTTAGCTTCCGTTCCCGTTTCGACCGACTTTTTGCCCCCGATGATATAGAGCAGTCCATCGCTGCATTCCGGCGCGTAGTAGAGGTCGCTCGGGTTCAACATCCTGATGAGCCGGACTACCAGAGTTTCGGCGCGACCAACCTTGCTCTGATACTACGCTATCGCTACGAGCTTCTTGGTCAGCTTCCCGACCTCGAGGACGCTATCTCGGCTATCCGCCTCGCACTTCAACTGACTGCTAGTGGCAATGCCAACGAGCCGGCTCGGCACAGCGTCCTCGGACAGTGCTTATGCCTGCGTTTCGATAGTCTCGGCTCTGCCGACGATCTTGAAGATGCCATCATGGCTCACAATAAAGCAGTCGACCTCACCCCAAACGACCACCCTGATAAACCAGTCAGATTCAATAACCTGGGACACTGTCTCGGTCGTCAGTTCGTACAGGCTGGCCACCTCGACGTTCTCGAGCGCGCCATCGCAACGATTCACGGCGCGCTGGAGCTCACGCCAGAAGAACACCCTGCGTTGCCTGTGCGCTTGAACAACTTAGGTCACTTTCTGCAGTACCGGTTCGATCAACTTGGGGAGCTAGACGACATAGACCAAGCCATCGCGATTCTGACGCGCGCGGCGGATCTCACTTTGGATATCCACCCCGACAAGCCCATCCATTTGACGAATCTCAGTGAAGCGTTACGCAGCCGCTTTAAGCGCTACGACGACTTGGAGGACCTCCAGCTGGCCATTGCCACACAGGAGCGAGCCGTTACACTTTCCCTTAGCGGAGGTCCTTCTCAGCAGGCAGGGATCTTGGGTAACCTCGGTGTACTCTTGCAGACACGTTACAACCGTCTCGGTGCCCTCGATGACCTCGAACGCGCCATAGAAGTGCAACAACGTGCAGTGGATCTCGCTTCTGATGTCCACTCACTGGTCGAGAGGTCCAACCAGCTAGATTCGCTTGCGACTTGCTTGTGGCGTAGGTTTGAGCGAGTTGGGCGTCTCGATGACCTTGAGAACGCCATCGTTATCGAACGCCGTGCGATCGATATCGCTCCCAAGGATGATCCAACCCATTATAATAACCTCGGGTCACTCTTGAGGAATCGCTTTGACCGCCTAGGGACACTGGAAGACTTGGAAGACGCCCTCGAAGCGCACCGTCGCTCGGTAGAGCTCACGCCAGATGGTCATACAGACATACCTCTGCGCTTGTCGAATCTGGGAGTCTGCCTGTCCCATCGTTTCCACCGCCTTATGATCATCGACGATATCGAGGAGGCCATTGCATCGCACTCCCGTGCTGTCGATCTCACTCCAGACGATCATCCCGACATGCCCCTACGACTCAACAACCTTGGACAGTGTTTTCACTTCTGCTTCGAACATCATCGTGATCTGGATGCCTTGGAGCGAGCCATTGCCGCGCTGCTCCGGGCGGTTCACCTCACTCCCGAAGGACACCCCGACCGCGCATCTCGATTGAACAACCTTGCTCTCTTTCTGTATTATCGTTTCGATAGTCTCAGGAATGGTGAAGACCTTGAGCACGCGATCGCATATCAGCGTCGTGCCATCAGTCTTGTCTCGAACGACGCCTCAATTCAGACCGTTCTAGCGGTCAATCTGGGGTGCTTTCTGATCGATCGCTACATTGCATTCGACCACCCCGGTAATCTTATAGAAGGTCTCGAGATACTTCGCCGTATGGTCGACCTCACCCCGGAGGGTCATCCGGACAAACCCGTGTACCTCAGCCACCTGGCTTGGGCTCTGAGAGCTGTCTTCTTGCGCGAAAAGTCTGCTCAGAGTTTTCACGAAGCCGTGACATGCTTCCTTTCGGCAACTGCCCAGCCGAAGATGACACCACGAGTGCGCTACATAGCCGCCAATACCTGTGTGGAGTTCATTGAAGACCATCGCGATTTTGCCTCGCCTGAAATCATTCTGCAAGCGCATGGGCGCATACTCGAAATGATACCTGAGCTGGTCTGGCTTGGGTACAGTATGACGCGCCGTATGGTCGAAATACAGACCCTCAGCGTTCTCATTACCAAAGCCGTCTACGCTGCCATCGACACGAGGTCTCTGGTAAAAGCTGTCGAATTCCTCGAAGCTGGCCGATCCTTAGTTTGGTCCCAGATCCTCTCGTTGCGTAGCCCTTTGGACGAGCTTGAACGCCAGCACCCCGTTCTCGCGCGGGCCCTCCAGAATGTTCACGTTGAATTGCAGAGGTCCATCAACGCATCATTCCCCGTTCGATCTAAGCTACCTTCGGTCCATCGTGGCAATCCCCTTGCGATGATGACTGATGCTGAGGCCGGAAGACATCGCCGATTTGCCATCGAATATGAGCGTATACTCGATGAAGTTCGCCGACAATCGGGGTTCGAGGGATTCCTGCGTTCGAAGAAAGTTGCGGCCCTCATGCTCTCGCCGTCCCTCTACCATGGACCCGTCATCTACGTCAACGTGGCCCAATCCCGCTGTCACGCCCTCATACTCTCGCCTGATGGGCAAGTGGATGCCGTTGAGCTTCCCGAATTAACTCTGGAGCGAGCGACGAAGTTGAGTACTCAATGGGTAGCGTGTCTTCGGCAACAGAATGTTCGTGGGCGGGCTTCTATTGGGGCCCAGAGCCAGAAAGTCCCGGGGCGCAAATCAAACGACGAGCCCGCCATGCGCATTCTAGGTTATGTCTGGTCATGGATTGTGCGTCCGATCTTACAGGCGCTGGATATGCTTTGCAATGTGAGTCGTCATGATAGCTACGGGTGGCAAGATGAACCCATACTCATACTAGTATTCAGGTAACTGACCAGCAACTGCCTCATGTCACATGGTGTCCTACAGGTCCCCTCACACAACTACCGTTACACGCTGCGGGCATCTACGGGAAGACGGGAGGACAGCGCGTGTACGATTTTGTGATTTCATCGTACACCCCATCGCTCTCTGCGCTCTCACGCTGCCATGAGGCGGTTGCGAGGCAACTATCGGAGCCCAGAGTCCTCATTGTCACGCAGCCCGATGCCCCTGGGCTACCACCACTGCCTGGAACTCTAGTTGAGGGGGAGAGATTGCAAGCCTTGCTCTCCAGCTCCCACACCCCGTTTACAACTTTCAACGGCGTCGAAGCCACGACAAGCATCGTGTCGGAGGTCTTAGGGCAGCATTCTTGGATGCACCTAGCTTGTCACGGGTCCCAGCATTTAGCAGATCCTACGCAAAGTGCATTCGCTCTTCACGATGGCCCGCTGTCGCTGGTCACTCTCATGGCTATGGTTGCAGACAACGCAGAACTGGCGTTTCTCTCGGCTTGCCAAACGGCGGTCGGCGACGAGAAGATCCCTGAAGAGTCCATCCACCTCGCAGCGGGTATGCTTGCTGTCGGCTTCAAGGGTGTCGTTGCGACAACGTGGTCGATACAGGATGACGACGCGCCGCATGTAGTCGAGGCGTACTATGAGACTCTATTACGGCTCCGCGCGTCTGGAAAGGTCAGAAGCGGGGAGACTGGGGCAGCTTTTGCTCTGCATGAAGCTACAAAGTCATTGCGGGAAAAGATCGGAGTAGACAGCATTGTGCGTTGGGCGCCATTCGTGCATTTTGGGGCGTAGTAGAGATTCTCACTATGTAGCACAAGCGACCTAAAGCTGTGGGGACCTGAGGCTATCGTCGCTTGAATGTCAACGGCACCCTCTCTGGCCTGTATGCAAGTGAGTGATGAGATAACGAGGAAGAGATTGAAGGACGTACGTCGTGGTCAAAGAGAAGAAAGTCCTCATAAGCCGAGTCTTGCGCTCCTCGTGTGTCTCATTGGCATGGCTCGCGTCCTCTTGAACGTGAACGCGATAGTAGGAGATTAGGATGCTTAGCGTAGCGATAGCTTCCGTCTCAAAAAATCGACGTCCGATGCATGCGCGCGCACCTGGTCGTGGGACAAGATGCCTCATGAGTACGAAGGGCGGACGAACGTTGCATACTCCACTTGCCTGCTGAGAACGCGATGAATGCATCTTTGTTGTAATCTGCTAGAAACCTTTCGGGTATGAATTCGCTGGGATTCTCCCAGTAGCGTGCTGTCCATCGCGATTAATCAGCTCAAAGTGTCTATATGACGAGTTAAAAAGAAATCGTTCACGGTTATTGTGAAGCCCCGGGACGTGAATATTGATCGGTGTGCCCTGTGGAACGGGCAGGGCCGTTGTCCCGCCTTCAGCGTTTTGCACCTTTAGTAGCGTATCTTGCTCGCTGTACTTCTGGATGGAGAGGACAGGTGGTCTATATGTAATCAGACATATGTCATTTTTAAGTCCGAAGACTCAAGATCGAGTACTGACCGGAAGCGTAAGGTCTCATAGAGAACCCTGGAGAGGTATCACATCTCCCACGAAAGATTATGGGAATGCGATGCTTACGCTAATGGGTACGTCAACTTAGATATATCATCGTATGCCTAGTCGAGAGTGAGGAGTGGCCTATTCACGATGAAAATACGAGCAGCCAAACCGGAGTACGCCCGAGATCCATGGTGACCTCTTTGACGTTCTGATAGAGTTTCTCCTGTTTGTCCGGGTAGAGAGCAAGAAGCGCAAGGCTGAAAGCGAGCGTGTGGGCTGTGGTCTGACGTATATGAGAATCGCACAACGAGAAGAAGGATGGGATATTTGACCGTACCTCATGCCCAGCAAGCAAGAACATGAACATATTCGCTAGGGTTCCAGTAAGAGTGAAGATGCAGCCGGTATCGATTGCTCAGACGCACAGAAGAGCTCATTGCTTGTAAGCCTGACACCTCCAGTGTCGGCATCGGCTGCATCAAGAAGCCCACTGAATAAGTCGCTGTGAACATCTGTCGTTCGACATCGCCTGCTGTCGACCATATGGGACATGTGCCTCTAACCCACTGATGTCAAGATGGATGGTGGAAGTCGGTCGAGCAGGGCCGCACCTGTAGCTCATCAAAAGCACGGTCGACCTTCCGAAATTGTTGAGTCATGCATAGCATGCGCTTCGGTATAGCCATCTTGATCGCCACGCCTTCGGACACGACGTAAAGAGCGTCCTTGAAGTTCATTGAGAAACCATCTGGAACACTATGCTCTTCGGTGAATGACATGCGCCTGCCGAACCCTGCACGTTGCTCTCAGAGTCAGTGTCCCTGTACAGTACAGCTTTCGGCAGTTTCCTACCCGCAGCACCAATGACATACAGCGCCATCTTACGCCACCTTCAATACATCTCTGCGCATGATATACACTTTCAGCTCACCGGCACAGTGAGGTCAAGAACATTATTGACTGATACCACGTCCGTGCGTTTCCAGACATTATCAATCACGTCAAGCACAATGCGAGTGGTCTCATCCCAAACAAGAGTATTGTTCCTCTAAATTATGTCAGCCAACTACGCGACTTGTGGACTCAAGTAGCAAGATGTTCACCTCCAGGAATGCGGGCGCGCAGACCTTGCGGTATCGCTTCCAGTCCTAGGTCGTGATAAGCGCAACTAGCCGAACATTAAGCAGCTACCATGCATACCTCCCCTTCAGACACAACGATATTGGCACCAAAGAAAGCGACAAGCTATACGGGACCGCGTCAACAAAGCGTTGACGGAGTCGCGGGAGGCCTACCTGGTACGGGGCGGTATGAACGGGCTTCGGAAAACGAGAACGATGCGTTGTAACCTCCTATACCGGACACTGTGAGCCCAGTCACGGCTGGCATACTGAGGGAGCCTCACCTTGATCATGCAAGGATCGGCAAGATACAGGGAAACTCCAGGTTGGGGCCAGACATTCCTCTATCATAGCTCCGTGTTATCAACAGACTTCTAAACAGCCGAAGAGCGCGCGCACATGAGCATACGCATCACATCCGGCCGCCGCAAAGTCTGCGCAGATACTTGAGAGGTGACAAAGGCGTCTAACGAAGGGAAGTCACGAACCAGCATAGCCTCTGTCCAACTCTTGCATCACGCCTGTATTGATGAGTGGGATGGACGGCAGTAACTTGCTGAGAAGAGTCATAGGCGCGATCACCGTGGTAGGCCCGGGTAAATCCCTACAATATAGTGACTGAGCGCATGGCCATGAGCTGTACGAGATGAACGTACCCAACGGAGTGCGCGGTCTGTCTCGTCTTCCACCATAGACGGACAAGATACAGAGCGAACCCAACATAGGCCACAGAGCTTGCGGTGCCCATTTCAGCTTGCTGACGTGCGTTCAAGAGACGTGGAGAGAAGGCTGCTCAGGGGCGACTATACGCCCATCTGTGACCAACCTGAGCATTTATCAGTCTCAGGTCTATACAAGAAGCAAGGAGGGAAGAATGCACCCGAAGACACCAAATTGCAGTTTAGGTGCATATTGCATGCGAGAAGTTGCCTAGGCACACTTTACGTCTCTCGAAGCCGAGTGCTACGGTGTTTCGGTGGTCCGTCGTGAGTATGCGGAGGGGTCGGATGATACGCGGTGAAGACGGAGTACTGACTATTGTAGGGATGACGTTCATCACGCTGATATGCCAAAACGACTGCGACTCCTTGATCTACACAGACATCCTTCGTGTCGTCAGGTTTCCTCTAGTAGCGGACGAACTACTGTGCTATAAGCAGCAAAGAAAGCGTCAGAGCTGCGTAGGCGCTGAGGATATCTTCCGATCGGCGCCTCGATACCTGAACCTGTCACCGCTACTTCCATCTTGCGGTGAGAGTCTGTCTTAAGAAGGCCCCCCGGCGACGCCGACGCCAGCGGTGAGCTAGCCATGGGAGAAAAGCAAGCCATTGGCGAAGCAGCTTGTACGGAAGAAGTCCATGCGAAGAAGGAAGCCTTAGAGGGGTTGCTGATACCATTCGCAGACAGACGAAATACGCACACTAGCACCGCGGGCTTGCAAGCAACTGCTGCTGACTGGCATGCCGGTCAAGTTAGAATTCCGAGAGGCAGCCTCGGACAATACGCGCAACACCCTGCTGCAGGTTCTATGCTCTTCATCTTGCGGGTTGTCTCTGACATAGTTCAGTGATGCATATCCGAAGGAAGCGTCGATGATGAGAGTCGGAACTCAGAACGACCATCGCCGCGTCGGGTTTGGCGGGCCTCGGCCCGGGCCGAAGAATCGTCTTGCCTCTGGCCCTCATCTTGATCTCCGCCCAACATGAAATACGTCGCGCTGCTTAGTGGTGGTAAAGATAGTTGTTACAACCTTCTCCACTGCCACAAGAATGGACATGATCTGGTGGCGGCCGCGTCGCTCGGCCCTGCACCGGGAAAAGGTTCGACCCTCCCAGTGATTTTCACTTGTGGCGCTCTGAAGCGCTGCTAGGACAGAGGAGATGGACTCGTACATGTACCAAACCGTAGGACAAGACGCAATCGAACTCGTTGCTCAGGCTCTAGATGTGCCTCTTGTGAGACGAGTGATCACAGGGACCGCTGTCGAACAAGGGTCGGAGTACGGCACGCGTGAAGCGCGCGCCGCGTCGAATAACACCGTATCTGGAGATGAAACTGAAGACATGTACGAGTTACTGGCAGAAGTGAAGGTATGGATGCTGTCTATACACGTATCGAGCTGCTTCTATACGTGCGTCATAGGCTCGATTCCCCGAGGTTGCAGGGGTTTCGGTGGGCGCGATCCTGTCGAGCTATCAACGCGTTCGCGTAGAGCATGTGTACGCCTATTCGAGCCCGATTACCAGTATACATGCTTATACGTGTCCACTATAGCTGTAGGAGGCTCTCATTGACGCCTCTATCTTATCTCTGGCAACGGGACCAAGCTGAGCTGCTCTCTGAGATGATCGACGCCGGACTCGAGGCTATCCTCATCAAAGTTGCTGGCATCGGGCTGAAAGAGGCGCATCTAGGAAGAACACTCGGTGATATGCACGCAACACTGATGAGACTGGTGCGTTCGTGCTTTCTGTATCTCACTGACGGGACCTGATGTTCCAGCAGAACGCGACGTATGGCTTGCATGTATGCGGAGAAGGCGGGGAGTATGAGACTCTGACGTTAGACAGCCCGCTATTCAAGCGCCGTATCGTCTTGTGAGTTTGCGTCTTGACAACATCTTCCGCATTCTGACCATCCGTGGTACAGACAAGAAACTGAGATTGTATCGCTCTCAGAGGACAAGTATGCTCCAGTGGCGTACTTGCGGATCAAAAAGGCCCGTCTGGAAGACAAAGAGCACGTCGACGAATTCGAGGTTGCGAGACCGGCATTACTAGAACCGGAGTACTTGGAGCTCTGTTCCATAGTTGAAGAAGGCGCTGCGTCTGAGCGCGCTGTGCCCAAGGCCGCGTTCTCCCTGCTTGACGCGACACAACATCACACGAAACGAATAGGGCCGTGGTTGGCTCTCTCGGACGTTGTGGCTGGCGACCTCTCCCACGAAGATTCATTGGAGGAGGAAGTCAGAGCATGCTTCCATCGACTACAGGGTGCCGAACGTTGTCGTACCATGTATGGAAGTTATGAAGCTGATAGACACCCGCTTAGCTCTGCTTGAGTGCCACGACCTCAAACTATCACATCTTTCGAACATCAACATCTTCATCGCCAACATGGCCGACTTTGGCCATATCAACGCGGTGTATACAACGTTCTTTGGGTCCAGCCCGCCCTCCCGCGCTTGCGTTGCCGTCGATCTACCACCACCACACCGAGTTAAACTAGATTGCATCGCGTACGCGGAGAGTGCCGCGACGGATAGGCAGGCGTTGCATGTACAAGGGCTGAGTTATTGGGCACCCGCGAACATTGGACCGTACTCTCAAGCCATCGTCGTGAGTTGCCTATTGCCCGTTGAATACCCGCCCGTTCACCTACGGCTCAGATCAACGGTGCTATCTTCATCTCTGGCCAGATTGGCATGATTCCCGCCAATCTCGCGTTGCCATCCCCACCTTCCCTTGCGCAGGAGATGGCGCTCGCATCTCAACATGCCAACCGTATCGTCAAGGCGCTTGAAAGCGGAACGGGTGGTGGATGGAAGGGAATCCCGATGTTAAACGTCTTTTGGTACGGAGATGCAACGGATGCGCTTGCGGCGAATAAGTGTTTAGTAGGTGTATACGGCACCACTAGTCTGGCAATTGCTGATGATGCCGCAGAAAGAAGACGTACCGACGGTGCACGTCGCCGTGAAGCAGCTCCCGAAGAGCGCGTTGGTAGAGAAACAGGTGTTCTATCACTCGGATAGGAATCTCCAGCCCGTCGATGAAGCGGAAGAGACTGTATTGGTGCCGTCTTATACTTCAGGTAGGATCGGCACTCCATTCATGCATACCGACTATGACACGGGCTTTGTAGGATCTCTTGCAAGCGATGGTGCAGACTTGTACTGGCAGACATCGGATCTGGGCGCCGCGAACTGGATGTGCACCGTCATCTATGGGAAGCTCGGAGAAAGTGGAGACGTCGCCGCATTTGTGTCCATGTGGATGCGTATCCGCGAGCGGACGTCTCGGCGAGCGCTCTCTGTACGGCTTTTTTACACTGCAAGCTGTCATGGTGCGGGTTTTGCGTCGGTTGCGTGTCCCAAAGCTGACCGACACCTCATCGTCAGCCTCGGTGCTGGGGCTTAGGTCGGCGTTTGAAGAGGCCGCTGTGACGTCGATCCCTTGTCGCTTCGTGGCGGCCAGAGATGTTGAGGAAGGGTGTGACTTTGCGATTGCCATTATGGCTGTGTAGACTGCGCATAGTTACCGACGTTAAGCGCCACTGTACTGTCCGAATTCATGTGGCCATGCGAGTGAATGTGCCTGCCCAAAGATCGGATAGACAGATAGCTTGTCGAATGCTACATTTGTAGATTCTGTAAGCCTGAGCACGTATACGTTCGTTACGTGCATCCCATATCGCCACGAACGAGCGGAAGTTGATGAGAGCCTGTTCATGACGACGGGCGCCCACGATGTAAATGAACCGAAAATAACTGCGCCCTGTGCGATCAACAATGACATGAATGCGGAACGAGCTTGTTTGTCTCGAATGGTTTACGCTGCCCCTGGCTGTGCGCTGACTTTGCTTCCTCGCCACCACCAGCGCTTCGGTCGATTGACTACCTATGCCCTAAGTTACACCATACTGTATAGTTCTACTAGCCCCGTGAAGAGTGATGAGCAACACTGCCAGTAAGCTGGGCGCATCATCAGACGGGCCGCGTGCTTGTGCTTACGATCAAGCAGCCCTCGGTGTCAGCTTGCGCCCGACGGTCGTGAGGCGGGACACGGAGGCCATCCTGTCCTACTACCAGTCCGAGCTCGCAGACAGCGGCAGGGATTATTCCATCACCGAAGATTATTGGGACGCCGATACGCCGGTACTGAGTGCCACAGGCCACCGACGGACGACCAGCACATCCTCGTCCAGCTCGTTATATAGCACTCCGGCCACACCACCTCCTGTGCCCGACGCCCCTCTCCCGCACCACCAGGACAGCATCGCAGCGTCCGGCAGCCACCGGCGACGACCGAGCAACCTGTCCGCGCATTCGCACGAGGATAACCGCAGAATGGCGATCGTACAGAACAATACGGACCGGTTCCTCGCCCTCGACGGGCGCTCGCGCTCTGGCGGACCGGGCGGCGCGTCCCCATCAGCGTCTTCTCCGTCGAACAAGCTGAGGAAGAAGTCCGGCCATGTGCGCGGTGCCACGACCACGAACATCAGCGTAGGATCTGGCTCTGCGCCTCACCAGCGATCCATGTCCGACCCCGATGCTTTCGCCAATGCGCCCACCATGACCACGCGACCGTCTCGAGACCAGCTCGCGACACTGGCGACGGCGAATATTCCGCCACCGCGCCCAAGACAGGAGCCGGGCGAAGAGACGCCCAGGATCGCCAAGCAACACTCGTCTGGCCCGCCCCCGCCACGCGCCACGTTCTCAATCGACGCCGCATCAGCGCCTCCGCCGCGACCGCCCCGGCTGCGCTCGCCGTCGCCGATGGTGCCCCGGCCCGGCTCCTCCGGCGAGGGGACGCCGGCTTCCATCGCACAGGCGCTCTCCACCAGGACATCCGCTTCCTCTCTTCGGCCGCATCCCTCGGACGGACCGTCGCACTCGGACCCATCACTCTCGCCCGTGGACGAGAAGGAACCGTGAGTTCTCCCTCGGCTGCGCCACGTCTAATCTAATCTCTACCCAGCTCTTCTAATTTCACACCCTCACCCCACGGGGAACGCGAGCGCTCCTCCCACCATGTCCGCGAAGGCGCTTTCATGCCCTCACGCATCATGGTAACGCCCGCAGAGCAGCAGCCTCAAGATACCGTGCGCCTCGTCAACTCCCCCTCGGACTATCTCCCACTTGCTGCGCCCGAACGCACCACGTCTGCTATCGATGGGCTACCCGCGACTCTTGACACATCAGCACACGCGCCTCTGTCTCTACACTTGCCTCGACCGGACCTCAACCGGGATAACAGCTGGGTCACCGTTCAGATTCCGAGCGATCCACCCAGCGAATACTCGTCGACCGCGGCGTCCATGGAGTTCGAGCCGCCTGTGCCATATACTCCGGATACTGAGCCCGAGGCCACCCCTTCCCCGGCAAACGTATCCACGCCCGGGTTGCGCAGCAGAAAGGAGGGTGCAGAACCAAGCCGACCCTCTGGCTTGTCCTCCGCAGACAAGCGCAACTCAACACTCCCCCGTCCGCCGAGCGTGAGCACGGCGCGCACACCTTCTCCCCCGCCCACGCCCTGGACACGGCCTGTCCGGCGGAAGAAGATATCGGCATGGCCGGACGCGATGTACTGTCGCGACGTGATGAGCCAACGGACATGTCTTGAGCGCGCGAAGGGCTATGCGGCCAAGATCAACGAGCTTGACCAATACGACTGCGGGTTGAGCGATTGGCTGACTTCTGTGCACGGTATGTTGATCGTGTGCTCGCAGTGAGGTTGCATGCGCTGATGGTGTTTCATCGTTTAGCGCGCAGAACCAAGGGCGAGCGCTCGCTCCCGACCTCGTCCAATCAACCGGCGTACACCGCGATGCAGGTCGCGCAGCCGCGCCAGGTCTCGCGCGCGTCTATCTCGTCCGAAGCCACATTCCCGATACGCCCAGATGCATGGACCGCGACTGACCTCACCACGCGACCGTCGGATACGGTGACTGCAGCCCCACCACCCTTACCCTACCCTGCGCTTGCGGCCGCGACGGCAAGCACCCCGCCCGTCACCAATAACCGACTTTCATTTGTCCCGCTCTCGGGAGGATCCGCCCCACGCAGTCTTCCCATCCATGCAGGCCGTTCGGGGCCTGCCTCCATTCAGGGTCACGGAGGCGGGTTCTTCGCATCGTTGGGGCGGAATCATAGCTTGAGGAAGGAAGAGAGAACACTGCTACCGCCGCCTCAGCAACAACAGCAACGCGAACCTGCGCGCTTGATCAAAGCACCGCCCAAGCCCATCCAGGTTCAGAGTACGCCGACAGTCCCCGGTGGCCCGCGCGCAGCACCACACCGCATGTCGCGCTCGCAGACGTTGAATCTACCCCCGCCCGTGTCGTCTAACGGACATACCTCTGCGCCCGAGAGCGCTCCGCTGAGCAAGACGTCGAATCCGCAGCCTCAGATGAGGAGACGGAGCAACACGCTGAAGCGCCCCTCGCTATTCGGCGGCACCCGTGACCGCGACCGAGCGTCGGGCTCCGGAGGGCCGTCCCCCCAGCGCTCGCAGAGTAGCGGCCTCAATCACAATCCTTCGCCGTCTCCGGAGCGGGATCCTGTGCTCGCTGCGGACTTCCAGGCGCAAGTGGATAAGCTTGCGGATATCATACCGCATGCGGACCGGGAGGTGCTAGCAGGGTATCTGAAGAGGGCTGGGCAGGACATCTTGGCTATCGGACAATATCTGGAAGACGAGAAGAACGGGACCGTCCGAAGGTCATAACGAACCCGCAATTCTTCGCTTGCTATCTCTCTAGGCTTGCCATGCTTTGTATACTGAAGGCCATTTCTGCTTTCGCACACATCCCCAATCACTCACGTTCCAGCTTTCGTTCTTGTCTCTTTCTCCTTCTCGGACGTCTTCGCGTACACTACTGTCATGAATGTTACGTTTCCTTAACGCCCCTTCGTCTTCCACTTCGGACTCTCCGCGCTCATACATTATCCTTACACTACAGACCCACGGCAAACGAGACAATGTACTATCATGTCCTTTGGACCCTGACGGCCCGATATGCATGCCCATCGTTCAATTCGCAACGCTCGACATTTATCGTCAACCACCCCTCGTTCATCACCGACTATCCGTAGAGCGTGTTCTGCGCTGGACCAGAGACCGAAACGTTGGCAGGCCTGAAACCGCGCTTGGGCGGCGGCGCTGGTGGGAATACTGCACAACGGTGATCAGGATACGACTGTATGGCCTTGCCCGATGGGCTATGCAAACGGGCCTCTTACCACGGTGTACACTGCGAGAGCGGGGAGCCTGCACCGTCGGTGCGCGAGCCTCGGGCGCGGCGGAGAACTGTCGGCGCATCGGCGCGGGCGAGTCGACGCGCATCTGCGAAGCACGAGTCGCTTGTGGTGCCTGCAGGCTGTCCACCATGCCGCCGGCGTTCGACGGGTTGGCATTAGCATTGAGACTACCGCTGATGAGCGTTCTGTGCTTCAGGCGTTCGTGCTGGGCCTGGGATAGTGGAACATAAGTAGCTGAGTGTATGTTTGCGGCCGCATGTGCACACCTTGAGCTTCTGATACTCCTTGTCCTTGGTCTTTCCAGTCTCGGCGAGCTCGCGGACCTTGCGCCGCTCGAGCTCAAGGTCGCGCTCGAGTTCGCGGAGCTTGTTCCGCAGCGCGGCGAGTTCACTGTCCGCCTCGCGCGTGACGCTCGAGAGGTCGCGTTGAAGCTGGGTGTTCTTGTCGTTTACGTTGCGAACTACTGCGTGCTGAAAGGCGCTGCAAGGAAGGTGGAAGACGTCTGGAGGAAGGAAAGAGAAGGGTTCAAGGACGTACTTCTCTTGGTGCATCTGGTATTGCCAGAAGGCGATCGCGCTATAAGATGGCGCAGTTTGTCACTGGTGATGCACAAGAAGATAGAGAATGCCACGAACCGACTGCATATCTCAAGGATGATCGATGGGCTCAGACCAGAGAGAACGGACTATTGATGCATATATCGGCATACTCGCATGAATACCCGGCTATATGCGCACCGTTTTGTAGTCGTTCGTGGGCTGAAGAGAGCACACGACGACATCGTCTGGCTCAGTCAGTGCGGTATCGCACGCTATTGCTCCGTATGAGGGGTCTGTGTGCGCAGCTGAGACGGCACGAGCACGCACCTGGGCAGAGCTGCGCCGTGTTGAACAGCTCGTTGGCGCAGTCGACTAGTACGACAAAATCAGCAACGCAAGAGACTTTTACGCATTATAGCGTGTAAGGCTTGCCGCAGAATAGGTGCGAGCCTCGAGTAGGTGTCAATAACGCATGGTGCGGAAGTATTCGCGATGAGCTCACACGTCGTCTGCACTATAGCATCAGGTAGGAGAAACGTGTTCGAACGCGGCAGGAGCGTACCACTACAGCCTTATCCGTAATACTTGAGCGGCATGGTAAATTGTTACATTTGATGACATCGGCATCCATCTGGGCGAAAGGTGGTGGGCGAGGAGCAAAAACCGAAGACGCGTCTGCCGCATAAGGCGCGTCTGGTCTGACACGGTCACATGAGCGCGTGTGCCTCGTGTGTCGGAGACCGGGGCACATGTTCGGCGCTTTCGCTCGCAGTTGCTCCCTGCGTCTATGTCACCAGACACTCTCATCCACCAACTGCTTATCATATGGATCCGCACATGGTCCTCGATGATATCTTGCTTAGCGCTCAGGGACGAGTATAAGAGCAACAAAATGGTGCTTACGCCTATATTGACGACGCCAACCGGCGCCAAGGCGTATGTGTCGGGCAGCACCATGATCCAATAATGTCGGGTAGTCGAATCCCGAGGAGAACTCGTTAAGCGCTAATGTGCCCGCGATGTCGACTTCAGTGACGTTTATGGCGGTAGAAGCTATGTTTTGTGGTGCGTTGCGGGTAAAGTTTGGCAGATGTTCGCTTGCTTATAATTGTACGAAGGTCTGCTATGTGCCTCTACCACACTCCTATCTTCACGATTATCCTACGCAAAACTTCGATTAAGCTTGTCATAATGCCAACTGTCGATGACGAGAAGGGGTACAAGAATTGCCAGCCTCTCGCAGCGCCCGAATCATGCACGTTGGCCATGTTTCCAGGAGTCGTGCGTCAAGAAACGGATAGTCCTACGCACAATGGCGCCGTACCGTCTTCACGATCTTACCAGATGCATCATCGCGGGCATCACGTCTCGTTGACTGTGGACGACCGTTCGTGCACGAGGCGGGAGACGAACAGCCTGCGCAACAGTGGAGATGCTCAGGAAGCAAACACGATCTTCGACGGGATGAATGACAGACATCGCCCGCCAACTTTGATCGAGTATCCGGCCATTTCTCCCGGTACGTATCACTCTCCGTCAGGTGCACTGGTGCTCATCTTTCGCTACAGAGGAACGACGTGACATGATGAAGACTGACAGGGGCGAATACATACCACGGAACGGTCATCTTCGAGCCAACGAACCCACAATAACCCCGTTGGAACTCCCACCCTCGGTGTTGCCTGTCTCAGAGATGACAGCCCACCAAGCCGGACCCTACGTCTCTGAACGCGATTTCGACAGAGCATATCTCCGACATTATTGCCGTCATTGTTCCTGAAACTCCTGTATGCTACATACATCCTTCGTATCTTTCATCAAGTCAGAAGCTTCGGGAGTTATGATCACCTTGGGGGTACCAATCATCAACACTTCCGGCGCTATTGCTGTGACTTGCTCTTAGCGGAAGGTGAACAGAAAATGTGTACCGGGGCTGAGCTGTTGGGCTGTCAGTCAAGTGGTTGTACCGTTCGATTTCTTCCAAGGCGTTCTTCTGTGGCCCCCAGTACTTGGTTCTTGAGAGCGTCACGATCTGCGCGCGACCCACTTCATCGTAGCGCCCTTGCCCCTAACCACAGCCTGTCATACTCGTCATGCAGCAAGTACAGAAGGGTCTATGAGAACCGACGATGCGCTGCCTGCGGCGATCGGACCTTCTCGTTGTCACGATTACCGCCTTTGGCGTGCGCATCATCTCAAGTATTAAGCATACGATTGATATAACGATGCAGCCTATAGTGGACGCTTCGTCCGGCGCATTTATCCAATTTTGACGGTGGTGACGTCTATTTTGATATTGGGCGTAGGAGATGAAGCGCGCGAGGTGGATCCAGAAGCCAAGGACATCCTCTCCATTCCCTTTGTCCGTGCTCCGTTTCCAGCCAACGCACAGCAATGTGAGCCACGATAGCTTCCTTCTTATCATACCCTGGGCTTACAAAGAGAGCAATATTGAGATTTCGCAGGAATACGCGCCCGGTTGATTTAGCGCCTCAACATCGAGGACTCCAAAGGGCCGCAGATCCCCTTACCACAAGCTGAAAGAGAAGTTCGTGGGTGACGTCGTACACCACAGCGTCGCTTCTAGCCCTTGCTTGCACACATATAAAGGTGCAATGCCAGCACTCGCTTCTCTCACCAATCCCGTCTCGCCTCCATTCCCTCTTGACCACACCTCCGCTCTCATCATGTCTACCCTCGACGGCAAAGATCCGACCCGTGTCGCTGCTGGCCTCAAGGCAGCTATGCACAATCCGAACGTCTCTGCAGAAGCCAAGGATAATGCGGCTCAACGTCTCGAGGAGATCGTCGTCGGCGCTGAGACCAATGTTGGGAATGATCTTTCCACTCGTGAGGCGGCCGGTTACAAGGCGACACTATCCAGTGAGTTGGGGCGTGCGGCGTCCTGTTACGATCTGCCAAGCTGATGGTGCGGGTAGATCCCAACGCGAGCTTGCAGGCTAAGCGCCATGCGGAGGAAGTCCTCGAGTCCGGCACTACGAGTGAGATGACCGCCGGAGGCGGCTCTGACGACCTACACCAGACCCGCGTCAATGCGGGCTATAAGGCAACCATTAACAGTAAGTGCAGCTGTCGCTCATTGCGAGCGTTGACGTATACACCGTGCACCAGACCCTAATGTCAGCGAAGAAGCCAAGGAGCACGCGCGTGACTATCTTGCTGAGAACGAGTGAACTAGAGAAAGCGTTTGCAGAAACTGATTAGCGTCTTCCTTGTACCATACCTACCTCATCTGTACGCATCATGCATCACATATTGAAACCTACCGTCTTCGCGACGCAAATATTGACTATTGTTCGAGTGCCTGCGTGACAATGAAGGCAGCGCAGTCGAAGCCGTACGATCTGTGCAATATGATTTCGCTCTTGTGTCTGCTGTGATCGTTGGGAGAACAACATAAGGAAGCTTCGTGTCCGAAGACAAGCGGGGATATGATGACGTTCAATATGAGGCGCAGATCATGTCCTATGTGCATTATTAAATAAGTATTACTCCACATACGAGTGCCTGTCCTGAATGCACATGCAGGTCCATACTGTAAAATCCAACACGTCATGCCAATCGTTCTTCATTGGTTCTTCTTCCCCTCTGCGCTGTAGCCCTTGGGCGCCTCAACGCGTAGTGGACTCTGGATCGCGCTCAACGCGCTGATGGAGAATAATAAAGCTGGTAGGAGGACGAAGAAAGCAATCAAGAGCGCGGTGATCAACCCCGGCGTGAGCAGCTGATAGCGAGCGAATATGCCACCAGTGGGGCTAGCGAAAGCCGCTGCTGGCGCCTGCTGCAGGACTGGAGCCGGGATGGTGGGGGACTCGATGACCGTCTCGTCGATTGAGGACACTGAGAGCTGGCGACGAGTGATGATGGATTCAGAGGAGGGCGAGCCCCCGTAGATGACTAGATGGCGGGGCGCGGCCGCAGCTACAGTTGCAAGTTCGGAGGAGAGTGTCTGGCCTATAAAGCGTGCATGATTGAATACATAGGTCTGACATAACGAACCTGGTGTACTCACAATGCGCGTCCACGGCGGCCTTGCGGGAGCCGGCGTCACCTT